CAAAAAGGTCGAAAACCTCTGCCTTAGCACATTTAATTTGCAAAGGGCCTCTGTCAGCAACCTTCATGGCGTGAGGCCCTCTGAGGCAGGGTGGAAATGTGACTTTGGAATGTGGGCTGCAGAGAGTCCTGCGACATTTTTATCCTTTAAAAGGAAATCCTCCAGGACTGAGTCCTGCTTCTCTGCTGTCCCCTAAAAGATGACCAGTCCAAGCAGCTGCTTGAGCAGCCAGCCTCTGTCCTCTGCAGTCGCTGCTCCATCTCTGGCTGCCCACCTCTTTCCTATCTCTCTTCCACCTGGAGTCTCTTTTCTAGATGTGCCCCTCTGCCTCTCACCGGAACTCTCCCCAGACAAGCTAGCAGAGCCACGTTGATGATGGGGGAGGCACTCTGGGCATTTGGATGACTCAGGTGGGCTGAGAGGATCTTTCTCTAAGACACCCCCATCCAGAATAAGAATAATAATTTATTATTTATACCCCGCCCACCTGGCTGGGTTTTCCCAGCCACTCTAGGCAGCTCCCAACAGAATAATAATAACAACAACAATAACAAAAACATTAAAAACTTCCCTAAACAGGGCTGCCTTCAGATGTCTTCTAAAAGTCAGAGAGTTGTTTATTTCCTTGACATCTGATGGGAGGGTGTTCCACAGGGCGGGCACCACCACCGAGAAGACCCTGTGCCTGGTTCCCTGTAACTTTACTTCTCGCAGGGAGGGAACCGCCAGAAGGCCCTCAGCGCTGGACCTCAGTGTCCGGCATGAATGATGTGGGTGGAGACGCTCCTTCAGGTATACTGGGCCGAGGCCATTTAGAGTTAGGAAGCCCACAATGTTCCAGTTGACCGAGGCCCAAAAAACAGATGTGGCATGGGAGGTCTGTGATCAGATCGCCCTACTTTAAAAGTGCAGGGGGACCTAAAAGCAAATTAACACCCCAGCTCCCCACCCCCCAAAAAAAGCAGGACTAAGAGCAGCTTAAGAGGCCAATCTCAACTGGTCACCTACCTACTCCCCAACCTCTTAAGACTGAAAACATGGTGTGGTAAAGCTAGCTTTCCTTCTGAAGGGTTAGTTGTCCAAGCGCAGGGTTTTGTTTGTTTAATGGGGGGGCAAGCATTTCATTATGTGAGCCTTTACTTGTAGTGCGATCCTTATTTGCCAGAAGCAGTCCTGATTTTGCAAGGAGTTGGGTGGTACCTGTTCTGGGCAAATCACTATCTCTGTTTGGACTTTTGGAAAAAATTGGTGGCTGCCTTTAAAAATAAAAATCCGGTCTGATTTTTAGGTTGCTGTTCTTCCGATTTCTACTTCCTTGCCAAGTTCTCTAGCAGCAACATGCAGGGTATATCATGTCCGCAATACACAAGCAGGTAAAAAAATGTTCCTGTGTATGAGGAACCAGCCTTCTGCGGACCATAGGAGGGGAGGAGTTAGTAACTGCACAAATGACCTTTTATAATTGAAATATCAGGCCACTGAAACAAATAGGGCTCCTTGTGGGTGAGGGGCTTCAATACATTGCCCCCTGCTGAGATCCTGATCCCAGCTGCACGCTCAAGACCTTTTACAAGCCGTTTTTGTCTGGTTTGGCTCTCAGATGGTTGCAGCTGGCAAAGGTCACATTCAATGTTGCATTCGACGTACTTCTTCCTTATGTACAGAATCTGTAGTCCGTCTTCAAAAAGTTATCAAAGCAGACAAAAAGAAAAAATACAGCACACAACGTATTCAGTGATCCAAAATAATTATAAGATGGTTATGTTTCCTGCTTGGCAGGGGGTTGGACTCGATGGCCCTTGTGGTCTCTTCCAACTCTATGATTCTATGGGGTAACAGTATATCTTTTACAAGCACTCTCTGTTGGGGGGGCTGTTGGAGTAAATGAATTCTGTTGTACAGCAGGAAGAAAATTTAAGAGCCATATGTAAGGAGGGGGACCAGTGAGTCCACTCAGGGAGTCATCCTGAATATGGGAGGAGGGGTTTCTACACATACAGAAGATCGTTCCTTTTTTTCATTTGTGAAAATGTTGTGAATAAGCTTTCCGAGTAAGAACAAGCACAGATTCATTTTGGGGGGCCTGGTTTCGTGATGTTTTCCCCCTCCTTCCCCCCCTTTGGGACTCCGTTTCTTCTTTTGGCAATTGCTTTGAGAAAAATGGTTCTGCTTCGATAGAGTGATAATCTTCCAGTCTGCCCCACACTTTTGCACTGCTGGAAGAGATACACTCTGCAATGTGAGCTTTCAGCCTCCAGAGAAGCTGGGGGGATATAGAAAAACTTCTGGAAAAAGTTGAATTATTTATGGGCAGCCTCTCCTCTCCTCAGAACCATCCCAGAGGCCTAATAAAAGGCAATTGTGTCTAAACCAAGAATAATCTTTCCCTTTATATGACATCTCTACTGCACAGTGAGATGAGGCAAGTTTGTCCCCTGTGGTATTAAGGCAAACTAAGGCCCGGGGGCCGGATCCGGCCCAATCACCTCCTAAATCCGGCCCGCGGATGGTTCGGGAATCAGCGTGTTTTTACATGAATATAATGTGGGACGCGGTTGGCACTGTGGGTTAAACCACAGAGCCTAGGACTTGCCGATCAGAAGGTTGGCGGTTCGAATCCCCTAGCAGTTCAAAAGCACGTCAAAGTGCAAGTAGATAAATAGGTACCACTCCGGTGGGAAGGTAAACGGCGTTTCTGTGCGCTGCTCTGGTTTGCCAGAAGCGGCTTAGTCATGCTGGCCACATGACCCGGAAGCTGTACGCCGGCTCCCTCAGCCAATAAAGCGAGATGAGCACCGCAACCCCAGAGTCGGTCACGACTGGACCTAATGGTCAGGGGTCCCTTTACCTTTAATGTGTCCTTTTATTTAAAATGCATCTCTGGGTTATTTGTGGGGAGAGGAATTCGTTCATTCCCCCCCCCAAAAAAAAATAGTCCGGCCCCCCACAAGGTCTGAGGGACAGTGGACCGGCCCCCTGCTGAAAAAGTTTGCTGACCCCTGTATTAAGGGTTCCAGCCTAAGGCCTCCTGTGGTTTCCACTGCTACTTCAGCTCCAGGAGCAGATCGAGAGACTGTTTTGCAAATGCAGTGCTGACAGCTCCAGAAGTCAAGGTTGGCTTTAAGATTTGCGGGAGTCCTGCAACCCAACACTTCCAACCATCTCAGCTGCCCGGAATGAGGCATCGTCAGCTGGGAGCAGGATTGCCTAGATGTGCAGGCCAAGGCAGCAGCAGGACCAGAACTGGAAGTCCACAGCCACTCTGGGATGTGTCTGCAGGCGTGGGAAGGCAAAGAGGTTTCAGCAAAGGGCCACAATGAGTCAAAGAAAGGGTCCAAAGGCCTGAGCTTGGATCAGTTCAGAATTTTAAACCTTTCTGCATGTCGTCGAGGACCTATGGCAAAATTAACAGCACAAGGCAAATAGATGACCTGTTCAGCCAGAAATAGGAGTGCTCTTGATAAAGTATCACAGGTGGTCCAAAATACCAGAGACCAGGGTGGTTGGCGAGGAAAACCAAGTGTTCATGTTTGGCTGTAGGACTGTCATGTTGCAACCTGGAGGTCTGTGCTGAAGGTTTAAATAGCTAATGCTGCAAGAAATACATGCAGATGCAGATGCACCTGATCATCCTGCTGTGTAGCACAGCTGGAGTCAATGGGACAGGGTAGAAAAAGCTGCAGCCTGCCTTATGTCTTGCTGCTCTGGCCTGTTTCAACGTACAGCCTGGCAAATGTGCTCTCACGGGTTCAACGAACCTCAGAAGGCTGAGACCGTGTGTCCTGGGGTTAAACCCTCCCCATAGGTTTATGGCATGGGCAAGATCTGAACTCAGTCCCGTAGCTGCTACTACACTGGCAATACAGTTTGAAATTTGGGAGTTCTAGGTGTCTGGGATGCGGGTGGCGCTGTGGGTTAAACCACAGAGCCTAGGACTTGCTGATCAGAAGGTTGGCTGTTCGAATCCCCGCGACGGGGTGAGCTCCCGTTGCTCGGTCCCTGCTCCTGCCAACCTAGCAGTTCGAAAGCATGTCAAAGTACAATTAGATAAATAGGTACCGCTCTGATGGGAAGGTAAACGGCATTTCCGTGCGCTGCTCTGGTTTGCCAGAAGCGGCTTAGTCATGCTGGCCACATGACCCAGAAGCTGTACACCGGATCCCTCTGCCAATAAAGCAAGATGAGCGCTGCAACCCCAGAGTCATCCGCGACTTGACCTAATGGTCAGGGGTCCCTTTACCTCTTAGGTGTCTGGGAGAGCTTCAGTGCTGCGACTTGAGCCAGAGTCTATGGCTTTTAGGAGCAGACATTTAGCACACATGTCTCTGCACACAAGTTTACAGGGGCTGCCTCCTTGCGAATCAGCCACTGAAACTACCTAAAGAGCTGGGAGCAGGCAAACCTGGAGTAGTTGTTATACCCATCACGCGCAGGTGTGAGTGTAGCCACTGAACTTCCCCATATGCCTATCTCTGAGTTTTATCACAGATAACTAACTGAAAGAGGTGCAGAGTAGTTTCAAAAGTAAAACCTGTGGGAACAAAAGGTGCATGTTTTCAATAGGCTAATCTAGCCTTCCCTAATCTGGTGCCCTCCAGATGTTGTTGTGCCAAAGCTCCTACGATCCATATCCTCTGGTCATGCCAGCTGGTGCTGATGGGACTTGTTGTCCAAAGCATGTGGAAGGCACCACATTGGGCGGGCGAGGCTGGATTAAACCAATAGGATTCTTGCCAGTGAAATAGGATAAGCAAGTTCAGGCAGTGGCAGACTCCACCAGGCAGTTATCTAGCGCTGCTCTGGCTCATTTGAGGGGACTAAACTCACTGGGTCAGTTCTGGTTGTACGTTCCATGTTCATTCTGGTGTGCCTGGCTAGCAGCACCTGAAGACTAAAGGCTGCGTGGGCAGGGGTAGGATGGGAAATAAGGTTGTGTAATTTCTGTGCGGTTGGGGTTTTGCAACGTTTTCTGAACTCCCTGCCTTGTCTCTTTAGCCCAGATGGCTGCTGGTTCGCTTTGACTCAATGCAAACAAATGTCCCTCTCTACCCCCTGGCCTAGGGCACCCCCCATTCTGAACATTTGCCCCTCTCAAGGCAGAGCACTTTAGCATTTAAGGCTGCCCCATCTGCTGCCTTGTGCCCAAAGAAACTCCAGTACCGGCACTGCCCCACTCGGGAGCTTTGCCCAGCCAGCTGGTGGTGGCGGAGCCAGAAAGCAGCCTTGTGCCCCAGGTGTGCCAGGCCTGGCTTGAGGCTGCAGTGGAACAATTTGTACAAAAAGAATTAGCGGCGGCGGCAGGCAGGCCTGGAGGGAATATTCCGGCTGGTAAATGTGCTGAACTCTGTGGGCCCCACCCAGCTGGGAAGTGAGTTTCCGGAGCTGCCACATAATCTTGGTGCTTTGAATGCTCTATTTTTAGGGCTGCTTTCAACTGATTTGGGAGCTGCACCGCTTGCCCTTGGCCTCGCTGTCTCAGTAGGTCGGGGGAGTGGGCAGGCCCACCTCCCCAATTCTCTCCCTACCCCAGCCGAGCAAGGATGTTTCAATCTGCAATCTCAGAAGCAAAGGTCGGAGCAGGAGACTAATCACTCTCTCACCTTCCTTGTTTTTCTGCAGAGACACTCTGGCGACAGGACTGGCCCCCTCGAGGCATCGCAGACCCCAAATCTCCTGGCCCTCTCTCAAGCTCTGGTGAGTCTCATTCCGCTTCTTCGGCTGCACGTACACACCTTGCACTTAAAGCACCACCTGCACCAAAAATCCCAGAGAACTGTAGGTTGCTGGGAATTGTAGCTCTGTGAGGGGTGAACTACACTTCCCAGAATTCTTTGGGGAGGGAAAATGTGCTTTAAATGGATGGTACTCTTGGTCTCCCTTTGCCTACAGTCCTGAACACAAACGTTAAGAAACAAGGTTGGCTCTGAGGCGGAGGAGGCGCTTTGCTGTCCTTTCTCGCCAAACCAGCATGGTCAATGATCAGGGATTGTGGGAACTATGAAAATATCTGTAGGGCACCATGTGACAGAAAGCTGGTCTATATCCTTCTGAGTGCAAGACTGAAGTGTCCCTCCAATTTTACTCCAGGGACAACCCCCCTGTCTGCCCTAAATAGCAAAAGATTAGAGAAATGTTGAATTACAATAGTCCTCTAAGGTAGGCCAGTATATCTGAAGGAGCGTCTCCACCCCCATCGTTCTGCCCAGACACTGAGGTCCAGTGCCAAGGGCCTTCTGGCAGTTCCCTCACTGTGAGAAGCCAAGTTACAGGGAACCAGGCAGAGGGCCTTCTCGGTAGTGGCACCTGCCCTGTGTAACATCCTCCCACCAGATGTCAAAGAGAAAAACAACTACCAGACTTTTAGAAGACATCTGAAGGCAGCCCTGTTTAGGGAAGCTTTTAATGTTTGACAGACTATTGTATTTTAATATTTTGTTGGAAGCCACCCAGAGTGGCTGGGAAACCCAGCCAGATGGGCGGGGTATAAATAATAAATTATTGTTATTATAGGCCAATACTATCATTCCCTCTTCAGCTCACCCTCATTCCTACTCCAGATACATAGAAACTGGCAGAGGAGAGAGCTTGGTGAAAGCATAAGCCCTCAGTATTACAGGTGAAGATGTTATGGACCGGCTGTCCTGCCTCAGGCTTGCCTTTAAGTGCCACAAACAAGGTCTTTGTACATGGAGCAGGCCGCCTCAGGCCTTGAGGCGACTGAGTCTCAGCAATGAGAATTGAGTCATGTAGACACGCAGCAAGGGTTCACAATGTGAAAATTCACTTATCTGCGAATCACAGCATGCGCAGATGCGCAGTCACAGGTTGCGTTCACTTCTGGATGCGAACGGGGCTCCGGAACGGATCCCATTCATATCCAGGAGTACCACTGTAGTTGTTTTTCTCTTTGACATCTGGTGGGAGGGCGTTCCACAGGGCAGGTGCCACTACCGAGAAGGCCCTCTGCGTAGCAGGGGAGGAAAGAATTAACCCTCCCCCTGCCCGCTCGTGCCCACCACAATCCCCATCCTGATGCCCACCCACCTTAAATGCAATGGTACATTTCATTTGACGTGTGTGCCCTTTGGTCCCCAGCAGTCCCCTTCTCGCCACATGACGTGTTTCAAGTATTTTTTACATGTAAAAAAAAATATGACATGTCAGGCACATCATACATATTGTGTTGTAGAGACAACCTCACCAGGGAGCTCCGAAATGGCCCCTTCCCTTGCCCATTTTGTATGACAAACAGTGGGGTGGGGGCCTATCCTTGTGTGTCTTGCTGCTTCTACTCCCCTCTTCCTGCAGCGGCTCGCAGCTGGATGCAGGGGGTGAGGTTTTCAAGAAGTGAAAAGCTCTCTCACCTTGTGACCTGCTGCCACCTGATTCATAGCTCTCTTTTCTCTTCCAGCTCACGCCCCAAGGTCTCTCCCAGATGCCTCCCCTCTCCTGCCGCTGCTGCCGCTGCCAGTTGGGGTTCCTGGTGATGTGATTTTATCTTGACGCTCCGAATCACATTGCCAGGGATTTCCAACCGTCAGTGAGCGAGAGAGACCACACCCGACTTGGATGGGAGGCAGCAGAGGCTCACCAGCGGTTGTGGGAAGGTGAGAAGTCTGCCCAAAGCATGGCAAATGCGCCACCAGCCTCGCACGTGGCTGCTATACCTGAGGAGTGGGGAGGCGGCGGCGCATGCACTCATGTGCGAGTGGGGGTTGGGGGCTTCAGCGAGGGACATGGGGTTTGCCAGGAAAGACCTCCCGACTGCAAAGGGTAGGGCTTAGCCCACCTGTGAACAGCGTTTGGTTCCATCATGTTCACAGTGGCTAAGTTCCGCCACTTGGAGTCCATTGTCCCCACATGCAGGCACATGCCACAACTTCATCCCTCAGCAAAGCCTCACCAAGAAGGGATGCCAGGAAGCCAGCCAGCCAGCCTGCGTACTCTACCTTGAAAGCTCCCCCAAGAATCCAGGAAACTGTAGTTTGTTGAGGGTGCTAGAAATAGTAGCTCTCTGAGGGGTAAACTACGGATCTCAGAATTCTTAATTGTGGGGAGGTAGGAATGTACGATGGTGTGTACCCACTTGAGCAGGTGATTCTGGACTTACTGGTTCATGCTGTGGTTCCTGACATGGTACCTATGCTTGCTTTGGCACCCTCAGCCCCCCACTTGGAGCCTGACCTTCCCAATGTCTAATAGATGTTTTTGGGAGGGGTTGGCTTGTGGGGGTAGCCTGTTTGTGGGTTTGCTTTGGTTTGCTTTGGTTTTTTTTTTGGGTGGGTAGGCATTCCACTAGTTTGGAGCAGGGTGATGGCCCTGGACTTCACGAGTCTTTCTTCTGTTAAATGGATACAGTGGTACCTTGGTAGCTTAGTTGTCAGACAAATCGGCTCCTGAACGTTGCAAACCCGGAAGTGAGCGTTCCGGTTTGCAAACGTTTTTTGAAAGCCGGATGTCTGGCGTGGCTTCCATGGCTTCCAATTGAGTGCAGGAAGCTCCTGCAGCCAATCGGAAGCTGTGCCTTGGTTTTCGAACCATTTCAGGAATCGAACGGACTCCCGTAACGGATTAAATTCGAGAACCAAGGTACCACTGTATTTGGTTGGTGCCTACATTTCCTTAAGATTTCCAAACGTGTCCCCAGGGCCCAAGAAGATTAGAGACCCCCAGCCCTCCTTATTTGTCCAGAGCAATTGAATATGTGACAAGCAGTCCCTGCTGTGTTTGGTCCTGTCTCTCCCCTGCCCCCGCCCCACTCCTTCTGAGTGGGGCCCTGGACATCTGCCCCCAAATCCTGCCTTAATGGCACCATGGAAGACCCTGATAGGGGACAGAAAATGCAGGGTGGGTGGGGGTTGAGATAGAGAAGGTCTTCTTTGTTCTGAGCTGGAGAGGGTTGGTGGGGCAGGGGCAGGCAGAGGAGGGGTGTGGAGACCCCAGCTTCCTCCATGGGGCTCTGCCTCCCGTGCCTACTGAGCTGATACTCAGTTGCTTTAGATAAACTGGCTCAGTTCAGCAGGAACAGGAGTCTTGCCCAGACCTTGCAAAGATTCAGCTGCTGGCTGGGGAACCCCACACCTCCGAGGACACAGGCAATGGTCACAGCTGGATTGTCGTCACCTCCAACAACACTGTGAAGGGGCACAGCCTGAGCTGCACGTGTGCCACGGAGGACCCTGAGACTGGCAGGGCCCCCCTCCCAGGAAAACAGCTGCCTCTGCTGGATGCCAGGAGTGCCCGGCCAAAACCTTCTCACCATCCCCACCAGACCTCATACAGCTTCACTGTTCCTCCGCATCACTCTGTGAGAGCGTCTGCACCATCTTTGGGGGCTGGCCTTGCATCACCCCACATGTACGTAAATAAACAGTTGCTGTTAAACGGTTGTCGACTCCTTGCTTGGATTTCCGCCTGTTGAATAGAACGGAAGCAGAGATTTTCAACCTTTTTGAGTCCACAGCTCCCTTGACCAATTCCATTCATTCTGCGGCACCCCTGTGGGGCTCAGGAGCCCAGTTCTGTCACCCCTTGCCTGCAGAGCTGGCAGCCTCTCACCCTTTTTTGAACACCCTCCCTTGTGGAGTGCTCCCTCGGCCTCCTCTCCTCTCCTTGGGAGTCCTCCGGGAATCTGCCACTGCCATCCCTGGTCTCTGAACTCCCCCCACCCCAAAGAAGGATGCTTCCCAGAGGCACCATTCGCCTGCGGAGCTTATAGTCAAGGCTGCTGCAGTGAACAGCTGTGCAAGCCTTTGGGAGGCAGAGACGCCAGACAAAATCAGGGGAGGGAGGGAAGGAAAGAAAGAAAGAAAGAGGGACAGAGGCCAGTGTTCCCCACAGCACCTCTGCTCATCATTCAAGGCACCCCAAGTTGCCACGGCACACAGGTTGAAAACCACTGGTTTACGGGATTGTAAGTGTGGCATCCAGGAGCCAGCAGGACTTTATTCTTACTGCCTTCAGTAGGGTGGATGGCCTCCCCTCCCCGAACCCCACTGCCCCTGTGACGTCATGCGCTGAGACAGCAAGGTGAGGCATTGTAGGGGGTGCAGCATTCTCCCTCGTGTTGTGAACACCTGAAGCCATCTGCCCAGGCAGGGCACAGAGTGAACCTTCCCGCTCTCCCCAACGCAGCCACCCCATCATGCACTCTGCCAGCAAGTCCAGGCTTTGTGAGCAATTAAGGGATTAGAGGAGAGGAGTGGCGCTGGGGATCCCACCCACTCTGAGTCATGCCAGGGCTGAGCCCAAGAGGCCCCTCTCCGCACACCCCTGCCTGTAGGTGTAAGGTGGTGGAGCTAGAATGTTAATGCTGGAGTGTACCAAGGCGCAACAGGGGAGGGCAGCTGGTGAGGGAACCCCTCACCGCACACCCCTGCCTGTAGGTGTAAGATGGTAGAGCTGGAATGTTAATGCTGGAATGTACCAAGGCGCAACAGGGGAGGGCAGCTGGGGTAGCAGGGGAGGTGAAACACAGAAGGGGTGGGGTCCAAGTACACCTGGTTGTAGCACAGGGCGCAGGGGTTGGAGACGGGACTTGGTGATCCTTGGTGGCTGCTCAGCAGCACCTGTTATGGAGAGGGAGTGCATCCTGTCCATTGAGACAAAGGACACATTCTGTGAATGGCTCCTGGGAACCAGCTGCCAGGCACCTTTACTGTCCCAGCCGATCGAATCCCTTTGTTTCTTTTATTTACAAAAGCATTCATACAATATAACATGGTGGGGTAAACAATATATGCAGTAAAGCGCCTTAAAAAAAAAATCATTAAATGACTGGCTAATAAAAAATTAAGCAGCAACGTAGGCCTATACATACAAAAGTCTTCAAAGAGGCACCTGAATATCAAAGTTAAGGGTGCCTGTTGTTTCTCGACTGAGTGTTCCACAGCAGGCATGTGCTGGCACTACGTGCCCAACTTCTGTCTGAGGCCTTTGTAGCATGGGGAACAGCTGGTGATCTCAGTGATGGAGCTGGGGTATAAGGGCTCTGGGGGTCCCCAAGTTATCTTGGATCCAAGTTGTTTGGGGATCTGAATACAAGAGCCTTAGGGGCGTGGGTGGCGCTGTGGGTTAAACCACAGAGCCTAGGACTTGCCGATCAGAAGGTCAGAGGTTCGAATCCCCACAACGGGGTGAGCTCCAGTTGCTCGGTCCCTGCTCCTGCCAACCTCGCAGTTCGAAAGCACGTCAAAGCGCAAGTAGATAAATAGGTACCGCTCCGGCGGGATGGTAAAGGGCGTTTCCATGTGCTGGTCTGGTTCTCCAGAAGCGGCTTAGTCATGCTGGCCACATGACCCGGAAGCTGTACGCCGGCTCCCTCGGCCAATAAAGCGAGATGAGCGCTGCAACCCCAGAGTCAGCCACGACTGGACCTAATGGTCAGGGGTCCCTTTACCTTTATACGAGAGCCTTGAACCTGGCCCAGTAGCCGATGAGCAGCCTGCTGGGGGACTGAGTATTAATCCACACTGCAGAGACAGCAGAGCATGTCCTGGTCCCCCTTTCTGGTCCATGCAAACGAAAACCAAGGGTGCAGGGAGTTGGGGGACGATTTGCCCTGGAACCTGCCAACAAAATGTTGTGGTTTACTTCAGTCTCTGTCACTAGCATTCTCACATGCTGCCCCTTTGCTCCCAAGAGAATTAGCTCAAATCCGATGCTGTAAACATCAGGATTGCAGGGGATGGGATTGCTTGTCCAGCATTCATGTCACCCTCTTCTCCTCACCGCGGATGGACTTCTTGCTTCAGGTGTGAAAATGCCCAAGGCAAGAACTGTCCAAAGTCCTCGAGGTCAACCAAAGACATTTTGGAGCCTGAAGACCCAGCACAACTGACCAGGAAGTTCTCCCATGCAAATGCTACTGCAACCTCCGCCAGGCTGTGTCCCTCTTGGGCTGATCAACCGCCTCCCTTCATTTTGCTCCAAATCCACCATCTGCAGGAGCTGCCTCATAGCAGGGCCAGAGGTGGCTGCAGGGCACCATGACCGGTTCAGCCACACTGGGTACCACACCTACAACAGTGGTGTATAACAGAGTGCAAGAGGCAGAGGTGCCGAATATTAGCATCGCTCAAATTTGAGAGCTGGTCGGCCACTAGCAGATCTGACTGCCCACTAAGTCCCCACCGCTCCATTTACCCAGATATATCCTCTGAAATATATGAATTCAGCTGGAGTTCCCATGCTACTCCAAAGCTGGAGACAGATGACAAATTCCTCTTTCCCCGAAGAGGAATTCTTCCTCTTTTTATTTAATACTGTCAATAGAGGTCCAGTAAAAATCAAAATACAAATAACAAGGGAGAAGTACAGTGGTACCTCTGGTTAAGAACTTAATTTGTTCCGGAGGTCCATTCTTAACCTGAAACTGTTCTTAACCTGAGGTACTTTAGCTAATGGGGCCTCCACTGCCTCACGATTTCCGTTCTCATCCTGAGGTAAAGTTCTTAACCCGAGATACTACTTCCGGGTTAGCGGAGTCTGTAACCTGAAGTGTTTGTAACCTGAAGGGTTTGTAACCTGAGGTACCACCGTATAGATAATAATATAACAGAATGAGAAAACTATAATAATGGTGAACTACATGTTCATCTAAATGGAATGTGTGTGTTTGTGTGCACACACACTCTTCAGTAACTGACAATGTCCCAAGGAGTATTTATAGGTTTGTATTTTCCTGTACTTTCTTGCACTTCATAAGCATGCACCATTTCACCACAAAACAATTACAGAGTTGCAGAAGACATTTTTCAAGGTGAGGTGAAGTTGTGTGATAGCTCCATCATGCCTGTGTGGTGGACACACACATTTCCTTGTCTCACTGTTATCTCTAGGCAAATAGTTGGTTTCCCCCCCCCAGGTTTTGGAAGCACACGACAAAAACCTGCAGGGCCTGTTTGCCCAGAGAGGGATGAGGGAACACACCAAGGACACATAGGCACCTATCACAAATAAGTTCATCAGGTTCAGAGAGAAAGTTGGAAGGGGGGCGATTAGGGTCTCTTTGGGGGAGGGCTGCTTCAAGCATGGCAAGGTCTACCCAAGACTAGGGTTGCCATAGGATTGACTAGGGTTTCCAAAAATGAAAATAGTTGTTGAGCTTTTATTGACCAAAGTTGTTGAGCTTTTTTGGGGGGGGGGGTAGCAAAGGTGTTGAGCTTTTGTTTTGCCCAATCCTTTTTGAGCTATTTTTAAGAAAATTCACCAAAATCTAGACTTCCGGACATTTCAGCAATTTCTGCCCAGACACTGACTGCCATATTCCGGCATTGTCCAGGGAATTCGGGCCGTATGGCAACCCTATGCCAAGACCCTCAAGTTAAGGCCAGCTCATGATATCTTGATGCAGGAGGAGGATGCAGGAGAATTCATGCCCTACTCCCAACAATAATTAACGTGGGATATTCTCCGCCAGGACATTTGCCCATGGGAGCCACACTGCGTGCAAATCCATGAGGTCAGGGTAAGAGTTGCAGGGCTTATCTGTCTTTAGCCCATCTCTGGGAGCACAGGCCATTCCCCCTGTGAAGACACTGCTGCTGTGTAGAGAGAGGGCAAGCTCCCTCTGGCCCAGCGAGCGCTGTTTAGCAGTTGTAAGCGCATGGAGTGAGAGGGGGCAGGCAAGGGGGTGAAGTGAGGGCGCCCAGCAGTTGAAACAACCCCGTCAGGAAGTCCTCGTCTGTCCAGAGCTTTTTGATGTATGCTCCACTATAAATAGGCCTGGAGGAAATGGAGCTATCCTGGAAGCAGATCCTTCCTTTTCCACCCCCACTGCACACCCATGCTGAGCGGGCGGAGCTGCAGTCTGGGCAAGGGGGGGGGACCAGAAGGACAGACAGGGGGCAGGGAAGGGGCCTTTCACCAATGCAGCCTGGAGATCGGGGCAAGGCAGCGGGGATCTGGGTCCCCTGGCCTGGCTGGGTCTTATCTAAACCCAGCAAAGAAATTTCCACAGAGGCCAGTAGCGAGTGCAGCCTGGACTCAAGGCCACCAACGACCCCAGAGATTTCAGGGGCCAGTTTTTGTTACAGAGGGGGAGGCCAGGCGGTCTGCACATGCTCGGAGGCACTCTCTTCACATACTCCAGGGCTAAGCAGAGCTGAGCCCATAGCTAAGGAAAGAACCATTTCAGTTCTCCGAGTTTCTCATTTTTATAGTTCTTCACATTTCCACAGCAATGTGCAATTTGTTTTAATCATGAAAATCTGCTAGCATTTTTGTGCATGCAGTTTTGATTAATATATACAGTGGTACCTTGGGTTAAGTACTTAATTCATTCCAGAGGTCCGTTCTTAACCTGAAACTGTTCTTAACCTGAAGCACCACTTTAGCTAATGGGGCCTCCCGCTGCTGCCGCGCCGCTGGAGCACAATTTCTGTTCTCATCCTGAAGCAAAGTTCTTAACCTGAAGCAATATTTCTGGGTTAGTGGAGTCTGTAACCTGAAGCGTATGTAACCTGAAGCATATGTAACCCGAGGTACCACTGTACACTTAGAACCCAATTTCCCTGATAGGCTTTTTTGTATATTGTTTTCTCATTGGTGTGTGAATTTGGTAGTTTCTTATTAAAATTTTAACGTAACAGAATTTCTCCTCCAACCTAGCACTCAAAACAGCAAAAGCTCCAGGACAAAACCCAGAGGGAGAGTGGCATTAAAAATACCCCCACCCCTTTTACAGCTCAGCAATTCTCCCTCCCTTGATCGGGGCAACTAAAATACACAGTCATCACCACAGCCAGATGAGAAGCATCACTCTGAAGCGACTGCTATTTATATCTCCTGGGGGCTGGAGGCTCATTTTGCTGGGAGCCAAATGACAGCCCTGGTGGAGAAAAGGGAATCTTTCAAGGTTTCATGTGATCCTTGGAGACAGTACTCCATGCCCTGAAATAAATATATGTCAGCATCTTATTTATTAATCACAGCGATATCCCAGTCTTCCTCCAAGGTCCCCCAAGTAGGGCTAGCCTATTTTATTCTCACACTAACCCTAGGAGGATGTAGAATAGCAAAGTACCTCCGTGGCTGATTTGAGCCCCACCCAAATGTAACATACTATGGGAACAAAGGAGGAACTTTGGTCTATCTAGTTCAGTGTTGTCTACACTGACTGGCAGCGTCTCTCCAGGGTTCTAAGGGATCTAGGGGTCTTAGTAGATCACAAGCTGAACACAAGTCAGCAGTGTGATGTAGCGGCAAAAAAACCCCTAATGCTATTCTAGGCTGCATCAACAGAAGTCTAGGGTAGTCAGAGTTCCACTGTATTCTACCTTGGTCAAACCACACCTGAAATATGGTGTCCAGTTCTGGGCACCACAGTTTAAGAAGGATATTGACAAGCCAGAATGTGTGCCAAGGAAGGAGACCAAGATGATCAGGAGTCTGGAAATCAAGCCTTATGAGGAATGGTTGAGGGAGCTGGGTATGTTTAGCCTGGAGAAGAGGAGACTGAATGGAGATATGTCAGCCATCTTCAAATATATTAGGGGCTGTCCCATGGAAGATGAAGCTTGTTATCTCCTGCTCTGGAGGGTAGGACTCGAATCAATGGCTTCAAGTTACAAGAAAAGAGGTTTTGACTAAACATCAGGAATAACTTTCTGACAGTAAGACAGGGGAACAGGCTCTCTTGGGAGATGGTGGGCTCTCCTTCCTTGGAGGCTTTTAAGCAGAGGTTGGGACGCGTGTCCATGCTTGAGTTTTCTGCATTGCAGGGGGTTGGACTAGATGACCCTCAGAGTCCTTTCCAACTCCACAATTCTGTGATTCTATTCCTCTTTGGGTCAGTAAAGAAGATCAGGTTATCAGAGCAAATTAGGCCTGCTCTTTTATTTGCTAAGAACATACCTACCTGGAACATTTAACCTGATGTTTATACCACTTTAACTTTCCCCAAAGAATGCTTGTGGTTGCAGTTTGAACAGGGTGCCATGAATTCTCTATCCCACCCACAATCCAGAACTGTAGTCCCCACCCCCACCCCAATTGCTGGGGAGATGGACTGGGGGAAGAGCAAACCGTTCAAAGAGTATGATGTTCAGAGAGGTTTGAAAGCTGACTTCAACCTCCAATTTTAGAAGTTAAGCAGAGATACCTGTCGGCTGCTCCCAGTCCTGGCCCTCCCAGCCCAGCTACCCTTAGAGGCTCTTAGGCCTCTTGGAGGGGAGAAGATGCTTAATCCTTCTTAATTCAGCCACCTGCCACCTCCCCCACCCCCCCACCCCAAACTTCCCTTCCGGGCATTTTGTGCTCCAACCCCATGTTTGCAATGCAACCACAGGGTTGGAAAGGCGGGTGGCGGGCAGCGGGCAAGGACTAAGCAGCACCCACAAGCCACCCATACTTCCTCTGTGGCAAGGATATGTTGCAAGTTAAAAAAAAAAAGGAAATGGGGGCTTGGGACTGCACAGGACTGTTAACCAGCAGCTTGAAGGAACCCCAGTTCCCAGGAACTTTCCAAAAGAGGAGCAAGCGAGCACACAAAGGAAATGAGTCAAGGCCCAAGCAGAAGTGTTTGAGGGGGAACTGGGATCGAAAAGAGCAATGCAAAGTGTCCTCCCGTTGAAGGTCCAGAAAGCCAGGCCCCGGGGGTGCCAGGGGGCTGCCAGGGCAAGAGAGAAGGGGGCCTGTTGGTGCCAGTCTTGTGTTCCCAGCCAGATGGGGCAGGGGCTCCAACACTGCCCATCAACCCCACCCCAGATAGGCATGGGCGTAGCCTAGGGCTGCCATACATCCAGAACTTCCCAGAAATAGCCGGGATTCGTCCATCAAAAATGGAGTCCGGGCAGAATTATTGCAAAGCGTCTAAATGCCCAGGAAAACCCAGGCATATGGCAGTTCCATATCGGAACTGTTGATTTTTTGGGGTGATTTTCCTTAAAAAAAACACAAGTTTAAACCTTTGTTTTTAAGATTCTGCAGTGTAGGGGGAAGGGGGGCAGTCGCTCCCCTCAAATCAAGTACAGTGGTACCTCGGGTTACAGATGTTTCAGGTTGCAGACTCTGCTAACCCTGAAATAGTACCTCGGGTTAAGAACTTTGCTTCAGGATGAGAACAGAAATCGCATGGCGGCAGCGCAGCGGCAACAGAAGGCCCCCCTTGACTAAAGTGGTAACTCAGGTTAAGAACACTTTCAGGTTAAGAACGGACCTCTGGAACGAATTAAGTTCTTAACCAGAGGTACCACTGTAAATAAAAATACTTAACTAACTGATCCATTGCGTCACAGATACCCCGATTCTGCCTGCCACATAAAACCTGCCCCCCCCCCAAAAAAAAATCCTGGCTACACCCATGAAGCTAAGCCAGCCTTTTTCGACCTGGGGCCCCCAGTTGCTGGACTACAACTCCCATCATCTCTAGCTAGCAGGACCAGTGGCCAGGGATGATGGGCTTCCAGATGTTGTAGCAAAGCACACACAACTGGCGGCGGGGGGCGGCCCCAGGGTTGAATCCCTCGGCCCAGCCGGGCGCTGTTTCTGCCGCAGCAGCAGCAAGCGCTTCCCTCGCGTGCAACGGCGGCTTCCTCGCCCAGCGGCGGATGAGGCGCGCCCGAGCGTGGGCCGGGAAGGCGGGCGAAGCGGCTGCTCGGGAACAGCCGCCGGCGGAAAAGCAGCCGCGCCGCCCGCACGTAGCGCACGGGCCGAGGATGCGCTGGGGCGCGGCGCCCTCTCGCGGCCGAGGCTGAGCGTTGCCGCTGAGGATCCCGCGCGAGGCAAGGCGCGGCTGCCGCGGGGCGTCGCTGTTGGGATGAGTTGGTCACCCCGGATCACACAAAACTCCCATTGCAAAGCATGCGGGGGGTGGAGTTTTGAATCTCCTAAACACACCCGCCGCCCGCAGCCAGAGGGTCTCTAGTTATGGATCCAGATATGTGTGTATCTGATTTCAAGTCTTTACGTTCTTAATTGGCAACGTGCTTGGAAGAGGTCTTCATAATCACAACTGGAAATGATGGATAAATTGATGTCGTATAACTTACTTGCTTGTATAAGCCATGTTCCTCGAACTTGGAGTTTACAGCCCTTTCCTATAATCCAGTTATAAATTGTAGAACAGGCATGGCCAAACTCGGCCTTCCAGATGTTTTGGGACTACAGTTCCCATCATCCCTGACCACTGGTCCTGTTAGCTAGGGATGATGGGAGTTGTAGTCCCAAAACAGCTGGAGAGCCAAGTTTGGCCATGCCTGCTGTAGAAGAATGAGACTCCCGTTTGTTTCAAAGGTGTGCAGAAGAGGGAAAGCGCAGCTCTGGCTTGGCTGACTCTAGCAGTCCTTGTGTATTTCTGCCTGGCTCTTGCATTGCCAGCCGGGCATTTATATATAAAAATATAAAGCAGTATAAAGGTAAAGGGACCCCTGACCATTAGGTCCAGTCGCGGATGACTCTGGGGTTGCGGTGCTCATCTCGCTTTACTGGCCGAGGGAGCCGGCATTTGTCCGCAGACAACTTCCGGGTCATGTGGCCGGCATGACTAAACCGCTTCTGGTGAACCAGAGCAGCACACAAAAATGCCGTTTACCTTCCCGCCGGAGTGGTACCTATTTATCTACTTGTACTTTGTGCTTTCAAACTGCTAGGTTGGCAGGAGCAGGGACCGAATAATGGGAGCTCACCCCGTCACGGGGATTCGAACCGCCAACCTTCTGATTGGCAAGCCCTAGGCTCTGTGGTTTAACCCACAGCACCACCCACGTCCCTATAAAGCGGTATAGAAATGAAATAAAAATAATCCCAGATGTGTGCGTGCGCTGGTTGAGTTGACTAGGGCACAGAACCTAGGGAAGAACCTCAGTGAAGCATCCTGCACACATCAGGAGCGAGTGAACTCAAAATGCCAAATGGCAGGCATCCCTTTTCCAGTTCCCAACTGGGTAAGGAGCCAGAGACTCCCGTGAGCCCTTCCTTAACCCAAGTGGCCTATTGAGAAGTCCATTAATGCCATTGTGGATGTTAGCAGCCAGCAGAGGGCAGCATTACCAAGAGGTGAGGCGAGTGATGGCAGATCTTGGGCTGCCATCAATGAGGGCAAGAGAGGGTGGTGGGAAGCTCTGACCTTTTGAAGCAACCCCGTTCATTTCAGTAGGACTTGCACAGAGACCCCTCTCTGTGGGGTTGTGCCTGTGTTCATTAGTGAGGAGGAGGAAAGGACATTTGGGTTCCCTGCCACCCAAGAGAAGTCCAAAGACCACCAAGCTGAGATATTTTGCTTCCCTGGCAATGTTCTGCACCACTGTCCAAACTTGTGATTCCTAGCAACTGATATTACAAAGTAAAGGACCCCTGGATGGTTAAGTCAAGTCAAAGACGACTCTGGGGTTGCAGCGCTCATCTCGCTTTCAGGCCGAAGGAGCTGGCGTTTGTCCACAGACAGGTTTCCAGGTCATGTGGCCATCATGACTAAACCGCTTCTGGCGCAACGGAACACCATGACGGAAACCAGAGCCCATGGAAATGTTGTTTACCTTCCCGCCACAGGGGTACCTATTTATCTACTTGCACTGGCATGCTTTCGAACTGCTAGGTTGGCAGAAGCTGGGACAGAGCAATGGGAGCTCACCCTGTTGTGGGGATTCGAATCACCGACCTTCTGATTGGTAAGCCCAAGAGGCTCAGTGGTTTAAGCCACAGTGCCACCAAAATACATAGATAGGCAACAGAGATATTGTGTATCCCTTCGAACTCTACGATTCTGTGACACCAATGGCTACAACAGCACATGAAATCGGAACTGTGATGCTTCTATCTTGATCCAAGGAGCTTAGTGTAAGATTTGGCTTTCCTTGTCAAAAAAGTTGGAAAGGGATGGAGCCACAATGGCTAGTAGTCCTTGCTAGCCTTGTTCTCCATGAACTTGTCTAGTCCTCTTTTAAATCTATCCAGATAGGTGGCCATCATTACCTGTTGGGGGAATGTGATTCATAGTTTGCACAGGGCTGGAGCAGAAACTTGATTCATTTCGCATTTAAAGAGTAATTTCCTAATTCACACTTTCTAAAATGATAAGGAAACAAACACAACCATCCTTGAAAATGCCCCCTTCTGCAAATGCTGCAAAGCAGTTTGCCAGCCAGGTAACGCCATACGCTAAGATACAGAGTACTTAACAAATGCATATATTAGTGAAATAAAATACAAAAGCATTTTCTATTTGGGGAAATCGCTCTGCAAAAATGGGTCTATTAGGCAGAATTGTATATAAAAAGGTATATAGTACATTAGGGTGGCTATATTTCAAAAAGTGAAAATCCAGACACAAAAGTTGTTGAGGTTTTTTTTAGTTTTGAGCTTTTTTTTTTGCAAAATCTCAACAAAAAGTTTTTGAGCTCTTTTTAAATGAAAAATCACCAAAATCTACACTACCGACATGGGCTGCCATACATCAGGATTTTGCTGGACATTTCAGCGATTTCTGCCTGCACTGTGCTTAAGGGGACTGAATACCAGCTATGCCTGGAAAATTCCAGATGTATGGCAACCCTATAGTAGGATAGATTTGCACAAAAATGGTGGCAAATTTTCATGAAGTTACTATTTTAAAATTGCAGTTGGAAAAATTAGTGAGAAACTGACATGGCTGGATTGGTCCATTGCTAGTGAAAAAGTACTCTCTTTTGTCTCTCCTGAATCTTCCACATTCAGCTTCTTTGGATGTCTCCATGATACAGGCGGCCTCCCTTAGGCCTGGTACAGTCAGGCTGGTGCTGAGGAACAGGTGCTCAGGGCCACCCCACCCAGCTAATCAACCTCTGTGTGGGCAGCGCTGATTTGGGTGACTCATCTGGCTGAGTTTTGCGCATGACCTGTCCCTGCCTGAGCACCCTTCCTTATAGTCTAAGGTAAAGGTAAAGGTAAAGGACCCCTGACAGTTAAGCCCAGTCGTAAATGACTTTGGGGTTGCGGTGCTCATCTCGCTTTACAGGCCGAGGGAGGTGGCGTTTGTCCACTCCGCAGACAGTTTTTCCAGGTCATGTGGCCAGCATGACTATGCCACTTCTGGCAAAACCAGAGCAGTGCATGGAAATGCTGTTTACCTTCCTGCCGGAGTGGTACCTATTTATCTACTTGAACTTTAACGTGCTTTCAAACTGCTAGGTTGGCAGGAGCTGGGACTGAACAACGGGAGCTCACCCTGTCACAGGGATTTGAACCGCCTACCTTCTGGTCGGCAAGTCCTAGGCTCTGTGGTTTAGACCACAGCCCCACCCTTCCTTATGGTCTAGCTTGAATCTATTTCCTCCTAAATTTGCTGCATCTGGCTGTTTGTGTGCTATCCATGCAACTACCTCCAGGGAAAGAAACTACGATTGCAAAACGGAACCGCCAGTCATGGCCCTACCTGGGTTGGCCAACCTGGACGGGAGTCATCCTTTACTATCATGCAAGAGGAAAACAAACACTAAGCATCCAGGTGAGCTGACTCAGCCCATGCACTGCTGGAAGAACCACCAGCCCAGCCCTCCAAGACAGTGTTTCTGTTTAAAGATGTAATACAGATTGTGAGGATGGTCAGGTGTCCTTAGAAATGACAGTAGTTGAAGATGTTCCTCTATTTGAAGGACTGTCTGGTCCAAGTCCAGTTCAAATATAAAGTTGCCCATCAATAGCAGGCTGAGTGGGCACGCATATTTATATTTAAATTATAGCATTTATTTATAATTTTGCACCGATACATATAAATCAGTTCTTGCACATTTGTGGCTCGCTTTACTTAGTACAGTGGTACCTCAGGTTAAGAACTTAATTCGTTCCGGAGGTCCATTCTTAACCTGAAACTGTTCTTAACCTGAAGCACCACTTTAGCTAATGGGGCCTCCTGTTGCCGCCGCCAGATTTCTGTTCTCATCCTGAAGCAAAGTTCTTAACCCAAGGTACTATTTCTGGGTTAGCGGACTCTGTAATCTGAAGCGTCTGTAACCTGAGGTACAGCTCCCATTGTTTGGTCCCAGCTCCTGCCCACCTCGCAGTTCGAAAGCATGTCAAGTGCAGGTAGATAAATAGGTACCACTCTGGTGGGAAGGTAAATGGCGTTTCCGTGCGCTGCTCTGGTTCGCCAGAAGCGGCTTTGTCATGCTGGCCACATAACCCGGAAGTTGTCTGCGGACAAATGCCATCTCCCTCGGCCTATAGAGTGAGATGAGCACACAACCCCAGAGTTGTCCATGATTGGACCTAACGGTCAGGGGTACCTTTACCTTTACCTATTGTGGCACTGCAGTCAGTCAGGCTTTGTTGACCTTTAGGTTAATTAAAATTCAGGCATTTCTAACTTCTGCTACACAGCATGCAGGGTTAGTCTTTTAGAGCAGAAACCGAGCCTCGAAGATTAATGGATCCGACTTCTTCAGATGTTCTGCTATTGCCCTTGGTTTTATTATTTTTACGCCTTCTGGAAGTGCCACTGTGGCTCTGAAAGCTATAAATCCAAGAAGGAATAACCAATTGCCCCAGTGCTGTTATGTTCCTGGTGGTTCTCCTCTTTGAAGACTAAAGGCTACATACAGTCCCTTATGCCACAAGAAAACCTGACCCCCTTTCAGACCCAAGTGGGGAATGTGTGGCCCGGCAGAGGCCACTGGGCTCCAACTCCCCTCCACCCAGTGGGCAGTAACAGTGGACCCTACTCTGTGGCACTCAGACCCTGCCAGCACTTGAGCAGTAAACTTGTTCTGATTGTACAGTATGGTTAAAATGAGCTGATTTTTAATCTCCTTTGCTTGAACAATTTATGTATCATTGAGCACCAGTGTCTCTTAAGTGGTGTACATTAGGCTTATCAAAAAGATACAATCTGTTTCTGGAAGGCCACAGGTTTGCCTCCTCTGCCCCCAGCTTCAAGGTGCCATAGGAGTCTTTCTCCAAATTTCTAGTAGTGATACCTAGAGAGGACAATTGCTTGAAGCCCCACTAACAGAAGCTGACACAAGGACATCCTCATCTATGCTCCCATGTGAAATCTGCGTTACAGGAATTAGAGCTGACCTCAGTTTGCCCCCCCTCTTCTCCTGTGTAAATAGGTGCCAAATATTATACTGCTGTTTTCTATGCAAACATTTGGCAGAATGTTATGATTTTCATGTTTGGTTTCATTGACTGGCATTTCATGTTGTCAGTTGGTACCATTGCTTTGATTGGGTGATATGCGGACACACAGAGTGCAACAACAGCCACAACCCAACAGCTGCCATGCGACATTTTACAAATGCTTTTTGTACTAGTCTCACCTGTGCATTTAACCAATCAGGAAACAGGTGGGTCTGTCTGTCTGTCTCTGTCTTTCACACGCAAAAACACCCTGAGAAGCATTTCAAATCTGGGTGATGAGCTTTCAGAGAACTTCAAGACCCACAAAACAGCCACTGCTCATTCTAGCACAAGACTGTTTTCTTTATCTGCCCATGTATCAAGGCTACAGCTCAGGGGCCCTGCCACCATCCTGCTAATAATTAAATGCTGTGGGCCAGTCATTACTTGCTCCCTATCTGTGACTCAGGACTATGTAATCTGGAAGTAAATGTCCCAACCAGCACGGTTGGGTTTCACTCAAGGCTTGTATTATGACTTATAAAGTTCTCAGTGCTACAACTGCCCTGCAGGTTTGCCAGGGACCTCACCCCAAAACTTGTTGAGAAATAGGTAGCTCGGGCTAGGCAACCATTTCAGTGACTGGAGGTTGATAGCAGCGGTGTTCAAATTTACCTTTGAATATACTTGTCAAAGTCCTGTTATTTAGACTTTCTGCCACAGGCACAACAATATTTTGGGACAGGTTGTGGAATACAATTTCAGTATGCTTTTCTTATACTTCTTTCAGGGCATGAAGGAATAATTCATGGTCATGCTGTGATACAAGCCACTATACCCAACCTGATTATGGAATCCCGTACCAAATGAAGACTTGGATGTTACACGAGAAGAAGCTCATTTGAACCATCAATGCTCAAGAAGGCATGGAACAGGGACAAACCTAGATTAAGGGCAGGGATGGGCAAATCAGCCTGTTCCCATGTCACCCATATGCATGTATGTTTACTCAAAAGTCTGATCTGTCCTCTTCCAGCATGCATCCCGCACAAAGTATGCATTTGTACTTGTATCTCTAAATGTATTTTCTCTGAGCACATACATTTGGGAAATATGAAAGCTGGGAGGTTTAATGTGCATTTTAGTCCTGGAGGTACAAATAAGATCTAATTGGCACATTGCTTTAAGCCATAGTTATAGATTGTGCTTTAAAGGAGTGCATGTGCTGCTGCTGAGATCACAGATGCTTTGATCCTCCCCTGTACTTCTGGGGAAAAAATCATGGTCTTGCTTTGTTTGCCAAGGCTGGATGTAATGCTCAGTGAGAACATGGCGTCTTTCCTGGCAGCAGCAGCAAGAGTGGAAGGAAGCAGTGAAGCACCAACTTTGGCAGCGTTGCCCCAGCACCCAGGGCATCCACATATAAGTGTTTGTGGGGGTTTTGGTCCAAAGTAGGACGCGGCTGGCGCTGTGGGTTAAACCACAGAGCCTAGGACTTGCCGATCAGAAGGTCGGTGGTTTGAATCCCCATGAGGGGGTGAGCTCCCGTTGCTTGGTCCCTGCTCCTGCCAACCTAGCAGTTCGAAAGCACATCAAAGTGCAAGTAGATAAATAGGTACCGCGGGAAGGTAAACAGCGTTTCCGTGCGCTGCTCTGCTTCGCCAGAAGCGGCTTAGTCACATGACCCGGAAGCTGTACGCTGGCTTCCCCAGCCAGTAAAGCAAGAGGAGCGCCGCAACCCCAGAGTCGGTCACGACTGGACCTAATGGTCAGGGGTCCCTTTACCTTTTTAGCCAAGGTGAGTCAATTCATTTGAGGATCATTTGCAAGAAAACAGTGAGAAACAACACACACACACCATCTCCAAAAGAGAAGCCAAAAAAACAAATGTTGCGGTTTATGTTAAACCTTTTACAAAATAATACAATAAATGATTCAATAAATAGAAAAAAAAAATTACAAAATTACAGGATTTTTTTTAATACAGGGAAACAAAGAAATAAACCCAGAAACTTTAAAACTAACTGACTAGCTGGCTCCAAAGTGGAGCTGTGCAACACACCAACATCTCCACCAACACTAAGGGCCAAGAGGGGCTGAGCGCAGGACGCAGCCCCCTTGGCCCCATGCGCACGAAAAGGAGCCCCTTCGGGACCCCTGGCCTCTTCATATATATTAACTTTTTAAAACATTATCTTGTCATCACAATAATCTAATTAGTAGCATGAGCTTGTTGTGGTTTGTTCCTGAGTAGATTTTATCCAGCAGAAAAAAGAAGTGGGATTTTGGAGCGGGATGTCTCTGGAAATACCATTTAGCACCCCACTAGGGCCACTTAGAGACCTCCCCCCGCCTTCCTCCACGGGAAACACCGGACCGGCTGCGCAAGACACCCAGGCGGCAAGATCTAACAGGCGCCAACCAACCAAGTCAGGTGTGGCACAAGGTGTGAGCCCCAAGATCTTCCCGAAAAGCATCCAAAGGCATTTTTTTGGGGGGGGGATGTTTATTGGATCACTGTGGCACAGCCACCTGGAAGGGCAAAACATTTCTGGCATGCCTGGCACTTCACAGCATCATCCTGAAACAGGGAAGGAGGTTTGAGGTATGAACTGTCTACCCACCAGCAGCTCCAGAATTCTAGACTGGAGGAGCCAGAGAACAGGAATCCTTCAGTTGTAGGAGTCTGAGGGGCATTAACTGGAAACAAAGGTAGTTCTAGAGGGGCAGGGACAGAAGAGGACACTGGGGCCCCCCAAAAATGGCTAAAGTGCCCCAACCCCCGCAAGTAGGGCCTGGCGCCAACCTGCCACTGACAAGCTAAAAGCCGAAGGGAAAGCTGAAATACTGACGAATTTGGTAGGGGTGGGGGGAAGAGAGGGAGTCATGCTTGGAAACGAAAGAGGAGGGGGGAGGAGGATGCGCCCCCCAATGCACAAATAAAAGAATGGGCGAGGGACTGGAGAAACCCGTTTGCTTGGAGTGACAGGTTGCATTCTGTGGCAGCAGGGTGGGGGGAATGTAATGTGTGCGAGACACCCCATTTTGGGGACCGAGACAGATGCCTTCCTGGTCTCTTGCAAAGGTGAAATTCCACAAAAGGGACGCAGCAGGGTTCCTGTCCTCAGTGGATGTGGGCAACTACTTGCTTCATTAGATCGGGCCGGGTGAACCCCAGAACGTGCCCCACCTACCACCAGCAGACCAAAAGCAACTCTTCTACTGGCTCATCCAGCAGGAAGTTGTTCCCCTCGTCGCTCGACTTCTTGGAGAACATTTGCGCCGGAAGGACTTAGATGGCTCCGGCAGCGAGGCCCCCCCCCCCCCTTCTGGCACTAGGGGCTCAGCTCCAGATACTTTCGACACGAAGGGAGAGCAACTCAAATGTTATCAGTGCAAGGAGGTATCAGAAGTTGACGGGTCGCCTACCCCAGGCCTGTTAAGGACACTCAAGCCCCTATTTTGAGTCTCCAGACTTCAACACACAGGTTTGGGACTTCGGACCTAAAGGGATCGGGGGGGGGGGGACCGAGAGAGCCCGTGCGGGTCTCAGCAGGGAAGATGATCGGCATTCATGCATCCCACCTGAGCTTGCATAAACAAAGCCCAAACCGACTCGCTAGGCTTGAAATATGACATCAGAACAGCAGCTGTGAAATTCCATGGGACTGGACCCCCCCACACACCACTTGCAAGACCCTGCCAGGGCTTGGACCCTTCAACCAAAGTGGGGGGGGGGGGTTCCTGTTTGCATTCCTGCAAGTTAATACTGAAAAACCGGCAACTCCTGGAGCCAAAGAACAAGCCCAACTCCTTCCTGCCCCACTGAGGCAGCCGAGGGAGCAGCTGGGGCTTCAGGCTTCAAACAGAGGCTATGCTCAGCCCAGGTGTTGCAGGGGGAAAAAACCCTCCCCACCCCAAGGGCCTCCACATGGGACCCCCAGCCGAAGTGCAGGCCCATCTGCTACAGCCCCGGAGCACCTCCGCCGAAGGGAAGAGAGACCTCGCTGCTCTCTCACCTCCAAGTAAAGGGATTTCTGAACCCAGGCAGAAGTCCAGGCTCCGCTTCATCAACCCACCCCCAAAGCACTAGTGCCCCAAGGGAAACAGATCTTACCACCCCACCCTCCAAGCTAAAGTCCTTCTGATCAAGGGGAGAGAGGTGCCCCTCTGAGCACCCTCCCCGCCCCCAGCCAAAGCATGCGCGCCCCAGAGCAGCCCCTAGCCAAAGCGCTCCCGCACGAGCAACATCAGTTTCTTTTTGCCCTTGTAGGTCTGTTTGAGGTTGTCAAGGAACTGGCTAAAGCGCATGTGCCCTTCGTGCGCCATCAGGAACGTCTCGCGGGCTTTCCCCAGGAACTCGATGAACTCGCCGTAGTGCCGGGGGCTGATGTGGGTGAGGCGCGAGTGAGTGGTGCTGATGTAGGCAGCCATGGCGGCCTCCAGGAGCTGGCAAAGAGGAGCTTTGTCCATCGCAAAGAGCTTCCCTCCGGCACCGGCGCCCCCCGCCCCGCGGCGCCCCCCACCCAGTGAGGCAAGGCCCGGGGGCGGAAGGCTCCAGCGGTGCAAGATGTCAGAGAGCATGGGAGCGCACTGGACGCTCTTGATGACCAGCGGGACAATGGCAGCCAGCTCGTTCTTGCCCAGCGACTGGCTGAGGGAGCAGGCCCAGAGGACGTCGTTGAGGGCGGGGTGGGTGTCCTGGTTGAAGGCGATGCTGAGGTGCGAGAAGGCCAGGGTGGCCAGCTTGTAGGCGCGCAAGGGCAGCCCGCGGTGCTCCATGTACCGGGCCACGGTGAAGAGGTGGGAGTGGCCCATGCCTGCGGAGGCCGCCGAATCCAGGACGATCTGGTAGGCCGCCTCAAAGGCCGCGTGGTTCTTCTCGCAAAGCGTCAGAGCCGGCAGCGCACAGTTCTGCGGGTCCTTCATGGCGCACTGCAGCGCCAGCGTCCGTGCGCAGCTGCACAGCTCCTCCCGCTGCACCGTGCTCAGGCTCAGCCTCAGCAGCGTCGCGTGCGTAGTGCCCGTCACGGCCACGATGGTCGTAGCCTCAATAGGTGTGAAGAGCGTGTACCAGTTTTGCATGATGTTCATCAAGGCCTGGACACCTGAAAGGGAAAGGGGGGGTAAGCGCAAAAGTCACGAAGCAAAGGGCACCCACCCCCAAGGCGTGGACCCTGAGCACTGTGGGCAAAGCGGAAGCAGGAAAGGTTCAGCTCCCGAGAGGCTGTCATCTCTTTGGTGGGAAAGAAGCAGGACCCATCAAGGAAAAGGAATCAGAAGAATCTTTATTTGCATCAGCCGCTACCCAGGGCAATAAAAAAAAAATGTACTGAAGATAGAGGTAAAAACTTAACTACAGAAAATACATTTTGGGGGTTTACATCAATAATCAAATAACAGATCTTATTCTAATTGCCCCCGTTAAACACCTTGCAGTTTTTGTGGTCACCTCATCATCTTCACGGCCTAGGACCCTTGTACCTATGGGACTGCCCCACGGAGGACCTTAAGGTCCATAAATAGCAACACCTTAGAGGTCCCGGGCCCTAAGGAAGTCAGATTAGCCTCAACCAGAGCCAGGGCCTTCTCAACACTGGCTCCGGCCTGGTGGAACGCTCTGTCTCATGAGACCAGGGCCCTGCGGGATCTGATTTCTTTCCGCAGGGCCTGTAAGACAGAGTTGTTCCGCCTGGCCTTTGGCTTGGAATCAATTTGATTCCCTCCCCCTCTTTCTTTTTTCCTTTCTCCTCCTGTGAAGAGGCTGCATTTTAATGTTTTAATGTTGTGTTTTAATCTTGTTTTTTAAGTTGTATTTCAATCTACTTGTTTTTATTATTGGTTGTTAGCCGCCCTGAGCCCAGTCTTGGCTGGGGAGGGCGGGGTATAAATAAAAAATGATTATTATTATTGATCTGCTAAAAGAAAGGACACAGCGGCAATGGTTGAGCAACCTGGCATGGACAATAATAGAGGGGTAATAACCTCACTCCTCAAATCTTCATAGAGTCCAAGCCAAAAGCACATGAGCCACTGACTCCATACTGCCATCTCCACAGGGACATAACCGTTTTTCCAGTGGAATTTTTTTGAAACCGACCCTCAAGCACAGCCGAAGGCAGGATATTCAATCTCGCAAAAGACTAGGTGGAAAATAATCATGCCAGGGACAAAGTTTCCTTATTGCGGCCACCAAGGACATTTTTGCGGCAGAGTGACCACCTGCCCCAGCAGCCGCATCGCAAGCACTCACCAATCTCAGTGGCGCAGCTGACCAGCCAGCGGACCATTTCCCTCCGTCGCCAGGTCATGGTGTTGAGCGTCATTCGCATCACCTACGGGAAGAGCAGCGGGCGACAGGCATTTGCAAGACTGCGCGGAAGGAGCCACGAGGCATCTGAGGAGCTCCACTTGGGATGCCCTCCCTCCTCCCTTCCTAGGATGGCTGTTCTTGCTGCTGCTGCTGCTCCTACTACTAAGTGAAGTCTCAGACAAGCATCCAGCACTGCAATCCAGTGGTAGGCATGGAAAGAGGCAGTTTCCACCCCTGCGTGCCCCTAGGGTGAAACCATTCCTTCCCTCTCAAGTTCCCCACCTGCAAAAGGAGACCTTCAAAGGGCAGGAGGAACTCCAAGAAAGCGCCTTGTGACACGGTTGGCTCCCAGGGGACAACGCAGGAGACTTTCACTTAACTTGGGGCCGGACCCTCAGGGTCCCTTTCAACTCTACCCATCCAAGTTCAACATGCATTTACCATAAAAATTATACGGTTTTTCAAGAATGCAGAAACCTCTTGCTCATCCAGGAAGGAACTTGATTTCAGCAAGGATAGTGGGTGGGAAATGAGCAAATGGTACAAAGATGCTGTTTTAAAATTCCTTTTTTAAAAAAAGCTCAAGTGCCCCTGGTTAGTGAGAATCCACATCCTAAAGGAATCTATTATTTCAAACAGCCGCACCAGAGCTTTTGACTGGAAATTGTCCTGCCCAAAAATCATGAGCAGAACTCTCTCACTCGGGATCCTCCATCTGCCGAGTAAAAACTGAAGAGCCTAAAATTAATTTAATTTGGAATAGGCGGAAAATATAAAAAACAAATTTAAGGAACCACAGAAAGAGAGGGAAGTCGAGTTTTGAAATGTTGAAGATATTGTAAAATTATTGAAATGTATAAAACTGAAGATCATAAACAAAACACTAATTTATAAAAAGAAAAATTATTCATTTAGGCACTTGGCTGATGGGCAGTTCCTCAATAAGACTGCCTCAGCTACGGTTGCCACCTGTCCTGTATGATACAGAGTTATCCTTTATTTTGATTTAAAATGTTATGTTCTGTACTGATAAAGCATTTTTTTATATTTTCTGCCTAGTCCAAATAAAATTAATTTACTCATTTATTCATCTACTTTAAATATATACTCTTATAAAACTGCAGGTTATTCCAATAATCCTGCCAATGTTCTTATCTGTTTACAGTTTACTTGCAAATCTTCAATAAAACATTTCCATTCATTTATTTAAAAAAACAAAACAAAACTGAAGAGCCGAGAGGACCGGGCTATGGCGATGGCCCTGCACCGAGAGCAGGGCGCAGGATCTGCTCAAACGCGCCCTCACCTGCAGGCCAAGCTCCAGGGAGATGTTAAGCAAGGTGGTGTCTGGCGGCGTGTTAGCTGGCGTGGCCGTCTTGCAGGCATCTTGGGCCAGCTTGAAGAGCAAGGCTGGAGAGTGGATATTTTGCTGGATGGAGCCCAGAACCATGCGCAGCCAGTTGGGGTCACCTAGAATGAGCCAAGGAAAGGAAAGTGTTTATACTCTTCTCAGAGCCAAGAATAGACCCCACGCCTCTGGCCCACTGCTCTGAGCACGGATGCTCTTCTCCCTTCCAGAGAAGGAGAAAAACCTGTGGCCCCCAGATCTCTGACCTCCATCCACAGATGGGACTACCTTTAGCTGCTGTAAGCATGGCTGATGCCAGCTCACACTGCCGCGTCTCTAGGTGGCCGAGGGTGAACCAGCGGGGAAAGCGATTGGCCATCATGGAGTCCAGGGGGTTCTGGTGCAAGATGTCGCTGGCTGGCAGCACGGTCTCCAACACAGGCAGCCTGCGGGGATTGAGAGGGAAACTGGGTGAGGTTGTCGCCATGGCAGAAAAAGAGGGACCAACCTGTTTCCCCGAACGTAAGACATCCCCCGAAAATAAGACCTACTTCCAGTTTTGCCTCTCGCTGTAATATAAGGCATCCCCCCGAAAATAAGACCTCCCCGAACATAAGGCCTCCCTGGAATATAAGCCCCCCGAAGCTACCATAAGGCATCTGACTCCTCTGGACTGTAGTGGCAGGCGCCACCGTGCAGCTTACTGATTGGCTGCAGCGCAGCCGGAGCTGTTTAGGCAGTGCAAGGTCTCTTTAAATCAGAGAGCCCACGCCGCCGCCTGGACAAGCTACCACCTGCTACTCACTCTGCCCTGACAGAGTCTGGCCGACACACAATTAGACAATAAATGTGTACCGTGTTCTTCTTCATGGAAAAATAAGACATGCCCTGAAAATAAGACCTCGCGCATCTTTGGGAGCAAAAATTAATATAAGACACCGTCTTATTTTCAGGGTAGCCTTGCCTGCCAGAAGCAGAGGATCCCAGGAAAGGAAGGCCAGGCTCAAGCAGATATTTGGGGGAAACACAGAATTTGGAAAGAGGGTGGAGAAGCCAGAAATGGGAAGCAGTAAGGCCCTGGGGCCCTTCCCTTTGGACAGAACTACTTTCAATGTTTGAGGTTGATGGTATTTGGCAGCAGCTGGAAAAGAGCCTGGGATGGCCTGGGAGAGGAAGAGGGTAGGAAGTGGAGAAACATAGCAAAGCAGGACAAGGCCTGTTGGGCTGGATTCTGGCCACAAAGAACAACCTGGGTCAGACTGCCCCCCCCTTCCTCCGCCACTGGAGAACAGCACTTTCTCCTATGTATCATCTGGAACCTCAATATCCTTTTCAGAGGCCTGACTCTGAATGCCCCTCTCCAAACGAAGGCGAGGCAAATAGGCATTAGGGAGAAGGCCTTATTGGCCCTGGTCCCTCCCCAGCTATGGAACAGCCTTCCCAGAGAGGTTCGCCTGGTGCCATCTTGATTGGCCTTTTCAGCACCCTTCTCTTCAGCCAGACCTTTTAAAAACAGCTTCTCAGCTTTAAACAGGAAGAAACACCACAGACAGAATAATTTCCACACACAGGAAGAACAAGGATATAGCTTGAGTGCCTCACTTGTAGTATTATAAATTATTTAATGTGACAATATGAAGTTGATTTATAAGGGATTGTTGTTTTGACCGGAGTGTAATTGAAATAAATAAGATTTTGGAACGCGGAAATAAAGTAAACCATCAATTCTAGCACACCGGGGGGGGGGGCATCTAAATTATATAATTTGGTACCTGAATGATTGGTATTGGAAAGTGTATTATAATTTGGCATTGTTATAATGAGGCTATTATTAGATTGTAATTGAAAACTAATAAAAATTATTATCAAAAAATACAACAATAAGCTGTGTTTTAATCAACGTTTCAATGTTTTGAAAGAAATGGATTGTGAGCCACCCAGAAAACTTTTGTTGTGAAGTGTGGCTCTACAAATAAAGCAAGCCCAACGAAGGGGAAGCAGGGTATGTGGGGGTCTACATACCTCATGGCTCGCAAGGCCAAGCGGTAGGCCAGCTCAGGGTCATATGGCAGCATGGCCGTGAAGAGGTAGCGAGCAAACGTGTGCATGGGAACAGTTTCACGGAAGACGACCTCCCCAAATCCACTGAAGGGTCCCCCTGAGAGGAACAGGCAAGCGGGCGATTAACAGATTGATTAGCCAGCTCAAAGCACTTTGCCCAAGAAGAGAGGAGAACAAGGGCAAGTAACAATTCCCAAGCGGACAGCGAGCCACCTGGGGCTGGTTTGCACCAGCTGGTATCACTGGTCCTTCTCTGTATCCCAGCAGGCTGCCACCGCAGAGCAGTAACATCACGCAGGGCCCCGATCCCCAGGGGACTCAGCATCCCCAACACAACCAACCCCTCTCTCTGCCAGCGACTCAACATCTGAGCCTGCATCCAACTGTCAGCATGTTGCAAGTCAGGTTCATGTTCAAGTGATGGGGACAGATAGCGGCTGGCCCAAGGTCACCCAGGGAGTGTAATATTTTTATTATTATTATTATTATTTTATTTATACCCCGCCCATCTGGCTGGGTTTCCCCAGCCACTCTGGGTGGCTCCCAGCAGAATATTAAAAACACAATAAAACATCAAACGTTAAAAACTTCCCTAAGCAGGGCTGCCTTCAGATGTCTTCTAAAAGTCGGAGAGTTGTTTATTTCCTTGACATCTGATGGGAGGGCATTCCACAGGGCAGGCGCCACTATCAAGAAGGCCCTCTGCCTGGTTCCCAGTAACCTCGCTTCTCACAGTGAGGGAACCGCTGGAAGGCCGTTTTGAGCTTGGAAAGGTAGAGCGCATTGTAGTAGTCCAAGCGGGAGATAACCAGAGCATGCACCACTCTGGCAAGACAGTCCACGGACAGGTAGGGTCTCAGCCTGCGTACCAGATGGAGCTGATAAACAGCTGCCCTGGACACAGAATTGACCTGCACCTCCATGGACAGCTGTGAGTCCAAACTGACTCCCAGGCTGTGCACCTGGTCCTTCAGGGTCACAGTTACCCCATTCAGGACCAGGGAGTCCTCCACACCTGAGTAGGGCTTTCATCCACAATCTTCCAGGTCCTAGTCCGACATGTCACATTCCCCACTCTACCACACGGGTTCTCTCTTAAGCACCCAACGTTGAAGGCGCTCAAGAGGCCTTCTACTTTCCCTGCACCCCATCTATTCTCCATCGCCCAAGAACAAATCCCTTGCTGCCACCCTGGGAGACCCTCGCTACCTCCTCCGCTCCCTTCAGAGGCATGGTGAGGGAGTGTCAGGTCTACGGGACCCATGGAACCCCCAGCCCATCGCCCCCTTACCATCCAGGAGCAGGGCCACCTGCTTGCGGAGCACAGGAACCAGCCGCTCATCCAGCTCCATCTCGTCCAGGAGTCCAATCAGCTGCTCCTCACTCCGCACCACTTTGTCCTGGGCGTAGAGCCCCTCTGGCATGGACCTCTGCTGCCCGAGCCCCAAGAGCGCCACCTCCAGGGCCAGCATGAAGTACGACTCACCAGGACTTGAGGGCACTGGAATGTGCTGGTAGAGTGCCTTCTTGGGCTCCGATGCAGAATCTGGGGAGAGGTGGCACAGGTAGGACCACAGAGCAGGAACAGAGCCCCCAGCTCCCACAGCTGTGCTCACATAAGGCAGCTGCCCCACCGCTGCAGCAAGCCTGTGTGGGGCCATGCCGCAACCTGGCTAGACAAGGGTAAGCTCCTGCACAGGCACAACCCAACATGTGCAGAGCCCTTTCCTCATATGGCCACAGAATAATAATAATAATTTTTTATTTATACCCCGCCCTTCCCGGTTCAAAAACCGGGCTCAGGGCGGCTAACAACAAATTTAAAACACTTTAAAACACTTAATTATAAAAGCAGCATAAAATACAGTATAAAAACATGAATAACAATAAAAATCAAAAATCAATTAGATAATCCCCAGGGCTAGCTGGCTGAATTGGTCCTACTTGGGCCGGCGAGGAGGCCAGGGGAGAATTAGCTGTGGGGTCTCAGAGCAGGTGATCTTCATAAAAGGGGAGGGGGAGGGAAGAGAAGGGAAATAAAAGATCAGGATGAATTCAAATTAAAGGCCAGGCGGAATAGCTCTGTCTTACAAGCCCGATGGAAGGAGGTTAAATCCTGAAGGGCCCTAGTCTCATGGGACAGAGCATTCCACCAGGTCGGAGCCATCGCGGAAAAGGTCCTGGCACTGGTGGAGGGTAGTCTGACTTCTAACTAACTTCCTCCCCTTTCACACCACCATGGCCCAAAAGTGGTCTCTGGCTATCAGAACCTCAGCTACGGTCAGTTAATCTCTGGCGGATCTATAGACCAGGCGCCAGTGATGCTCAGCTATGAAGAAGAGCCTTGCAGCTCCTCCCCCCCCCCCATTTCCCCCATGTGCCCACAGTACCTGGGTAGAGGGCCAGCACCTCATCATCCATCCGGCAGGCCTCCAGGAAGGTGCGGCAGAGACAACCGATGGGGTCCAGGGGGTGCCCTACCCATCCCTCCAGGTTGGTGATGCTGGTTGTGCCTTTGTGCAAGAGCTCTGGGTGGCGGAAGAGAAGAGGAAGGGATACTTCAGACACCAAGACCCAAGCCCAAGCAGCCCCACCCCAAACATCAGTCCCCGAAAACAATGCTGTGTGCTTAAGCAGTCGTGGAAAAGGCCGGCAGCTGCCTCCGTCACCTCCAGGACCATCACTGCTCAAACTCACAAGACCGTGTGTCTCAACTGTTCTCTGCTGCTTTCAATGAACAGAAACCCACTGCGACACGTGCCAGTTCCTCACCAGCAAGTGCATTTTTGGACCAGGATTGCTCCATTGCCCACTCTGGGACCTGACCTCAGAAGCACCCTGGAAGTAGCAGAGAACCCCTATCTTTCTCCAAGCTCCAGTGTCTCTTTTGCAGTCCTGCCGCGATGGCGAGGCCTGGGCTCTGCTACCAAACTTTGCCTCCTTCCTTCCTTCCCTCCCATCCCAGTGTGCTACGCCCCGCTTGCCTTTCTTCTGTTGCTTGTAGCTCTCCAGCTGATGGCGTCGCTGCAAGCGCATGGCGTTGACCACAGCCACAGCCAGGCGCAGGGCCTCTCGGGGGTAACCGTGGGAGCGCAAGGCGTCCACTCGTGCGCAGGCCATGGGGAAGGCATCGCCCAGCCAGAGCGGGTGGCCCTGGGGGTCAAAGCCCAGCTTGTCGCTTCCACTCTTCAAGGAGACACCGTAGCAGTCACTGCTCAAGATCTTCTGCAGGTGACAATCACCCCAGCGAAGCTCTGCAGCCTTGATAGCGCGGCCAAAGACGGTCTGCCGAACACCAGCTGACAAGGAGGAGACAGGCCAGAGCAGGGAGGGTGAAAATTACAGAAGAATTTGGGCCCAGAAAAGCACCAGGCTCCTCCTCCAACAAAAACACTGGTTTAAATCTAACTAGAATGCTTTTCTAAAACGTAACATCAATAACAAATTACATTTCAAATTAAAATAGAAACGGATCCTCAGTGCTAAATTTTGTTTGCTTTCGTCATCACAGAAATGTGGGCTGCACAAATCTGGAGCTGGGAATATATTTGAGGACAGGGCACCTCTCCAAAAGGAGCACTGGGACAATGGGGTCAGGAGCTCTGGGTGTGCACAGATTTATAAAATAAGAAGGATACAATCCTCCTTATTTTTCTCTCTTTCGTCAGCAAGAGCTGCATACCAAATTCTCATAAACTTGCTTGTCATTGCATATCTCAGTAAGATCTTAATGATGATATGACACTTCACGTATGTTACCTCTATAAATTAGAGCTGCCATATGTCCAGGTCTTCTAGGACACATCCGGGAATCGGACTGTCAAAATGGTGTCCTGGCGGATTTTTGACGAATCGACAAAATGTCCGGGGAAACCCAGACGTATGGCAACTAGGGTGATTTTTTAAGAAAAAAGCTGGGGGGGGGGGTTAAAAAAAGGTCTACAACTTTGTCCGGATTTTCACTTTTGGGACTCTGGCAACTGTACCATAGATCACTGCAATAAATCCTATATTGTAGGTCACAGGAGGTAGACTGCATGAGTGTTAGATGCAGAGTGCTGGCTGCAATAACGTTCTCCCCAAACACACTCCCTAGCGTACTGCCTGTGACAATGACTTTAGTGACTACTAGCCATGATCGCCAAGAGATTGTAGGGGAAGGCAATCAAGCCCAGGACCAGGAACTCTGACCCCCCCCCCGGCCCCCGATGTTCTGGCCTGGGCTTCCCTTACCTGCACTGCGGTTTGGGTTCGGCGGCAAAGTGCTGTTGGCTCCGCTGCTGTCGCAGGAGTAGTTTCCCTCCTCCAGGGGACAGATGTCCAGCTTGTTCCACTTCTTCAGAAGCTGCAGCCACAGAGTCCGCTCCTCCAGCTTGCAGTGAGGGCTCAGGACCACACAAACCCACAAGGCGCCTGGGGCACAATGAGAAAGGGGGCAGGGAGAACAGCCAGGTTAACTTTCGTCTGTTTTCTAAAGTTGGGTTAAATGTTTTCCCTTCTGAAGTGCTATGGGGAAGATTGGCTGGTGTCCCATACCAAGATAGGCTGTGCCTATGTTCCCAGGGTGTTGAATGTATGGAACACATTTTATTGCATTGTAGTCTGTATAAACAGGGCTAGACAACATCTAATCAATCTAATACTAATAGAACAACCTGGAATGTCCAGGTTCTCCTTGAGGATAAGTTTGATACTATTACACTGTCTGTAGCAAAATTCCTCTCGGAGGCAGTAAAAATGAGAAATCGGTATGTACAGACTAAAGCTCCTCTGTTGGCTAGGACGGCTGATTTTATATCTCAATAACAATATACTATTGTTGAACTGTGTATTTTGGGTCTATGGACTGCAATAAAGCTGTGTGATAAGCCAGGGATCAGGCTCACTGCCTTAGGGCCACAGGGTGCAGCAATTGCGCTGGGGTCCACACATATTGCAGCCTTGAGCTCCAGTATGAAAGACAGACAGCAACAAACAACAAAATATCAGAGTATCTAGCAAACAGGTTGCAACAGAACTGGGAGGATTCACCAAAGCAGGGATACAGGAGGCCAGGGAGTTTAAAGGCAAAATATAGGGGCACCTCTAAGGGCAGAATTCTGCTCAAGGAGTATTGGCCAGCACACCCCAAGAAACTGCCTTCTCTTCCTCCCAAATCCAACACAATGTCATCAGAAGGCAGGCTTGGGGTATTAATGACACGGCTACAGACTGCGTAGTTCCTTTTAAATCTCTCCATATAATGTTGCACTCTGCCATGGGTCAGTCTTTAAACAGCTGAGAAGTCAGCTGTTAATCATCTTGTGAAGGACCTCTGGCACCATCTTTGCTTAAGTACTGCCTGCAGGCTAAGAAAACTGTTTCAGATTTTCTTTTCTGCCCAAAACATGGAACTGACTGAAAGGAGAGTGTGAGGGGAGCAATTTCAACTAAGAATTCAGCCGATCGTGGAATCAGTGGATGTTATCTTTTTAAAAAATATTGCTTCTTTATCGTGTTTCAACACTGCAAACTGCTCACATCATTTTGGCATGGGATGAGCTTAAAAAACAACTCCAAATGAGGCAAAGCAAGTCCCAACACCTGGGATTTCAGTGGGCTCTGCCCATATTTTCAAACTTCTCTTTGCAATCCTAAGGACTAGAAACTTCATTTTTAAAAAGAAAAAGGCAAGGAGAGAAAGCTGAATAGTTCCGCTGACAGGAAGCACACAGCTCCTAGCCATAGATTCTCCAGGGCAGGTCCACCCCTTGCATAAGATGAACTCACCTAGTTCATCCCAGAGTTGCCGGCACTTGTCAGTCATGCCAGCACCTTGCTGCCGCCAAAGGGCCAGGCGTGGATCCTGCAGGAACTGCTCGGTCATCAGGATGAGCATTCGTGCCCCATTGGAGTCTCGCATTCGCAGCATTTCCCGCACCTGGGAAAGGAGAGAGGTCACAACTGGAAAGGAGAAGGCCAAGGGATCCAGAAAGCAACTGCATCTCCTCTCCCAAAGATGTAAAGCCATGTGCAGACAACTGTCACAAACCCCTCCACCTACTGACTGAGCCCAGCTACTCTGAGCCCCATGCCCTCCTCCTTTGGGCTGTGTTGACACCTCAGAACTCAAGAGTCCGGCATGTCAAAACGGCCAGTTGACTTTGCCTAGTTACCAGTTATCATCATCTTCTCCATGCTGCCGGCATCTTTCTATATCCCCAAATGTCAGCAACCCAACACTTTTAAAAAGCTTTGTCTTAGAAGGAACCAGAGGTCGGGGGAGGCGCTTCCCAAGAAACCTGATCTCTTTAGGAACAGGTTGAAGGAACATTATAACTCTTATGCCCAAGCAATGGCAACTTTCCATGCCACACACTGTATCCCCCCCCCCCCCCAGGCAAAAATACAGCCCTGAAGAACAAAGTGAATGGGCAGAGTTACTACTCCACCGACCAGGCAGGGGCTGACCGGAGAGATGATGTGGCTCAAATCGTGCCCACAATGCTGAGTAAGAGGAGGAAGCAGGGCTGGGTCCACAAATAAGAGGCTTTTACCTTGTTGAACATGGACTGGAGCTGCTTGCTTGCCCCGTAGTAGCCGCCATTTGAGAGTAGCTGCTTCACCTGCTCTTGGATCTGCTCCTCATCCAGGTGCCAGCAGTTTGCATCCTCAATGCCAGCACCGGCTGTGGGGTCAGGGGCACCTGGCAAGAGACGGCCAAAGCATCCGTTGTTACACACACCCAAGACCTGACCCAGCTGGGTTACCCACGAGTGCGTGTAACAATAAGTGAATCCAGTTTAACAAAAGTGAATTGAGTTCAACCTCCTGTCCAGTAAAGTGAAAAGGGGCAAATGGCAGCTGAACAAAGTGCCTTTGGGGAGTTGGGGGAGGGGAGATTATGACCATCGTTCTTTTGAACTTCAAAAGTAAAAGAGGACGTTTGCATATATAGACCCTGATCCCCTCAACATAAAAGGTTTGTGAATATACATGTATAAAAGTTCATGCACAAGAGTGAAATGGAAATGGGTCAACACGCCTGTGCAGCTGAATTGTGAGAGTTGCAGTGTCCTGGCATTGGAGCTGAGCTTGGAAGCAGAGCTGGAATGATAAGAGATAAGACGACAGACCCATCAGAGGAGCTACTTGTGCATCTTCGCAAGGAATAGAAATACAAAGCTTATCTGATGCTCACGGAATGTGAGTATCACCCAGGTGGAACCAGCCTTATTCATATCTCATTATATAATTGTTGCACCATTTGCAGCAGTGTAGCACTGTGGTGCTGTGGTCTAAACCACAGAGCCTAGGGCTTGCCGATCAGAAGGTCGGCAGTTCGAATCCCCGCGACGGGGGTGAGCTCCAGTTGCTCAGTCCCTGCTCCTGCCAACCTAGCAGTTCGAAAGCACGTCCAAGTGCAAGTAGATAAATAGGTACCACTCCGGCAGTAAGGCAAATGGCGTTTCCGTGCGCTGCTCTGGTTCGCCAGAAGCAGCTAAGTCATGTTGGCCACATGACCCGGAAGCTGTCTGCAGACAAACACCAGCTCCCTCGGCCAGTAAATTGAAATGAGCGCCACAACCCCAGAGTCGTCCGCAACTGGACTTAACGGTCAGGGGTCCCTTTACCTAGCACTGCTAGTCTGCAATACAGATTCTCTCTACACCCTCTTTTCTGTGTAAGAGGTGTTGTCCCCTTGTAACAGTGGCGGTCATGGTGAATCAGATTTTTGGCCTTCACTCGGCAGTCAAGGAGAATTTAGGCAGTTCCTTTTCAGCAGCTGACATGGAAGAGCCCCAACACCCAACCACCCAACTCCATGCCCAAGAGGAGGAAACGAGCAAGCAAGGGATGTTGCCATGCATCCCTTGTCCAGACCTTGCCACATCTGCAGCTGTCCTGTGCCCTCCCTGCTGCTTCCTCTGTCTGCCCTGGGGACCCAAACAGAGTTTCATACCATGAACTCGGTTGATCTCGGAGCCAAGCAGCAGAATCTCATCAGCAAGCCTCTGCGCGGTCGGCAGCACCTCCGTGTGGTGCGCACTGATCAGGTACTGCACAAACTTCTGCAGCTGGTCCCGGTTCATTTGGGACAGCGTTTCAGAGATGGGCAGGCGCAGCTCCACCTGGCGGGCCTGCCGGATGCGGTGCAGGGACAAGGCCACCACGTGGGCACAGTAGAAGATGTCCCGGTTGTCGCAGGCACAGCTCACTGATGTGATCTTACAGCGGTCAAAACTGATGGAGACATGGTAACTGTGCTCAGGCTCGCTGGGGCCTGGAGGCTCCGTCACAATCCCGCTCAGGTGGAAACCTGTGTGTTTAAAGAGGAGGGGAAAAAAGAATCAAACAGTCAGTGAACATACAAAGTGTCTGCCCCTGACCAAGAGGACTAAAGGACCAAAAACTGAGGACCATTCCCCCTGCAGGGAAGGTGAAGGCCTCGCAGACAGAAAGCATGACCAAATTAAGCTACACAAGAGGGTTAGGGGAAACCAGCCTGATGGGCATATTTTTAGGGGACTAGCTTTGGCCATGAACACAAATCTGTGTAGTGTCTGTGTAGTGAACAGACATTAAGGGAAACTGACAGGCCAGGAGTCCAACCACTTAACTTTCATCCTGCTCAGTTTGAACAAGGCGCAACAGTCCTCTTAGCTTAGAACAGGCATGGCCAAACTTGGCCCTCCAGATGTTTTGGGACTACAATTCCCATCATCCCTGACCACTGGTCCTGTTAGCTAGGGATGATGGGAGTTGTAGTCCGAAAACAGCTGGAGGGCCAAGTTTGGCCATGCCTGGAAAAAGGAACAGGACAAATATGAATCACAGAAATGCAGAATTGGAAGGGACCCTGAGGGTCACCTAGTTCAACCCTTTGCAATGCAGAAATCTAAAGAGCCCAATCCACAGCACAATCCTTATTCAAAAAGTTCACAGTCAGCCCCCTTCAGGGATGACCCTAGTGGATAATTTAAAGCAGGTAGTTTTTGAAAATTATTATTCATTAAACGGATAAGCCGTCCTTCATCCAAGGATCAAGCGAAGCTGCTGAAAAGCCAGAGCAAATCCCACCCACTCAAAAATAGGTGAGCTTGGCCCAGACCTGCGTGCGGGGTCCTGATCTTGGTTGCACCTCCAGCTTAACCTGGAAGTGATACCAGGCAGGTAACACACACCTGAGCGAGGCGGAGGAAGTCCTGGGAGGTGCAGCTCAGCTGCATTGACCAAGTGGGTGAGTCACACACAGATGACGAAAGCAGGCACACTGACAAAGCAGGTGGGGCCCAAGGCCACACCTGTAGACCCTGGTGCATCACAGCCCAAGCACAGCAAAGGAGGACACCTTGCTGGTAGTGCCAGCTAGGCCATACAGACCAGTAGGGTGACTCACTCTAACTGGCCCCACACCCTGCAGCTTGTCCTCAGCCCTCTGGCACGGGGAAGCTACTGGCTACACAGACAGCAGCCAGGCACAACCCTGTCCTCAACCACAGAGAGACAAAGCAGACCTAGAGCTCTGCAAATTCACCTGGACTTCCACCCTGGCACAGCCCAGGCACAATATAATAGGCAAAGTAGAAAAACAAACTGTGCCTGAGGGGGAAATGTTACTAACAGCCTTAGGTATGGGGCTCCATAAGGACACAACTAGAAAGCCCACGTTTCAGAGATCACAAGCACCCTTTTGGTACTTGGTACTTTGGTACTCCCAGTCCTGTTAACAGCATGTTTGTATCACAACACCAATATGTACATCTGTGGTGCAGCAGAATGGATAACGCTCAATTTTGTAAATATCTTTGTTTTCATGTATTGTTATTCACTCTGAGATTCCCCCCCAAAAAATATATATATAAAGAGATATAAAAATGAAATGAATACTACTACTAATAATAAAAATATAAATATAAAGAATCCCCCCAAAGGTACCTGGACATTCCATTGTGGCCACCACAACCTAGGTTTATGGTGCCATTTGGTGATAAACTTATATACAGTGGTACCTCAGGATAAGTACTTAATTCGTTCCAGAGGTCCGTACTTAACCTGAAACTGTTCTTAACCTGAAGCACCACTTTAGCTAATGGGGCCTCCTGCTGCTGCCACGCCGCTGGAGCCCGATTTCTGTTCTCATCCTGAAGCAAAGTTCTTAACCTGAAGCACTATTTCTGGGTTAGCGGAGTCTGTAACCTGAAGCATATGTAACCTGAAGCGTATGTAACCTGAGGTACCACTGTATATAAATTTCTAACACTGCCCCTGGCCATCAGTCATTCTGACTGGGGCTGATAGGGGCTGGGGTCTCTGGCAACAGCTGGAAGACACCCCTTTGGCTACCCCTATTCTAGGAAAACAGGGGACAAAGTAAATACGTCATAATAATTCAGTGGAATCATTTCCTTGAAACTCCAAATGCTATGTAACCTGTAGGTCCGTCTTCAGCCCTATATTCAAGAAACATGTCACGATGACTTCAGAGCTATAAGCTCAAGTTCAGTGGCAGAGGACAGAAGGGCAAATAATAAAGGGGAATGAAATTAAAATAGCTAGTCCCCAGGAAATTAATAAACTGGACAATGCAGAACTTCAAAACAACAGAACTTCTGTCAAAGCTCTTTGAACATTGGTTCTAAAACATTAAAGATAAAGGTACCCCTGACCGTTAGGTCCACTCGCGGACGACTCTGGGGTTGCGTGCTCATCTCGCTCTATAGGCCGAGGGAGCCGGCATTTGTCTGCAGACAGCTTCCGGGTCATGTGGCCAGCATGACTAAGCCGCTTCTGGCGAAACCAGAGCAGCGCACGGAAACACTGTTTACCTCCCCACCGGAGTGGTACCTATTTATCTACTTGCACTTTGATGTGCTTTGGAACTGTTAGGTTGGCAGAAGCTGGGACCGAGCAATGGGAGCTGACCCCGTCACGAGGATTTGAACTGCCGACCTTCCAATCAGCAAGTCCAAGAGGCTCAGTGGTTTAGACCACGGCGCCACCCACATCCCTTCTAAGACATTAGAATAGCTGAATAAGAGAAGCAGTACAATTTAGTGGTATTTTCAAACAACTTTCTTGCACACAGGGCTCATCTACATTTCCACTTGTTCTGCTGCTTTCCCCCAGGGAAAACCCGCTCTTTACCACTGAATTGGAGCAAACATCAATTGGATTTTCTGTGGATTGACGTAAGCTCCAATTCAGCAGCAAAGAGCGGGTTTTTGAGCGGAAAGCAGCAGGGCAAATGGAAAGAAACCTCTGAGAGCCATGCCTTATAGCCACAGGACAAGTGGCAGTGTGGACAAGCCTTAAGGTTGCAATCCTAAACACTGGGAATTAAACCCCATTGAACTTAGCAGTATTTACTTCTGAAGAAGTCTCCATAGGTTTGTGCTACCACTCGCTCCTGAAAAATGATATGCATTGAGAATCTTGCATTAAATATAGGCACAAAAAGTCTTTAGCTATTCTGTACATCAGAGTGTTCCCTCATCATTGGCATAAACATCTACAGAAAGATGGAAAAGGAGCAGCTTTGATTAAAAGTTGTGATAAAACAGAAACCTGTTGAAGCATCAGGGATCGGTTTTGGGACACATTTTAATCAATATTTTTTTATTAGGTAGGAGGAGTTCATTGATAGTGTCTATGAATGAAAGGAGGTGAAAAGCAGTTGCTTCTAAAGAACCAGGAAGACAAACTGGATTAATTCACTGAGCAGAGCAATGGAATGAAATCCTACAGCGGAAAGAGTTGGAGTCATATGCTGAAACTACCACAGTTTTCTGTATTATTAGCAAAGGACTCATCAGCTGCAAATAACAAATGAGGAAAGAACTGGGCAGATCCTGCTCAGTCACAAAAGGCTATGAGCCACCCATGAGATGAAGCTGTAAAGGAGACAAATGTAATTCTTCGCTGTACGAGATGGAGCACTTTCAAGCAGGAAGCATTAATGAGTTTGCACAAGCCTTTGGCAAGACGTCATCTAGAAGGCGAACCTGGCCACTCTTCTCGAGGAGGAAAAAAGTCCAACAGGAACGGAAGGAGAAGTCAATCAATAATTATTTATCTTATTTTAAGGCAACAGCAGCTATAAAACAATATGTTAAAATATAATTGATAAATCTAGACTGGCAATTTGGAGATGGTACTGAAAGGTGAGAAGAGGTAGAGGCTTCTCCAGTATCCCATATTTAACTTCACTTTTGTGAGTTGCCTAGAATTATCTGCTCCAGGATCACCTGAAGACACACTGGGCCTGGTTTGTGTAAGACTAGGCATCCCCAAAGTCGGCCCTCCAGCTGTTGTTGGACTACAATTCCCATCATCCCTGATGACTGGTCCTGTTAGCTAGGGATGATGGGAGTTGTAGTCCCAAAACAGCTGGAGGGCCAACTTTGGGGATTCCTGCGTAAGACTGACCGTGAACAAGCAGCACGTGATCCAAAGCAGTACGTCAAGAATATGGTTATTGCTCGATGTTTATTTTGGGGGGAACTGACAATGGGTCCATGTTCAGACGAGACCACAAGCCAGCCTCAGAGCTGTTTTTAATCCGTGGCTAAGCAGGAGCAGGGGTGAAATGCCACGGGAATAGCCTGCTCACAATAATCACAGCTTTAAGCTACTGTTTAATGCAACAAAGTGAGCTACTGCGCCTTGGATGCTGCATGCATTTAACTGATGGTGCCATTAATGGAAGACCCTGGCTTGAGGCTATGGGATGAACTTAAGGACTTCTTGCTTCATCCCAGCCCTAGGACTCTATGGTAAAGGTAAAGGACCCCTGGACGGTTAAGTCCAGTCAAAGGCGACTATGGGGTTGCGGTGCTCATCTCACTTTCAGGCCGAGGGAGCCGGTGTTTGTCCACAGACAGCTTTCCGGGTCATGTGGCCAGCATGACTAAACCGCTTCTGGCACAATGGAACACTACTACTACTACTACTACTATTACGGCTTATTTAGCTACCTGGAGTATGGCGATTGCAAGATGACAGTGGTAAAAACATGCCACTGTTTATCATATTTTGTTTTAGCATTTTTCTATTATTGCTGTATCAGGAGAACTACTAAAGTGAACCATTAAACTTCAGCTCACCTGAAGCTAGCTACCTTTTGACTTGCACAGATTTCACATCCGTTATACTATAAGCGGTAACTCAAGCCTTGCAGGGTAGGTTATCCTTTCTGCTTCTGTATGACTCAACTCCAAAGTCTAATCTGAAGTGGTAACTTTTCTGGTTTTGATTGGAGGCTTTAAAACATGCTAGTGGCAAGGCAAATCTCAGCTTAGGTCTACCAGTGCAGAAGAAAAAGGTGACAAGGTGGACTGTACCACTTCAGACACGGATGGGGATGTCATCTTGAAGGACCCCCCAATTCTTATTATTCTTCACTCTCTTGGCAAGTCTTTACACCTGATTTGGTGTATGTTTGCCGATAATTCTCTTTATTGTGTTAGTTTTTTTGCTTTCTTTCTTTTTTTTAACTAGCAGAGAGTTTATAACGCACAGGAGCGTTTGGAAGCAGCATTCCAGTCACCTGCACCAGAGCAGTACAGCCCGTGATCCCTTTTCGCTATGCTGCAAGCACAGCTCCAACTCCAAAGCCTCATTTTCATTAAAAGGCCAAGCTCTGCTCTCATACAGCTCAACAACTTGCTTGAATAGCAATACCTGCTGCATGCATAACAAAACAGCTGTAACTCCAAAGGACAGAAAGGACTTTTGTATTCAAATAACGTGTGGGGGTAGTATCCAAATTAATCAGCATGCTCTCCGCACATTTGCTCTCTTTTATATCTAAGTTTATTTAGGGAGATATTCGTCATACTCCCAGCAGACTGCTTGGACCCATGTTACAAAAAAAATATGAAATGGTTAAAACATCAAATAAAACAAATTCAAGCTTCAAGGAAAATATTTCAGATCCTTTTCTAAGTGACATTTTGCTTATCCCATATTTAATTACCTACTTAATTTATATAGCTGCCCCATAGCAGAAGAACTCTAGGAAGCCAGTGTGGTCTAGCGGTTAGAGTGTCAGACTATTAACTGAGAGATCAGGGTTCAAATCCCCACTCAGTCTTGAAGCTCACTGGGTGACCTTGGGCCAGTCACAGCCTCCTAACCTACCTCACAGGGTAGGGGGTGAGAAGGGGGATGAAGCATGCACTCCTTGCAGAAAACGATAAATGCAATAAATAAGCTCATCTGCTTATTTGCTTAAGAAAGCTGGAGGAGCCAGTCAGATGGAGTTGTCAACCTGGCATCCAGAGATCTCCATGCAGTTGCAATGGGCAAAATGCGCCTGGCGCCTGGCTAATTTCTAACACTAGCTCAGGGATGGTGCGGGTTTCACTCCAGCAACATCTAGAGGGCACCTCAGTGGGCATCCATGTGCTGCAACTACTCAAGAGGCAAACTCATATTTGAGGCAGAATTATTCAAACATGCATACACACCGCACAGTGACTCTCCACTGAGCATGCAGACTGCCTCCATTTATAAGCACTGTCTTTGAGGCAACATTTGAGCAAAGATAGGCACTGTTCATGCTATCAAATGAAGCAAGCATGTGTGCTCATTTGCAATGAATAGTGAGCACACATAGCTGAGCTGCTCAAAGAACAGGGAGATGGCTTCAAGTCCTCTCACCCCCATTTTATAAAAATGGGCAGTTAAAGATGGCAGGCAGCTAGAAGCTGTATCAAGGGGTCAGGATCAGTTACCAGAAGGTAGCAACACTTGCTACTCAGACATAAACACTTCTGAACACGAAGGTTTTATTAAGTTATCCAGCTCACAGCTATCGCAAGAATAATCCTCAAGTAAAAATGTCTTTCCTTAAAGTGATCACTGGCACAGTTCCATAGCTTACTCACTGAACTCTTGCTATGCAAAGAAAAACTTGTCTACCATGTCTATCAGCCAGTTTCAGCCCTGAGTTCCAATATTAGGACAATGAGACACATTTTACTCTACACTATGCAGGATTTTGACAGAAATACCTTTCCCATTAGTCTTTTCTTCTAAATGAAAAGCCCCAAACACTTCCACCTGTTCCAGTAATAGGCTCTACCCCTATTTAATTGCTCTTTTCCCACTACCTTTTTAGTTCTAGAAAAGAAATTGAAAAGAGGCAACCAGAACATTTTGGCTAGGTGGTGCCCTCCAGATCTTGCTGAAACACAGATCCTAGCACCATTCAGTATTAGCCATGCTGTCTGGGGCCAATGGGATTTGGGAGTTCAAAACATTGGGAGGGCAATTAGTTATTTACCCCAGATTTACACGGCATTTTAAACAGTGTTAGAAACCGAGATATGAAAGCTAGGAGCTGAATGACACCTTAAACCTAGGTTATGGGCGCAACAACGGAATGTCTAAGCGCACTTTTTTTATAACAAGAATACAAAGCTGAAAATGAATGAACTGCAGATAAAATATTAGGTTCATCTTTCTCATGCAAAAAATAAAGCCATGCTTCCCCTGCCCACCCCCCTAATATTCTTAAGAGGGTCTCTTCTCCAGTCTTCAGAGAGTGGCTGGAAGTGGGGAGGCAGAAAAAGGTCCCCCTTACCTTCCACTCTGCAGTGTTAATCTGAAATCTTAGGCCCACCACTGCATCCTCAGAAACGGCTTGCGCCAATGAAATTCCTTGTCACAAAACGTGCGTAGAACAATGGGAGTTTTGAACACTGGTTTCAAAATACTGAATTTTGACCACCACCCTCATGTTATCTCCCCACTCCCATCTTATGTGTAAGCACCCTCCCAAGAGAGATGCTGATTACTCTGAGCAGATTGTGCTCCATTAGGACTAAATCCAGCTTGAAAAACTAAGCATGTTTACAGTCTGCATGATTAAGAACATAAAATGAGTCCACCTGATCAGGCCAATGGCCCATCTAATCTAGCATTCTGTTCTCACAGTGGCCAACCAAACGCCTGTGGGAAGCCTGCAAAGTGGACATGAGCTCAACAGATTATTTTGGAACTGTAAATGTGTGAAGAATCTTGAGATAAAAGAAAGACTTTAACAAAGTGTTATGTTTGGTCTGTATCCAGTACATAAGTTCCAGATTTGTTGTCTTTCGGGAAAAAAATGTGATTTTTATGGGAAAGACGGCACTAAGTCATTTTTATTAAACAAGATCCAGCTGTTTAAGTTACTTCATCTTTCTTTTCAGAGAACTGAGAGCACTTTACCTATTGCTTGGCCAAAACAACACCGAGTAGGAGGGGAAAATCAGGGTTGGGGATTCTGTGGCCTCCAGACGGTTCTGGACTCCCTTCAGCGCCAACGAGCGTGGCCAATGATCAGGGCAGATCATCCAACATATAGAGAACCACTTGTTTCCCACCCACCCCTGCTTTAGATGTAACTTTAGGACTTAATATGTGACCCAGAGCTAAAATTCCCGAACTTGTTTCCAGTGGCATGGCTTTACTTTAAAAAACAGTAGGTGCAGAATGCCATTCCTTTACTGAGCCAGCACTATACCCTACGCAGATCCAATATTAAGAATGGTTTTCATACCAGAAGGGCATGAGTTCCAGACAGTCTTGCTTCTCTGTTTTAACTCTGTCCAATAAATGTTGCAACAAGCAGTTCACACTTTTACTTTTATATAAAGCAATGGCTTAGATCCAAACTAAGCTGAACTTGGGTCCCAAGTTCGTAACCTGAGTTTTGCAAATCAGCCAAACTAAGTCTGCCCATGGTATTCACAGAGCAGATTTCAAGTATTCCAAACACACGTACTGTCTCGATGTATTTACAGCCTGTCCTGCAAGGCAGGCCAGGATCATGCCTATGTTGTGGGTGCCAAGCCCCTGGGAATGGTGGCTTGTTTAAGGCTACCAAGTTTATGGCTGAGGTGGAAGTTGAACTTGGATTTCCTGGCACGCAGCTCCGCTCATCAGTTCTACTTTTGGCTTAGCATTGTTAGCAAGTCTGTAACATTTGCAGCAGTCATATGGGGCAGCTCTGAGGACTTGATGACATGGCAGTCTGCTCAGCTCAGGCAGCTGTCCAAGATCCCTTGAACAGGTTAGGGGGAGTTGCAGGCAGGAAACCCAATACCATGTTGGCTTTTTTGTTACCAAAAGACTCAGTGCTAGGCTAGGGGCAGGAAGAGGGGAAAGGAATGTAAATCTAGTATTGGTGGCCAGAAATCTGAAAGTGGAAGCCTGTCTCCTGAGCATAGCAGAGTGACCCTATTGGTGGTGGTGAGCTTCACATCTATTGTACAGAAATGTTAAAATAATTTTCAGTCTTTATTGGGCATGGTGGTTTGTTTGTTTTTTTAAATCACACATGTACAGGGGTACCTCAGGTTACATACCCTTCAGGCTACAGACTCCACTAACCCAGAAATAGTACCTCGGGTTAAGAACTTTGCTTCAGGATGAAAACAGAAATTGTGCTCCAGCGGCGCGGAGGCAGCAGGAGGCCCCATTAGCTAAAGTGGTGCTTCAGATTAAGAACAGTTTCAGGTTAAGAACAGACCTCTGGAATGAATTAAGTACTTAACCCGAGATACCACTGTACTAGAAAGGGGGAGGGAGGAAGAGAACCTGTTACATCTGAACCCTTGACCTCCAGTCTTGTGTTTCATGGTCGCATCACTGGGATACTATATTATGCCAAAATCTCGAGTTCTAGCCACTACAGAATATTCAATGTTCTGTTTGCTTTTATATGACCAGCAGTCAGCAGATTATTATCAGGCAAGTGGTGGGAGTACAGCAACTGCAGACTGAAGATGGGCAAGAAAAGACCAGAAGAGCTAGAACCAACACAAAACACAGCTGCTGCCAACAAGTCTTGCGACAAAAACAGAGCAAGTCCTAATGTTAGTTCTATATTTTCAGCATGTTTTGGGTGTAACATTCACGAGGTTCATTCACTGTAAAACATGCTATTTCTCTAAGCATTCAGGTGAACACAGAATATGAATTCTCAAATGCTAGCATGCCACTCACAACATATGGCGCAAGCTCAAGTAGACAGGAAAGTGTTGTGGTCCTCTAAATACCCTTCTAATAAAGTAAGGGCTACTGAAACGCAGCTGGAGCAAGAGGTTGTCAAGAATATTACATGGACTGGAGGATATTCAGCACCAACCACATGCCACAGTCTCTGCCTTAAAGACACAGCCACAGATTATCAAAATACTTCATGGCTTACACACACACACACAAAAAGCATTCCATGCAATTAAATCGATGAGAAAACCTAGAACAGGACTTTCAACGTGGCATTTCCAATTCATTGCAGCCTCATGAGGCTGCAATCCTATTTCCACCTAACCAGGGAATTGGCTGACACCCGTCTGTCGCAAAAGACAATGGAGTGTGCCTCCAGGGGTGAAGTCAAACTGCTGCATTAGCAGCAGTGAAGCAACCTCTCCAGGGCACAACCCTAGGCAGCGTGTATGGAGATCCTGGGCTGCCCAGATTACAAGACCCCCCTCTCGGCTTCGCTGATGTGGTCCAAAGGAAAGCAGAACAATATGTTTGGCACCAGTTTTGCTGCAGGTGTTGCTGGAAGGAGGTGTACAAGGCGCCATCCAACCATCTAAGGGACTCCACTCTGGATTTGTGTAGGGCTTACTCCTTAGTCTTTTCTTCTCCTAAACATGTCTCACAAGCCAGCAGAGGTTTAGGATCAGTTTTCCTTCTCCTAGATGGGCTACCTTCCCAGGTTGACAAGCCCCATCTGCCCCTCACTTCCCTCTACAGCAACCGCCTTCTTGACTATTAGACCCAACTATTAGTCTCATCCACTCAATCCACTGAGCCTGTCTTCACACGTAGGAGAAGTCCCCAACTCACTGAAGGTTTGAGACCCATCGGCTGCCCTCACCTGGTTTAGCCAGCCAGTCAAAGTCATTCGCGGGATGTGACCACTGTCGCACGCTAACAGCTTCTAGGAACCACAGGTGAGAGCTGAATGCAGGGACCAAAGGTGGACAAACTACCCCAGAAAGAGCATGACGTGTGTCCCCCACCAGAGGTAGTACCCCTCCCCTAACATCCCGCTTATCCCAGAGAGTAAGACCAGCTGAATTCAATAAGACTTACTTCTGAACAGATATATATAGGATTGAACTACAAGTCATAAATTCAACTAGTGACATTTGAGAAGATGTTATTGTTTGTTGTTGTTTTTAGATGTAAAGTAATAAGTGCTGGGATACTAAAGCAGAGCTCAAATAAAACAGCTGTTAAGAAATTGCCCAATGCACTTCTGTTAACGAAGCAACAGGAAGACTCAGCAGCGCGTGTGTTCTAACGTGGGCTGACACAAGGAAGAGACAGGAAGCAGCCAAGGCTCAGGGAACAGAAACATAGCAAAGATTTCATGTTCATTAATGCCGAGGGCTCCATTTTGGCCCTACATATATGGGGCCAATCCCCTGCAGGATGCTGATAGAAGTCTGCAAGCGTCAGAATTCTGCATTGCAGGGGGTTGGACTAGATGACCTTTGGGTCCCTTCCAACTCAATAATTTTAGGATTCTATGAGGGGTGTATACAAGAAGCAAGTGCTGGTATTAACACAAATACATTATCAAATTGATGACTTTGCAAAGTTAAAAAGTGAAGAGATTTTCTTGAGCCAAAAGAAAGCCAGTTAGTCGGCTGAGCTAGTCACTTCCTTTCCAGCCCAGTTCACAGATAGCCTATTAATATTTCAGCAACAGTCATCAAGGATCCACCCGCAACTAATCCTATTATTAGAGAAGTTTTTCTGCTCAAGATCATCAACAAGTGCCTGGTCTCATCAGGGATGTGTGCCCTTCTGCAACTTTACTGCCCAACTACAGAATCTGAGGCCACAGTTTGGCAACCTAATGAAACCTTTTCTTTATTCAAGCAAGTCTAAGCCTCATGTTTGCGCAGAAATGATCAACACAAAGCAAAAGGCAGAGATTGCAACTGTCAGGAGCAAATGCTATGCAGAGCTCCAGAGTCCAATTCTTCCCATAAGACACTATACAAGTAGTGCCTCAGTGCCTCATCATGATTACCCAAAACACACCCTTCATTAATTCATACAAAAAGGGCATATAAAGAAAGGACATAGAGGAGGGAGCTTTCCACAGCGGCCCTTCAATTTTGGCATTCCCCACCTTTGGTTACTTGAAGCATTCTCAGAAAGCTCCAACAGATCATTTGGACATAAATCGGGTCGCTGGAATAGGGGGGAAAGTTGTATTTTTGTGGCAGATACACTCTGTTTTATTTAGCATCCCCTGCCCCGGTATTGATTGCCTCAAAAACATTTCCTCTACAACCTAGGTCTTGGAACAAACAACAAAGGATGTATTCCCTTCCCAGGTTGTCCTGAAATCAGTCCCCCTTTCGCTCTGCATCATTCAACTCATGCCACCTAAAACATTTGCAAAGTTTCTGAACCCAGACAGACAGACAACACAGATATTTAAAGCAACAGAAACAAAAAGTCACGTGACTTGGGACATCAAGTAACTACAGCCTTGATCATTATTCCCTTTGTATGTTAATCCAAGAATGGCAAGAGTGTAGCAACCTGCCACATGATCTTACATGAGCAGCTGTTAACTTGGCTTGCCCCATTACCTTGGAAACCTCTATGGTAGCAGTGAGCTGCTTTCTTCCTCGCTCACGGTTGCGACAAATGGCAAGATCGCATGCCCTTGTTTCCCCAGCCTGTCTACATGAGAAATAAGACTGGCCAAGGTAAAGAGACCCCTGACCATTAGGTCCAGTCGTGACTGATTCTGGGGTTGTGGCGCTCATCTCGCTTTATTGGCTGAGGGAGCCAGCATACAGCTTCCAGGTCATGTGGCCAGCAGGGCAGCGCACGGAAACGCCGTTTACCTTCCCGCTGGAGCGGTACCTATTTATCTACTTGCACTTTGATGTGCTTTCGAACTGCTAGGTTGGCAGGAGCAGGGACCGAGAAACGGGAGCTCACCCCATTGCAGGGATTCACGGGGATTCAAACTGCCGACCTTCTGATCGGCAAGTCCTAGGCTTTGTGGTTTAACCCACAGCGCCACTCACGTCCCATAGTCCAATGCGTAGTCCAAAGTTTACGTAACCAGAGGGTTACTCAGAATTCGAGAGTATTTCCTCCCACATACATGCATATGCTGAAGTGCCATTCCAGACTTTTCAACTGCATGCAAGCATAGTTTTATCACTGCTTTAACTTTGCCACAAGGATTTTCCTTTGCTGAATGGGACATCCCCCCCTCCTCCCCCCCCCGGCATTGCTCCATCAGCACAAAGATTTCTGCTTGTGCAACAGAAAGCTCTCCCCCTGCACCCCTGCATGCCCCCTAAATCTATTCCAGGGGTTCCCCCAACCCTCTGAAGCAGTGTACAAGATTCATCCAACACAAAAACCACTTACCTACTTGCAGGACACGGTCAACAGCACCCGACTGTAACAAATTTAGGCCACGGTTAAAGGGCACACGTGAGTCTCGCTCACCCTCCGGAGGGTGATAGCCAAGGGATGAATACATGCATATTTCTCGCTCACTCCGTGGGAAGGACCAAAAAACGATGCGCTTCTGCACAGGTTCCGGGACACGGGAGAAACGCTCTTCTACCTGGACGAGAGGAATAAGATCACCATTAGGACTATAACATCCTGGGACCAGGGATCTGAATGACAACTGTCTCCTGTATAAACCCATTCATCTCTTAAGATCATCCTCCAGGTGCCACCCTTGCAGCCCCAACCTTTAGACCCAAGGATCAAGTCTTTTCTGTGGTGGCACCTGAGTGATGGAACTCGCTCGCCTGAGATATCTGCCTGGCACCAACTCTTAGCTTTTACACTGCCCTGTGGTATAGCAGTGTTGGACTGGGACCTGGGGGGCAAGGTTCAAGACCCCACTCAGCTGTGGAGCTCACTGGGTGACCCTGGGCCAATCACTGGGTTTTTCATGACTGACTTGGTTCCTTTTCCTGTTAAAACTTTTGTGTTTTATATTCAGAGCTTTACTTTTATTGCTATTCAACTGTCAAGCCTAACACAAAAGATGAGAATCTAAATGTTTAAAACAATACACAGGTACATCTTTCGGCCCTGGCCACCCCCAAACAAGCCTGCTAGGCCCTCTGCTTGACATCCCGGAACAGGGATGCCATAAACTGATACAGTGGTACCTCCGGTTGCAGACAGGATCAGTTCCAGAGGTCCCGTCGGATTCCGAGGTTTCCGCAACCTGAGGACCACTTCTGCGCATGCGTGCACGGCGAAACCCAGTAAAATACTTCCGGGTTTGCCGCGCGCGCATCCCGAAGTTTACATAACCAGAGGGTTACGTAAATGGAGGTATGACTGTATACACTTTGTTCACAAGGCAAAGCTGCAGTCCCCAACCCAGCCTTGATGCAGGAAGGATGGGAAAGCTGGCGCTTGACGCCCTCTCATCAGCCCTAGCCAGCAGGGCCAGTGATCAGGGATGACTGCAGCTGGAGTTCAGCAACATCTGGAGAGAAACTGCATTGGCTGTCTGGGCACAAAGACCATATTTTCATGACACCAGGGTATGACTAAAAATCTTTTCAAATTCCTAGACACCAATGTGGTCAAGCAGATGGATGGCCAGCTATTTGGGCTGCTACCCACCCCTCTGAGTACTATAAGAAGGTGCCTAGTGAATTGGAATTCCTAAGTATTTGGTGGGGTTGAGGGTGGAGACGACATGAAGCCACATGATACTGGAAGCCACAGAATTGTGACAGGCCTGGGAAAGGAATGCAAATGCTTACGCAAAGATGCGATCGCCAAGCATCATCTACCGTAAACCAGAGGCATAAAGCCATTGTTGTGGCTTGTTAGTAGCCCGTAGCTCAGAAAAAGGAGAGCAGCTATGGAGAAGCCTACTCTGGGCCAATAGCACCCATGCCTCCCAGAGAGCAGAGAGTTCCTGCTGCCACAGATAAAATGAAGGGGGGGGAGTGAAGCCAGGTACTACCACACACCATGCTAAGCTCCTGTCCAGTGAGAGCTGGGTCCCGTGATCATCTTGACTTCCTTTGGTCATAGCATATCTGGCTAGTTAATGCAAGTAAGTTTGGAATTCCTTCCTCTCTCCCCTCGCTCGCCCTCCATTTTGGTCACTGAGCCTCGGAGCCTCATTCCCCTTTAGACCAAGCCTGAACAACATTCACATTGATAACAACCCCCCAAAGGCAGGGAGGCCCCAGCGTGTTAATGGGAAAGTCCAAGCACACCAAGAGCAGCATACGAATGGAAGAATGGCTATATCATAACCTCCTTATTGCGCCTCCATTTCCTGAATTCAGAAATATATGCTGGGCTTGTTACCCAGCATACCCTGTGCTGGCCTTTGTGAGAGACTGTGAGCCTGTCTCTCAGGGCAAAGGATTGAAATCTCTGTATACAGTCGTGTTTTATTTTATGTAGACCAGTAGTGATATAGTGTTACACAACTTGTAATATAAAGAAATACTTTGGAGAAGAACTGAACGGGTGAGGTGTTTATTCCTTCAAGGGAATTCACCAATAAAGAGCTGGATTGCTGCTGCTGTGAAGATGCAGGAAGATTTTCTGGGTAAAAGGAACCCCAAAGGGCTGGAGCACAAACCGTCTAACACCCTGGGACAAACAGCAAATGCCTTAGGTCCATGTTTTTCAACCTTTCAGTCCAGCACTCATTCTCAAAACAAAACAAAACCACCGAACTGGGAGGGGTAGCTAATGCCACCGAAGATGGAATTAGGATTCAATATTAGTTTTAACAGATTGGAGAGCTGGGACCAAAATAACAAAATGAATTTCAACAGGGACAAATGTCAGGGTCTGCACTTAGGAAGGAATAACCAACTGCACAAATATAAAATGGGGGACACATGGCTTGGTAGTACACGCGAAAAGGATCTAGGGGTCTTAGTAAACCACAAACTTAACATGAGTCAACAGTGCGATGCAGAAGCAAAAAAAGCTAAGGTTATTCTAGGCTGCACCAACAGAAGTATAGAATTCAAGTCAAGGGAAGTAATAGAACCACTCTATTCTGCCTTGGTCAGATCACACCTGGAATAGTGTATCCAATTTTGGGCTCCAAAATTAAAGAAGGATATTTATAAAACTGGAACATGTTCAGAGGAGTGTGATCGAAATGATCAGGGGTCTGGAAACCAAGCCTTGTGACGAACAGTTAAGGGAGCTGGATATGTTTAGCCTGGAAAAGAGGAGACAGAGAGGAGACATGATAGCCATCTTCAATTATCTTTAGAGCTGTTACATGGAAGATGAAGAAAGCTTCTTTTCTCCTGCTCAGAAGGTTAGGTAGGACTTGAAACAATGGTTTCTAGTTACAAGAAAGGAGATTCCTAGGTCAAAGGGAAGCACTGGGAATGGGGATGTTGTTGGCACCTGCCATGGACTACACTGCAACAGGGGGCCAAATGCCAGTCTCTGGAGCCTCCTGCTCCTCCTTCTTGCTATTCTTGCCTACCGTCCCCAAGCTCATGAACAGTGATAGTTCTCTCTGGATAGCTGCGCAGACTGGGCTTAAAAGGAGAAGTTGTGTAACCAAGCATGGTGATAGCAAGGAGAAGGTGGCCTTTCCCAAGTAAGGGTTGCATTGAGGGCATCTTGCCCAACAGCCCTCCAAAACCTGGAGCCAGCTCCAACTCCTCTCTCATATTCCAGTCTATGGATTATTCTTCCACTTCGTCTGAATTTTCTGCCTGGGCACAGTCTCCTGGCCCTTCAGCCTCCATCTCTTGGGATCACTCTCATTCATCTGGCTTACCTTCCTCACAAAGCTCCTCCTGCCCTAGAGACAGCAGGTGACTTAATCCCCAGCCAAACCGACTTCCCACTTCCCCACATCTGTGACAGACTGTGCGCAAACATTCTGTGTGCCCCTTTTCATTCTCGCTTCTCGGAACGCTCAAGACACCACAGAACAGCTCAGCCAACAGGTGCCAGAAGTTTCAGCACTGCTGCAACCAGATCTCTTACATGCATCACAACAGGCACACTAACTTCTAAATCTATACACCAATTTCCATGCAAAGGATACTCAAAATTGGCCTTCTCTTCTATTTCTGGTTCCAGACTCCCACACAGTTGCCACAACCAACTGACGCCACAAGGAAAAGACTTTTCCTTCACTTCAGCATAAATGGTGGCCACACAAAGTCTTGGTATTCAGAGAATGGCCAGCAAGGATCAGGCAGGCTCCTAAAAGTCCACTCGCAGACATTTCCTCCTAGTCCAGTTTATGTATCTTATAGGTACACAATTCCAACTCTGTCCGGAAAACAGAAACTGGTCCACATGTTGCCACTTACCTAACTTATTTCCCTTCTTGATAATTTATGTTAATACAAGTAGCTTCCTCGCTGGCGAAAGTTTTCTCCCATATTAAGCAATGGTCTGCTTACAAATATTCTCAGATCTCATCCAGCCTTATTTTCCCCCTTGCCCTCTCGCCCCATCTTCTCAAATTAAAGATAAAAGAATGAGCAAATCTTTCAGCCTAAAACTTTGCCTAAATTCCACCCAATAGTTTCCTCAGGTAACAGAGCGTTATCAACTCTTGTCTCACAAGCAGCAGATGAATCTTTGGCACAGGCAGATGGTCGTAAGACTCCAAAATTTCACTAAACCCTCCTCCTCTTGTGCCAAATTTGTAAGTAACCTTGTGATTCAATCCAAACTTGGGCAGAACTGGATTCCTTACACACACACACACACACACACGGTCTTAATATGTCATTCCCTTTCGGCCCCCTTCTCCATGCAGTCGTCTTAACTACTGGAATTTCTCCCACTTAATCTGTTCTGATGCCTTCATTAAATTCATCTCCCACACACCGTATTGCTATTCTCACACCACCTTTTTTGCCAAAATTTTCAGCTCTTTCAGCATCGGGCTTCTAGTTCAAAGTTCTCTTCCAGCACTTTCCCTGTGTCTCCATGCAGGTTCTCTTTTTAACTCCCCATTTTCTTAATTCCATCCCCCATCCCCTTTCACACTGCTCTTGACACAAGAAGCAGATGCCAGGGCCATAGCTGGGGAGGGGGTGAGCGCTAGCTGGACATTTTGTCCGAGTTGAAGCTTCCAGAGGCACACCATTGAGGCTCCCAGCCTGTGTGTGTGTGCGTGTTTGGGGGTGCCAAACTGGGTCTTTGACCAGGGTGAAATAAAGCCTAGTTTCAGCCCTGCTTTCATCCAGTCCTCCTGGCAAAACGCATCTCACACACAGTCTCCCTAAGGACCAGAGAGTTCTAGGCTGGATTACTGCAACATGTTATATGTAGTTCTGCCTCTGAAGAATGTTTGGAAACCAGCTGGTGCAGAATTCAGTGGCCAGGTTGCTCACCGGGACAAGACGGTTTTAACATATTACACTGATCCTGGCCCAACTGCACTGGCTGCCAATTAGTTTCTGGGCACAATTCAACGGCTGGTTGTGACCTATAAAGCTTTAAATGGCTCAGGGCTGCAATCCCTGAAGGACCACCTCTCCCCATATGAACCAACCCAGACTCCGAGATCATCGTCTGAGACCCTTCTTCACATGCCTCCTCCATGAGAGGTCCAGAGGGTAGACCTCTTCTGCAGTGGCTCCCCATTTGTGGAATGCTCTCCCCACCCCCAGGGAGGTTTGTCTAGCACCTTCATTATACATCTTTAGGTACCAGGTGAAAACACCGTTGTCTTCAACCAGGCCTTAGCTGATTTATATTCTATGGCCTTTTAAATATGTTGTTGTTGTTTTTTGAGCGGGGAGAATTATTGTCTTGTTTTGCTTTTGTTCTAACTATTTGTCTGTGCTTTTATCTTGTATTTTTATCTTGTGATCTTCAGATGAAGGGCAGTATATCCATTTAATAAATAAATAAGCTTCTATCTCTTCTGTGCTAACTTCCCTCTGGTATCCTTCCCTCCTTCTGGCTATTCTTTAATCAAACACTGGGGGGGAGGGGGGAGATCCAAATGGGGGAGGGACTGTGTCCCACTAACCCACTGGAAGATCTCCTGCACAAGCCTCCTGCACAAACAAATGTAAGCTTCATAAAAGCAACTGCCATTAATTTCCAGGCTAAGGTCAAGGTTTTGATGTATACAACCCTATACAGATCGTCTTGCCCCTTGCATATCCTTATACGGCTCTGCAGATGTGGGCCTCCTGCAGATACCATCTTATGAGAAGGTCTGTTCCACACAATATAGCAATCAGGCCTTTAGTGTTGTGGCACCTGTCCCCTAGGAATTCCCTCCCCTTAAATATTACACAGTCACCGTCTATGGTGCCTATGGAAGGGCTCCACCTTCCAACAAGCCTTTTCTTTCCCAGTCTGTATCTATACTGGAATTGTTTTAAAGATGTTTTATCACTGGTCATCTGCTACCCTGGGCAACTTTGAAATTATTATAAATTGAATAAATAAATAATGATTTAATAAATAAATGGGGCTTGCACAGCAAACCTCCCAGTGGATTTCACCTAAAGAATCAGACTCGTCCACATCAAACTTCACTGCTCTTAAAACTGCACCAGAGAATTCATCACCTGATAACAGCTATATCACCTCATCTGACCAGAAAGTTTCCTTTGTATATTCCTGTTTGTACTTCAGTCAGCTAGGAACAGAGTTTAATAAGGTGACTTGATGGAGAGAACCAGAACAACACACAGCCCAAGAACAATATGAGAAAGTCAGTCAGGAATGGTGTACTATGGCAATAGTGTCCTTCAATTTAAATACCGGGAGGGGGGGGGAGAGTGACAAAGGAAAGAAAGTTAACCAGCCAGTGCTGAAAATCAAGGTCTGAAACTACAGAAGACCAGTTCTGACCAGGTATATGCTACAGACAAGTGGACCTGCAGCCCTGTTCACAGACCTGTACAATTGACTACAACTTCTACATAGACTCTGCCACTTCATGTAGCTAAGCGAGCACCAAGCTTAGTTTTCACTAAAGTAGTAAACCTATGTCCTGTTTGCTATTATTTAGATTGAAGTTGGGAGCTCTTATGATAGAATACTCCTTCATACACAAATTTCCTTGAACATGGGATATGTCTGGGAGAAAGATAGGCTAGAAACCTTCTCCCAAATGTGCTCCTCTTCCTTGTGAAAGAAACCAATTTGTTTAGAGAAGAATTTAGTAATACACCCACCACCACCTGCAGCCTAAAGTGGAAGAGGCCAGACACAGGTCTACGTGAAATGATCAAGACAAAGGCTTATTTATAGGCCATGGTTACAACCCTGTCACTTTCAAGTCAAAGCCATTCCCTTCACGGTGAGAATTCCATTTATCGAACTTGAGACGAGGTACCAAGTTAAAAGGCAACTCTTTGACTGTGTTTTACAACAGCTATTCAGTTCAAATTCACATGCAAGATGAGGACTATGCCTGCTCCAAATGACAAAATGGGGAGGGGGGGTTTGGGATACCCAGTTCTATCCTTTCATTCCTCCAGAGTTCTAATGTGCCTCAAAGCCAAGGCAAATTGAGGAGGTGGAGGTTGACTGATAAACAGTCTACACTTATTCTAAGCACTGGCAAAGTAATCCAGAGAGTCATCCTTGTGGACTAGCCCATTAAATGAGCAGAATTCAGAATTTTTCAACGGATTCTTCGCACACACAGCAGCCTTTTCCCTAGCGACACCCCTCTCCTTTTTACCGTTCCCTGATGAAACCTTTCCAGTCTTGAAAATTAAAGAGATTGGAGGGGATATGCTTTTTCAGCCCAGAGCTCCTCCACATTCCTCCTATTTCAGGTGTGCAAGTGCTTGGACTTGGAAGTTTCACTCACTGATGGCAGTGACAAGTGACTCTTGTCTGACGAGTTTCCCAGCCTGACACAGAACTCAAACCCTGTCGTCTCCCTGGATGGAACTACAGCTGCTTACAAGGAATTCTTAGATTTGAGGGAAGGAAGTAGCTGAGCTTTGATCTCCAAGAATTGTGAGCAAGTGTGGCTCTGACAAATTTCGGAAAGAGAAGAACGTGCATAGCGAGCCTAGCCTCCCTGCACCCTCCACGCCATAGTATCACAACCTTACCTTCTTCTAGGCTTTGCCCAGACTAGTCCTGGCTCTTTCGGCTAGCCAAAGTTAGCTAGTTTCAGCTATCCCAATTAACACCCACTCCACCTATTTCTCAGCAGGCACACACAGAGAAGGCCTTTAAAGGGCACCCTAGGATAACCACTTCCTCCAGATCAAGCTGCGTAAAGGCATCATTTGAACAGAGGGCAGGGGTTGTGGGTGAAAGAGAATCACAAACAGATGAAGATAAAACACAGCATGCGCAAGTAGTACGCAAAGAAAGCCAGGAGATAAAATCATGTTTTTCTTCCAATCTTAACGGACCTTGGAAGCCTGGCTGTAAATCCTGGTGGGATCACACAAAAAGGGATGTCAGAAAAATGCTGGAGCTTCTCCTCAAATCAACAACTAAAATAAGTCAAAGTATATGGACTAAGGAAAGGAGGAGATCTGGAATGTAATTGTCAGTCACTCTGGTGAGACCTAGAGGAAGTCCACTAAATCGCAAGTTAATATACCAAGCAAGGCCACATTTAGGCCATTAGTCCCCTACCCACCTCATGGGACCAGCCGTCTTGTCCCCGGTTCAAAAGCTACTTAGAGGGGGACACCCTGCCCCCAATAATCCAACCAGCCCAAATTTGACCTCCCAGGAAAGGATGGTAGGAGATAGAGCATACAAAACTAAGTATGAATGACAAGATGTTAGGGTGGCAGCAGCAGGAGGGGGGAGAATTAAAAGGAAGAAAGGAGTTGGCCCCAGCGAAGACTACAGGGAGATGGCAGAGGGTAGAGATTGGTGGAGAGAAAAACAAACAGATTAGGCTCGGCTTTGTTCAAGCCTGGCTAGTAAGTCGGCTTGTCAACTCAAGGGGCGCGCAGAATTCCTGCGTTCCCTTCTCCTGCCTGCATAAATCCGGCCGAGGAAGCCCCTCGACGACGCTGCCACCTGCACCCCGACCCATTGTTCGAAGGGGCCGAGCCCCACAAGGGCAGCTTCGAAGGAGCGGGCAGCCCCAACTTCCACGGCCCGAGGCCACGGGATCGGCTTTGCAACGCCAGGCCGCAGCCGTCGGAGAAAGGAAAAAGAGAGGGGGGAGGAAAAGCGGGGGGCTTTAGAAGGGGGAAGGGCTCGTACGCGGATGGGGGGCCGAGATACAGGGACGCGCTCCTGAGGATGTGCAGAGTGCCTTCGCCGTCCAGCCCCCTCGGGGGAGACGAGGGGGGAGCGTGAAGAAGGCTTGCCGGGCAGCTGCGAGCCCCGGCACCTCTTGGGGAGAGAGAGGCGAAGGGAGCCTCGGACGCGCCGGCTCCTTCCCACGCAGCGGCCCCGGCGCCTCCAGGGCGGCCCGGGGGGAGCGGAGAAGCTGCTGCGCTCACCTGCTCGAAGGCCCACGTCTCCGCCACCCGCCGGGCGCTCAGGTCCAGAAGCGTCTCGACGGCGCTGGGGGCCGAGGTGGCGGCGGAGGCGGCGGCGCCCGGCCCCGGCCCCGGCTCGGGCTGCTCCCCGGAGCCGCCGCACCTGCGCTTGGCGGGCGGGGGCTCCATAGGCCCGGCCGATCCCCGGCCTCTCCTGCTCGCCTTGCCCGGAAACCCAGCGGCGGAGGCGGCGGCGGCGGCGGCCCGGGCCTGGCCCGCTCAGTCGGCCGTTCCTCCCTCTCCGCTGGCGGCGTCGGATGCGGCCCCTTTAAGGAGCTCCCACAACAATGAGCTCGGCGGCCGCGGCCTCGCCGGTCCTCCCTTTTCAACCTGCTCGCCTCCCATTGGGTGGCCGGCGAGGGAGAGACCGGCGAGGATTGGGCGAGCTCGGCTGCCGCTCAAGGAGGAAACAATGCACGCCCCCATGTCGTGGGGTTTAAATAAATATTAAAAAAAGGAAAGAAAGGAAAGTGGGAGGGGAGGGCCGTCTGGGGGGAAAAGGTGTCAATCAAAGGTCGAGAGGCCCACCCAGCCAATCAGGCGAGGCGGGGGCGGCCTCAGTCCTGCCGGTGGGGTTCTATGTGGGCGGGGCCTGCGCTGCGAGCCTTCCATTCACAACATTCTGGAGCCGGCTGGGAATGGCAACAATGTGGCGAGCCGCGCATTCCAAGCCGGGAAGGGGCCGCCTCCGCCGCCCGTCACTCCCCGGGGGCTCATCGCCGCCGCGCCCTCGCCCTCCTCACCACCGGACTCGAGGGAGGCGGGGGAGCCGCCGAGCTGCTCCGCTGCGAACCACCTTCATTCACAAAATGACCAGGAAGAAAAGTCGTTTCCAATGTGAAAGCGTAAGGAGCAAACTTTTAAACTAGGCCTGTTATGGAAGAATTCAGCCGCCCAGCCTCTGGGGCTAAAGGAGCAGGACATCAAGGGTTTCCTCCACCCCAACCCCCCTCATATAATCCGGGGGGGGGGGCAGGATTTTAATCACCATTAACTGAATCGTTTTCGCTCTTGACATAGAGCAACAGGACAATTCCAGGTAGCATCCCGTTTCAGTATCTGCTCCAAGAACGCGCACACGTCACCATTCCTGTCAAACACTTTTGTAAAAAAAAGCTGCCGGTCTCCAGACTTGCCATATAGCCTGGACATTCTTAAAGCGACAGTTGAAAGAAAAAGGCTTGGGATATTAAATTTCCCCCTGAATAAGCACTAAGTATTATTGAGGGGGTGGGGAATAAGGCAATATAAAGGGCAGCACTATAACAGGATCTGATCGTGATAGCTACAACATTAATGGTCCTGTCACCTGCTCATCTCATTGGGATTCCATCTTCTGCCAGCGATGCCATTGCACCATCTAAAAGGGACAAACAGGCCAGTTTCTGTGCAAAAGAATGGACACAAATTTGACATCAAAAGGGGCAATATTCAACAACCAGCGGGAGAACATTTCAACCTCCTACAATACTCTTTTACAGACCTTTGTCCTCCTTGGACAAAAGGACTTCAGAGGGAATCCTCAGTGTGAAACTGATGAGTTGCAACTTAACAAGAAGTTAGGTTCTATCACCTGTGGTCTGAATCAACATAACGGGTTTTTAACCTCACTACAGGTGTCAATTAGCTTACAAATGCCAGGATGCTTGCTATCTTCAACACTGCTTTGTGAATGGTTGCTGTAATTATCAGCGTCCCCCCCCCCAATTTGTTTTTGCATTTCATTTCCCCCTGAATTCATTTTGTGTGTGTGTGTGTGTGTGTGTGTGTGTGTGTATTTCTCTACATCCATATACTTGCCAACACTTCATGCATATGATAAAATAGACTGTAGTCCATAAAGGTTGATGCCATAATAAATTTGTTTAACCTTCAAATTGCCACAAGACTCCTTCATGTTTTGGAGCTTTAAATGCATGTACTTTAAATGCATGGTATGTTCTAGCATCCTGTCTCCCAGTAGCCTACTAGATGTCTTTGGGAATGCTACAAGCAGGACATGAGAGCACTAGTATTCAGAGGCACAATGTGTCCCTGATATTGGTGTACTATATAACCCTCATTTACTTGTAACAGGCTCACAGAGAACAGGATATTATCACCTATGATTCAGCCACCATAGTCCTGTCACTGAAGGGAGAAGCTTCTCTTGATGCTTCTGTGCTGCTGCAAAACCAAAGTTCTCTAGGCAAGAGTACACTGAAATACAAAACAAACAATAAAAATGCAATTGCAATAAAAAAAATTATTGCAGTATAGATCACGCGATAAAATTAACTGCAGGCAGGTCTTAAAACTTTATAAAGCCAATCCTCCTAACAGAAGCCATCTCAAGATCAGGACATGACATGCATGCCTGGTGGTGTGAGGGAAATGCAGCTTTCAGTGACCATGTGACTCATTCAACTTCTGATAACATGGTTATAACTCTGGAAAATATACAATAAATACTTAGCACTTTATGTCAAAAGTGAAATTTGAACCAGAGACCACCTTGTTCACAGCACACATAGAAAAGCCTAAGAGATCATAATGCAACCATGCAGAGATCCCAGCTTTGCAAAGGCAATAATAGTTAGGACTGCCCAGAATTTATACCAGTCCCCTCAAGTCAGGGACCTTGCAACACAACCTTCACAAGATTTCTAATGTATGTTTCTCCTCCATTCTCCTCCCCTCCTTTGAGGGGACAGGGCAGGACTTCCCAGACTTGAGTCCCTTGCTGTTGTTGGGCTACAACTCCCAGCATCCCTAGCTAGCAGGACCAGTGGTCAGGGATGATGGGGATTGTAGTCTAAAAACAGCTGGAGACCCAAGTTTGGGAAACCCTGGTCTAGGGGCTCCAGGTTGTTCCTGTCCTGCAAATTGAAAACAGATTATTGATACCAGGAAGAATGGAATAAATTTAATGATTATTTAGTTAAATTTGTTAAGTTAAATTAACTGGAAATAGCTTGCAGATACTTAATGGGCTTAGGATTTTATTTATGTTAAGTGATGAAGTAATATGTTTAATTCCATAAGGTGAAGATTTAAGGATGTTAATGTTTAAGTTAAATTTCATAAAAATTGGGATTTGGAAAACCGTTAAAAGGACATGCAATGAAATTCAACTAAGGGGAAGCGAGGAAGTCACTTAACAAAGTTAATAACTGTAATTTTCAATAAGGCTATGATTTATGTTTGTTTTGTTTGTTTGTCTTGTGTGTTTGTTTTTTATAATATTGTGAAAACCAATAAAATTTTTGGGGAACAAGTAAAAAAAGAAAAAGAAAGAAAACAGATTATTGCACTAGAGGTTTCTCATCCAAAACCTCTTCCCCTAAACTCTTGAACTTTATATGCATTTATTTACACAGCTTGAACGTATACAAACACCAGCAATGATGGAGCAACATGGCGCTGCGCACTGAATTTGATAACTGCATAATTTATAGTGCAGACTCATAAGTTAAGTCCAACTGGGAGTTTGACCTGTCTGGTATGTTAGGATTGCAGCCTAGGGCAACTAGTCTCCTGCTCAGAACGTTCTCCTTAGTGAAATGAGAGGAAACTGCGCAAGAGCTCCTGTCTTTTTCTGCAGGCCTTGCCCAGGAAAACTTCCTGATGGATTGTGCCCCGTGGGTCAGACAGGTACGCCTTCCGCGCTCTGCCAGCCTTCACAGCACCCTTGGCTTGCATCTGGTGTGATGAAGCCTGTTCTACAGAAACCAAGCATGATGAAGGCCAAAGCATTTCAGCACATGGGCAGTGGGAAAGCTGGCTTCCAGGAACATTCCTGCTAGTCATAAGATGGATTGCAGCATGGAAACCCAATAGGGCTCATTCCTCCAAAGACAACCCAATGAAGTAATCAAGGCTCTGTGTCATCAGGCTGGGCTGATACTATTCTGCCTCGTTGAAATAGACTGCAACTCTGGCAAGAATGCCCTGAAGGTTTCTTTCCTCACGGAAGTGAAATGGTTTGGGGTGAGCAACTTCGTAGAGATCTGACATGTGCCACGCTAGGAATCACGCCGCATATGAGGGCATGGAAGTGTGTGCTGTCATCATTCCAGTTACTGGAAAGGAAATAACATCCCAACAAAAAGGGAATGGTTAAGTAAACTATGTGAGTATCTGGAGTTAGCAAAATTGATGGATAGAATAAGGCATAAATCTACAGAAACAATGGGAATGCTTAAATTAATATGAATGCTTAAATTAATATTTACACAAACAGGGATCAAACACGAAAGTTCGACTGTGCTTAGACAAACCTTGTGAAGAATATTGAGAATACAAAGATTAGATGGACTATGAAAGAATTTAAGGAAAGAAGTGACTGAAGAACAGATGTAAAGGTGAATCAGATAACCAAGAGACGTGTGGTGAATGCGGTGGAAGTCTTTTGTAATATTTTAACTAGGATTTAAATATTGTAATGTTTGAAGTATGAATTTGGAATAATTGATTATGAAAAGTATTTTTACTCTTCATTATTTTTCTTGTTTCTTTTATCTTTTGTCTTTCTTCTTTTCTAGTCTGCATTCTGGAAAATTGTGTAGACAAAATGTTTTTATGTATGGTTATGTATTGTTTCTATTTCTTTTTTTCTATTCATTTTTTGTAACATTTAATAAAACTTAAAAAAAATAAAAAAGGAAATGTGGGGTACCAATGTAAGAAAAAGTACACACAAATATACATTATTTAATAATAAATGTAAAAAACCAACAATGTGGATAATAAATGAGTTGCGTGCTTCAATTATAATATCAGGGGCATAATTTGATCAAAGTTATACACTTTCAGATGCAAATAACACTTGATTTCAGTGATAGAGGTGAGTACTTAAATATCTTCCACAAAAACAAATGGGATTTGGAAGTCCTTAGATTGGGCTGGGTCGTACCCTAAGGTTAGAGACACAAGGTTTTGTAGGACTTGATATTTTCAGTATATTTTAGTTATGACTGAGTGAGCAGAATGTTCAACTAAAATGTTAACTGAGCAAACAGAGGGGCCAAATCTTTATCAGGGAGAGTAAAGCTCACTGGAAGGACAGATCGTGAAGCTGAGGCTCCAATACTTTGGCCACCTCATGAGAAGAGAAGACTCCCTGGAAAAGACCCTGATGTTGGGAAAGATGGAGGGCACAAGGAGAAGGGGACAACAGAGGACAAGATGGTTGGACAGTGTTCTCGAAGCTACCAGCATGAGCTTGACCAAACTGCGGGAGGCAGTGGAAGACAGGAGTGCCTGGCGTGCTCTGGTCCATGGGGTCACAAAGAGTTGGACACGACTAAACAACTAAACAACAACAAAGCTCAGTCAATTGGGTTATGAGCAAAAGATACACTTGATTATGTTTTCGAATCTGCTTTGGTTCCAATATGCTGCTTTGATTACATGGAAGATGGAGCAAAGATTGTGTCGATGAACACTTTTATTGTGTAAATAATGTTGTCTTGTCTTGTCTTTTCCTCTTTTGGTTTTTTTACTCCGTATCTTTGTTATTTCTTTATTTTTCGTTCCTTTATAAATTTTCTATTCTCTACATAATTTCCTTTTTCTTCATATGTAAAGAGATAGCATACAACAGGCTTCCTCAAACTCGGCCCTCCAGATGTTTTTGGCCTACAACTCCCATGATCCCTAGCTAGCAGACCAGTGGTCAGGGATGATGGGAATTGTCGTCTCAAAACATCTGGAGGGCCGAGGTTGAGGAAGCCTGGCATACAATGTGTGTATAGATATGTAAATTTTTAAGCAATACATAATAATATTTTTATTGGGTTTTTTTTTAAAAAAAGGAAGATGGGGCAAGCTTGTTTTTGGCTGCTCCAGAGAGTACGACCTGAACCAATGGATTCAAATTATAAGAAAGGAGATTCGGGGAAAACATTCTGACATTAGGAAGAACTTTCTGACAGTAGGAGTTGTTTGACAGTGGAATGGATTCCTTCAGGAGGTGGTGGGCTCTCCTTCGTTGTAGGTTTTTAAACAGAGGTTGGATGGACATCTGTCAGGGATTCTTTAGCTGCGATTCCTGCATTGCCAGAGCTTGGACCAGATGACCGCTGGGTCCCTTCCAGTTCTGCAATTCTATGATCTTTGTAAACTACTATTCTGACTGCAACAGTGACCTCTCCTGGTCACCATAGAGGAAAGTCACAGCTAATGGGGAGTAATTTCCAAACTGTGTGCCACATGATCACACAGGAACGCAAGAAGAGAGAAAACAGACTCAAAGCCCCTGTGAGCCAAAGTAGCCATTCCTAGACGAGGCTGTCACACTGGATGACACAGTGCTCTGACCTTGGCTCCTTCCACTGAGCCATGCTCAAGATGGGCAATTCTGCCCGGTCTCTGCATACACACCACCAGAGAAATTTCTTAATTACCTGCGTTCAGAGAAGGTTCCCTGCTCTGCCTCCGCCTCCGTCCAATCAGGGATAAGAGGGAATATCCCAAACAGTGACTCATGAAGAAGCACATTGGGTGAGGTTTATGAGAAACAATTAATTCTTACTCCTCCTGAACTCCTGCACTTGTGTGACGCATTATAGCTCAGTGGGAGTGTAAATGCTATGCCTGCAGGTTCCATGCTCAGTTCCTCTCCCTCTCTCTCTCTCATTAAATTTTCTGTTTTACATTTTAGAATCTTCATTTAAACAACCTTAAAATATCAATGACTTCCCTTCTTCACTTTCCATGGTTCATTTTGTATAACATAAATCCCTGCATATTTTACATAAACTAAACCATTCAGTTTATGTTTATGTTCAGTTTAAACTAAACCATTCAGTAGGGACGCGGGTGGCACTGTGGGTTAAGCCACAGAGCCTAGGGCTTGCCGATCAGAAGGTCAGCGGTTCGAATCCCCGTGATGGGGTGAGCTCCCGTTGCTCGGTCCCTGCTCCTGCCAACCTAGCAGCTCGAAAGCACGTCAAAGTGCAAGTAGATAAATAGGTACCACTCCGGCGGGAAGGTAAACGGTGTTTCCGGGTGCTGCTCTGGTTCGCCAGAAGCAGCTTAGTCATGCTGGCCACATGACCCGGAAGCTGTACTCCAGCTCCCTCGGCCAATAAAGTGAGATGAGCGCTGCAACCCCAGAGTCGGTCATGACTGGACCTAATGGCCAGGGGTCCCTTTACCTTTACCTTTAGACTTGCTAAGATGCATAAGACTGAATCAGTAAGTGCTGGAGATGCAATGAGGCTGAGGGTACGTTCTTTCATATGTGGTGGACCTGTAAAGGGGTAAAAGAGTATTGGGAAATAATTCATAATGAATTGAAAAAAATGTTTAAAAGTACTTTCCCAAAAAAACCAGAATCCTCTGGGTTGGGGATAATTCAGAAGGAAATTCCTAGGTGTTCAAAAAAAATATTTATGTATGCTACTACAGCGGCCTGTTTTCTTAGCCCAAAAATGGAAAATGAGCGAGTTCCCAACTAAAGAAGAATGGCAACTTAAACTGATGGAATATGCGCAACTTGCGGACCTAACATATAGAATAAGAGAACAAGAAGAACATACGTTTAAAGAAGATTGGAAAATGTTTATTGAATATATGGGGGGAAATTGAGTACACTTGAAAATGTTGGCAGCATTAAGATAAATTCAACAGTGTAAAGAACCTGCACAAGCAACGATGACACAACCCCCCACATATATTAAGTAAAATAGAAACATCACCACCCGACCCCACCCCCACCCATCTTTCCCCCCTCCACCTCTTTCCCCCTATTCTTCCTAATGTCTGAACAAATGAAACCAATTTGTAAAAAAAAAAGTTACATTAAAAAAAAAATACGAGAGAGAGACATTGCACATACCTTTGTAAATCAAGAAAATCTTTAATAAAAATAAATTTAAAAAAGAAAGAAAAATTACAGTGTAAATAAGTTTTGATGGATGTAATAATAGAATACTGGATGGTTTAAAGGCTCACAGGGAAGCCAACATTCAGTTACCACTGCATACCCCCAGAAACGATGCCACCAGATCCCTTTTGAAGTCTCAAGTCTTTCTTTTAAAAAATCCTTGCAGCTGTTTACTAGACTTATCTTCCTGTTTCATCTATCTGTCTGCTCCCCAAAACTGGTCATAATGAGCCTCAAAAAAAAAAGAAAGAAAGAAAGAAAGAAAAGAAAAGAAAAAGAAAAAAGAGGGTCATCCCTCAATCTCAGGGAAAAGGCTTTTACCTTAGATACTTCCTCTCTCCTTGATGGGATTTGATCAGGCCAGGGCTTCCCCAGAGGCAGGGCAGTGTTGAAATAGGAGCACTGAACTTGGAGCATGTCCAAATGGGAGTTTCCCACACTCTTACTTTTGGCACCTCAGTCAAAAGTGTGGACAAACCCCCTATCATATTGTATTGATCTTACCGTTCTTTCTTCTTCCAAGTTCTATTTGTCACCAAAGGACCAGTTCAGATGAGATGTTGTACAGCCTGAGAAGTGAAGGCGCATTGAATCTGCTCAGGTTTACCCTAGCCTCCACACATACCCCAACACCATTACAAACACAGTTGAGATTGTTGTCAACATGTGGACTATGTCTCTATCAAAGCTGGCTTTTGTTGTGTGGCATTTCCTCCCTCGTTCCGTAATCCCCTCCTCTGTGTCTTCTTAATGCTCTTTTAGTCATTACATGTGGTGTTTGTGCGTGTGCCTTAATTAAACAGGAGTACAGATAATGCAAAAGGGACTGTGGTCTAAACCACTGAGCCTAGGGCTTGCCGATCAGAAGGTCGGCGGTTCGAATCCTCGCAACAGGGTGAGCTCTCGTTGTTCGGTCCCAGCTCCTGCCCACCAAGCAGGTCAGGGGAACCTTTACCTTTACCGATAATCCACTGGATGGGGTGTTAGGTGCACTTCCTGACAATCTCAACATGACTGCCAATATTTTTAGAGTGCATAATCCTGCCCCTCAACAGGATTCTCTGGGCAGCTAACAATGAAACACTTAATAAAAAATAAATATATTTCAAAGTAAGCAAGCAATACCTGCAGAAATCTCAGAAGCCCAAAGAAGATGCTATGCCAGATTTCTACTGGTTGGGAGTGGGGTTTAAGTTAGGGCTGCCATACGTCCAGATTTTCCTGGACATTACTGGGATTTGAAAGGCAGAATTGACATCTGGGGGGATTTTCTGAAATGTGGCGTCTTTTCCTGGATCTTAGGCAAATCAAGTTTGTTTGTGTTTTTGTAAATGCTCAACAACTTTCGGGTTTGCCTAAGAAAAGCTCAACAATTTTGAGTCCTTCTAAAAAATGCTCAACAACTTTCAGCGTGTCCTGGTTTTTACTTTTTGAAATATGGCAACCCTAGTTTAAGTGCCCTGCACAGTTCCTTGTCTATCCTAAAAGACCCGCACAACCAGAATAAATTATGCAAAAACTGCAAAATAAAGTATTCAAAATAAGAGAAAACATGCAAATTTGCTTAGTATGCATAATTTATACATGTTGCAGAATCCAGATTCTCTTGTTATACACTTCAGAATTCCCAATTGTTTTCTGATTAGATCTTTTAAATATGCATTTTACATTTTAGCACATTTAATAAAGCAAGTTGCCATAAGGAGTCCACACATTTTGCCTAGTCTAGGTGGCAAATCTTAAAATTTGTGGTTGCGAGTATCCTGCACCTCACCCCAAGAACAGTGCCTGCTCCCAGATTGTGGGCTGCATCTCCAAAACGCTCCCCGGTGACCTTGCGCCAGTCACTGCCTTGCAGCCTAACCTACCTCACAGGGCTGCTGTGGCAATGAAATGAGGAGGCGAAGCACCATGTACACCTCCGTGAGCTCATTGGAGGAAAAGGAGGGATATATAAATGCAATAAATAAGGATAAAGTGGTTGTGTTTAGCCAGATCGTGCCCTCTGTGTTCACTAACTTCTCGCCTCCACTCCAGGACATTTCCAAGTACAGTGGTACCTCGGGTTAAGAACTTAGTTCTGGAGGTCCATTCTTAACATGAAACTGTTCTTAACCTGAAGCACCACTTTAGCTAATGGGGCCTCCTGCTGCCGCTGCGCCGCCGGAGCACGATTTCTCTTCTCATCCTGAAGCAAAGTTCTTAACCCGAGGTACTATTTCTGGGTTAGCGGAGTCTGTAACCTGAAGCATATGTAACCCGAGGTACCACTGTAAATCTTTTAGACCTGTTCAACTGACAAAACTGCAAGATGAAATGCTCTGAGTTAAGAATGCACTTTTTAGATAATATATTTATTAAATGTGGTGGAGATACTATAGTGATAAACAAACATCTGCAGCAGTTACAGGAACAGGGATTTCAACTTTTAAAATTACATTTGGGATTCCTGATCTGAGAACATATACCTTGGTTTTATGCTATCTCCCTGTGGAAGAATTAGCCACTATGAGCAAGCCACAATGGACCTTCTGGGTTCCAAAAGCAATCAACAAAGATTATTTCAGAAACTTTGCAAAAGGAACAAGGTTGAAATGGGCAGCAAAATAAAACTATGTGGACCCTCAGAAGGCAGCAGAAAGGGGACAGATGACAGAAGGGATCCTTTTTACTCAAACCACAACACACACGTGAGTAAATCACACTTGTTTCCAGGAACAGCTAAAAACCTCAAAGCTCAGTTGGGAATTTCTGCTTCTTCATGCAGACATTCAAGCCCTATAGAAAATAGTGGGTTGAGATTCATCCTAGCCTGCTGGGTCCTGCCCAACATTCACACACTGGACTCCCATGTTTGCAAAGACACCCACATGTGTAAATACCAATGTGATATAGGTGTCACACATGCCATGTCTGTAGACCCACTTGAACACATGAAGTCCGTGTCTGATTCTGATAACTTGATGCTGCTGAAACACCAGTGGGCAACAGCTCCAGTCGCTCCTACAAACTCTACCCAGTCCAAGCTAACTTTGAAAGAATGGCTTCCATGGAGGTCGTTAACGAGAAGACAAATCCAAATATAAAACAGGGGAAATGCTGGGACTTGAACCATTATTACATACAACAGAGCTGAAAAACAAAGCCCATCTCTTCACCTAGGCACAGAACAGCCCACCCGGTTTCTCGTGTGAAGGGAAGCTTTTGTCACCAACTGAAATGTTGCTACGTTATTAATCTGTAGGCTCTTCCAACACTACAAGGCGGGTGTCATGGGTACAGTCGTCCAGCCGTATATGGCTGCTCTCCGCCACCCACTCAGGTACACAGGTCATAGCTAAGACTTGCTGGAGTGGCCTGGCTCTTTTGTGGTGTCCGCTTTGGGGGCCTTCAGCACACTCAGTTTCTTGGGTAGTTTAGCGCTGGCCTTCATCACCACTTCGTGCTCAATCTTCTTACGGATGCCCACCTCCAGGTTCTGCAGAGAAAGAAGTTTATACGACAACTAAGCAGCTATGCACCTGAAATGTCCCAATGTTATGGTGTGCCATTGAAGTTTGCTTATGGGGTGGTGGGTATAAGGTATTTCTGGTTTTTTAGCGGGTGGCGCTGTGGTCTAAACCACTGAGCCTCTTGGGCTTGCTGATCAGAAGGTCAGCAGTTCGATTCCCCGTGACGGGGTGAGCTCCCGTTGCTCGGTCCCAGCTCCTGCCAACCTAGCAGTTCGAAAGCATGTCAAAGTGCAAGTAGATAAATAGGTACCACTCCGGAGGGAAGGTAAACAGCATTTCCGTGCACTGTTCTGGCTTCGCTTAGTCATGCTGGCCACATGACCCAGAAAAACTGTCTGCGGACAAACGTTGGCTCCCTCGGCCAGTAAAGCGAGATGAGCGCCGCAACCCCAAAGTTGTTCGCGACTGGACTTACGGTAACTGTCAGGGGTCCTTTACCTTTTTATACTACCCTTGATCAGATATGACCACAGGCTGGTTTACAATAAAAGCAAACAATACAATCCACATGAAACAACGATCAAAAACATCCTAATGAAAAGAACAGTAAGGTGAGTTCGAACATACGTAGAAGGCCTAGGAGAATAAAAAAATTTTTTTGGCTGGAGTCTAAAACATAAAGCTCTCCCCATGGTCACCACCAACCTCACTCATGACAGAAAGTATTGGTAGATGCGGGTCAGTGTGGGAATGGGCATTCCTTTAGATACCCATGAGACCCAAGGGCCTTAAAAGTCAGTCCTTGTGCCTTCACTTAGGCTCAGAAACAAATAATAATAATAATAATAACAATAATAGTAATACTAATTTACTATTTATACCCCGCCCATCTGGCTGAGTTTCCCCAACCACTCTGGGCGGCTCCCAATCGAGTATTAAAAACAATACAGCATTAAATATTAAAAACTTCCCTAAACAGGGCTGCCTTCAGATGTCTTTTAAAAATAGGATAGTTGCTTATTTCCTTTACATGTGATGGGAGGGCGTTCCACAGGGCAGGTGCCACTACCGAGAAGGCCCTCTGTCTGAGAACCAGACAGAGAACCAGAGAAGTTTTTTAAATTCAGATGAGCCATCTCAGCTAAAAGCACAGCAGCTGAATCTGTACTAGTTATAAACTGTCTCCAGGGGCAACACCAAATGCAATGCATTGCAGGAGTCTAACCGAGAAGCTACTTGAGCATAGAGCATGGTGGCCAGGCTACCCCTGTCCAGAAGCAGCTACACATCATGTCTTAGGCTAAGCCAGTGGAAAAGTGCTCCGTGCCACTGAAGACAATTGATGATTGGTCCGTGGGTTGAAAACATGCGCCCACATAGCACAAGCCTCAGAAGGTGGTCTCTGCCGTTGCTGCTTCCAGAGTGTCAGTTTGGCACGGAGGAGCGTGGGAGCATCTCACCTTTTTCAGTTTCTGCTGCTGGATGACTCGAGCCTTCTTGGGAGCAATTATGCGGCCTAGGAGAGGAACCCAACACAAAGGAAATAAATTATCTTTCACTTCCACGCTGCTACATCTCCTAGGCAGAAGCTGTGCAGGATATACAGATATGCAGAAAAGAATTTGCCTACCAAATATCATTGTTTCTTACTAGATGGGCAACCTTCTCTTGGGCTAGATTTGTATGTAACCCACTGACACTACTCAAAATATTTAAAGTACATAATTTGTAAAATAATAATAATAATGCAGAAGCTGTTTCAGGAGAGTTACAAAGATCATGTACAGCTGCACTGGACAGTGTGTTTGTTGCTCTACTCTGGAGACTCGCCTGGAAATTGCCACAGGCGCAGAATGCTGCAGCCAGAGTGCTGTATGGAGAGTCTGGCCATCCACACATTACAGTACACCTATATTGAGAGAACTGCACTGACCACCAAGTAACCACTGAGCTAAGCTCAGTGTTTTATTATTAACATATAGAGCCTTGAACAATTTGGGACCGAGGTGCCTAAACGATTCCTTTTTCCTGCATCAGTCTTGGTTTAAATATTCAGCGGAGGCCTTGTCAACAGAGCCATGGCATGCCAGTGTCACCTGATGGCAGGGTCTTCTCAGTGGTGGAGAATGCTCTCCTCGCTGTCATTTGTAGGGTGCTTCCAACATTTGTTAAAAATAACACCTCTTTATTGAGGCTTTCCCTGACTGTCAACTGTATTTCTTACATCTGCAGAAGTTGCTTTTTTAAATAATATGATTTTAATGTATCTTGCTATGTTGCAAACTGTGTTGGAATTTTTTAAAAAATAGCAAGGAGTTTAGAAATGTATTGAAATAAATACAGTGGTACCTCGGGTTAAGTACTTAATTCGTTCTGGAGGTCCGGTCTTAACCTGAAACTGTTCTTAACCTGAAACACCACTTTAGCTAATGGGGCCTCCTGCTGCTGCCACACAGCTGGAGCATGATTTCTGTTCTCATCCTGAAGCAAAGTTCTTAACCCGAGGTAATATTTCTGGGTTAGCGGAGTCTGTAACCTGAAGCGTATGTAACCCGAGGTACCACTGTAAATCCCCACTCAGCCTTATTTGCCCATCCAATTTATTTCATTTACACCCCACCTTTCCTCCGGAGAGCTCCAGGCGCTCTACACGATCCCCTCTTTCTTTGCACACATCCTTTTACCATCACAACCTGTGCCGTGGAGAGGCAGCCCAAGGTCAGCGGCTGAGTTCTTATGGCTGTGAGAATTCGAACCTGGGTCCCCTCAAAGTCCAGCGCCCTTAACCGCTATGACTGCGAACCCACCATCCAGTCAAGTCAATATGGCTCCCCCCCCCATCGCAAAGAATCAAGGGAACTGTAGTTCGCTAAAGTTTCTTTCCATTGTAGCCCTGAGAGGCAAACCACGGTACTCAGGATTCTTTGCGGGAAGCGACCTGCTTTTTACGCATGGCGCGCGCGTAAAATGGGAACATGGAGGGCGCTCTGGCACCGGCTTCGTGGATCACGAATAAAGAAATTAAGGGGAGGAAAAGAAACCTCCTAATTTGGTCTTAAGTCGCTTGGATTGCCTTGGGCAAGAGAAAGCGGCTAAATTTTTAAAATAACTAATAATAATTATTCCTCATCGCGCGCTTGGAGAGGAGGGGTTCTTTTTTCGCGCACCCGGAATGCTTCCGAGCGCGCACAAAAGTCTCCGGAACCGGAGGCAAAGTTGCGAGCAAAGCCGGCGCCCGGGCGGCCTCTGTGTCCGTCCCTCGGCCCTACCTCCTTTGCGAGGCCCCCGGGCCGCTGCCGCTGCCGCCGCCGCCGCCGCCTTCGCTTTCTTCCCCGCGGAGGCCGCCTTGCGCGCCTGGAACTTGCGCTTCCCCTGAGCCATCGCTCTCGGCCGCCTTGCCTTGGCTGCCCGACTCACTTCCGCGCGCCCTGGTGAACGGAGGGAGGGAAGACTCGAACCCGGAACTGCAGGCGCAGCTGCCGCGATGCGAAAGGGCACGAGCGGCGCGCGACCCGGAAAAGGCCGGCAGGGCGCGCGCCTCCTCGTGCGCAGGCAGCGAGGGGAAGGCAGCTACGCAGGCCGCTCTTTTCATGAAACTAGGCCAGCTTTTTGGCAGCATCCTGGCTCAAGCCACAAACGATATTATTATTATTATTATTATTATTATTATTATTATTATTATTATTTCATAAAGTGAAAATCCGGAGGGTTTTTTGTCACAAGCTTAGTAAATCTTGAGCTATGCTTGATCTGATAACATTGATCAGATCGTCTTTTCTTGGACTTTGTTTTAAACCCGTGGGCAGCTGCACTCATTCTACGTGCCTATTTCATAGTTTCGTTGTTATAATTCTGTTTTATATACATTATAAAATGGAATAACAAAATTCGTTACCAAAAAACCACGCACGAGTTACTGTAACAACTTTAAAGAGATTGGAACTAGAGGTTGGGGGAGGTTCTAATGTTGTTTTTATAGGTTTGATTCAATTTGGATGAATGCTATGCTTAATAAATTGATTTGGTCTTTTCTTCCGTTGTGCTGTACCCCAAAGTTGAGGATAGGGTAGGGGGAAAAAAAATTCCACTTGATTCCATCCTGTAACTATTCCCTATTTTTAAGAAATACCTTTAATGTGGTTTTTGACTCAGCCTCAAATAGCAGTCACTTTGTATTAATGGTTGATTTTGTGGCACAGCCAGCCACTCCCACAGCTAAGGCCTAGGATGCCCCCCCAGTTTGTCTATGTTGATCTTGTATCCATGCATATCAAAAACACGTTAAGAGACACAGCAAGCTATGGGTTTGGAATCTGTAGCACTGTTGGCTCATTTTGTACCATGAAGTTTGGCTTGTTACATAATCCAGAGCACCATGGCTCTTCAATTTTAAATAAAGCAAAAGGTACAGTGGTATCTCGGGTTACATACGCTTCAGGGTACATACGCTTCAGGTTACAGCCTCCGCTAACCCAGAAATAGTGCTTCAGGTTAAGAACTTTGCTGCAGGATGAGAACAGAAATTGTGCTCCGGCGGCGCGGCAGCAGCAGGAGGCCCCATTACCTAAAGTGGTGCTTCAGGTTAAGAACAGTTTCAGGTTAAGTACGGACCTGCGGAATGAATTAAGTACTTAACCTGAGGTACCACTGTACATGTTTCTGACCTCAAAGATTAGGAATTTAAATCAGAAGAGTTTTGTGCTGACATCAGGCCATGCCTCTGCTCACATTCCTATGTGTGGAAGCACATATTTTAACTTTGGGTATATTCACATTGCTACTTCCTCCTTTATGTATGAAACAACGGCCACCCTACTAACCCAGATATGGAAATAAGACAAGAGAGGAATAGCAAACCAAGCTGATGGACTATGCTGAAATGACAAAACTGACTGGAAAACTCAGAAACCAAGAGGACAAAAACTTCATAAAAGAATGGGTGGAAATTGTAAGTTATTTAGGAGACCACTGAAAGCAGATGGAAACATTGGCAGGATTTTAATTTCACTTGTAGTGTAATAATTACCACGGATAATATGGACTGATATAATAGAATTTGGAAGAATATGCAGTTTTAAAAGTTGTGAGATTCGGAGGAATCTCTGTATATGGATTTATATTTGGATTTTTATAACTTTGTACTTGTAAAATCAATTAAAAATGATTTCACATTGCTACTTCCTCTGCATCCAGTGCACTCCCACTACTTATTTTTGAAGCCGCATTCACACAGTGCTAGTAGCCACAATCCATATTGATTAGATTTCTTAACAAATACAATTGTTTGATGTCTTTTTCTCTCAAACCAGCTTCAATTAGAAAGTTGGGTTGTGGAGTTAAGCACGCAAGTGCAGATGACAGCATAACGAACAGGAGTTCCAGGAAGGATGCAAGGATGGGGAAACAGAAAAGGCGATGATGCATGTTGCAAAGACATTCCCACCCCTCTTTTTTTTTTTTTTTTTTTTTGTCAAGCTGGTTCAAGACTCAGCAATCTATTTATTAAGGATTTTCTTGTTTTACAGAAGTGTAATGCCTCGTGTATTTTTTCCCCATGTAACATTTTTACAAATCCATTTCATTTGTTGAGGCATTAGGGGGAGAAGAAAAAAAAAGAAAGAAAGGAAAAAGAAAGGGGGAGTGGGGGGAGGGAAGATGGGCGGGGGCGGGTGGCGATGTTTCTATTATGCTTAATGTATGTAGAGTTTGGTGTCAGCGTTACTTGTGTTCCTTTGGTGGTGAGAGAGGTTGGGGTTGGCCTAGGGTGTGATTGTTTGCTTGAGATTGGCTGTGGTGATCTTTGTTTTTTTTTTAATAAGATATTTATTAAGGTTTTTTGAAATATTACAGTGAAAATGAAAAAGAAAAAAGAAAAATACAAAATAAAAACAGTTAAAAACACACATTTTACTTATTTTCCTTTAGCTTGTTTCCCGGACCTCCTCGTACCTCCCTTTTTTGTATTCCACTTCAATTTATTGGTTCAGCAAATCCTTACCATTAGATTTTAACCCATTTATAACCCTTTTTTTCATATTCTCTTAGAGCATTACAGCTGGAAACCGCTTAATTACTATCCAACATCATTCTATCATTCATTAATTTTACAATATTTCTGTAAATAGTCTTTAAATTTCTTCCAATCTTCTTCCACCGACTCTTCTCCCTGATCTCGGATTCTGCCAGTCATTTCTGCCAATTCCATATAGTCCATGGCTGTGGTGATCTTTGTTTTCGTGTGTGAGTAACTCCACACAAATGCGGCTTGAAATGAAGCAGGGGGAAATCGCCTTGCTGCATTTCAAGCCACTAATGTGAACATTAGACAGCATCTTAAAAAGCAGAGACATCACCTTGCCAACAAAGGTCCGTATAGTTAAAGCCATGGTTTTCCCAGTAGTGATGTATGGAAGTGAGAGCTGGACCATAAAGAAGGCTGATCGCCGAAGAAGTGATGCTTTTGAATTATGGTGCTGGAGGAGACTCTTGAGAGTCCCATGGACTGCAAGAAGATCAAACGCATCCATTCTGAAGGAAATCAGCCCTGAGTGCTCACTGGAAGGACAGATCCTGAAGCTGAGGCTCCAATACTTTGGCCACCTCATGAGAAGAGAAGACTCCCTGGAAAAGACCCTGATGTTGGGAAAGATGGAGGGCACAAGGAGAAGGGGACAACAGAGGACGAGATGGTTGGACAGTGTTCTCAAAGCTACAAACATGAGTTTGACTAAACTGCGGGAGGCAGTGGAAGACAGAAGTGCCTGGCATGCTCTGGTCCATGGGGTCACGAAGAGTTGGACACGACTAAATGACTAAACAACAACAACAATGTGAACATAACCTTTGTGGGCAGATTGGGGTTCATACAAGTGTGGACAAGGGGTTTGGATTTTGACCCATTTCACCAGGTGCCCATTTCTGGCACAGCTATGGGAGCCTATGCTCTTCCCAAGAGCAAATATCTATCCCGGTTTCAAAATACGGGTCTAATGGAGGAGTCCCCGATCTTTTTGGGCCCGGGGCATATCTGGAAAATCAGGCACCTCAAAATACCCATTTGACAGAAAAGTTGACAATGTTCAATCCCCCCTCTGAAGAGCATAAGAAAAGAAACCCATTATTCAAACAAAAATGGGCGGTGTCTGGGAGTGCCACAGAGCCAGCAGGTGCCATGTGTGGAATCCCAGTTTTAGAAATAGATGATTTCAAAAGGCTTTAATGCTTTACGTGTATACATACAAAGATGCCTGCTTTCAGCTTCTTTCCTTTTCACCGCAAACCCAGGTTGGTGGGTTCAGCTATGGATACCTGAGTCAGTAGAGCATGAGATTCTTAATCTCAGGGTCATGCGTTCAAACCCCAAGTTGGGCAAAAGATTCCTGTACTGCAGGGGGGTTGGACTAGATGACCCTCGCGGTCCCTTCCAATTCTATGACTCTATGCGTGCAGCTGTCAAGACTTTGGTCAGGACAAAAGAGGCAGGGTTATAGGGAGAGCTGTGTTTATTTTGTGGTATGTGGGACAAAACAAGGAAGGGGTCATGCTTAAATAACCAGGGGCACAGGTGCAAATAGCTCAAGGAAAGGCAACAAAATGGAACTCCCATGGGCGGGCAGACACACACACACACACACACACACACACACACACACACCCCTATTCAGACATTCAACTGATAGGCATAACAACTGCACAGTCTTTTGTTGGTTTGGGAGGGGGGTGACAATTTGTACATCAGATCCAGTCATGTTCTATCCAGAGCCACAAAACTCTGTTCACAGTTCAGCTTCAGGATCAGATGCAGAGTCAGAATAATCTGCAACAAGAGAGGTAGCAAAATGGGATAGAGGGCTTCCTTCAGCCTTTTGGGAGCCCACTTCAGGCCCCGTGAGAGAGTCAAGGGACACTTTCTTCACTGCACTGTCCTGGTCCTGCGTGTTAACGCATGATGTGGGATCTGAAGCCTCACTCTCCTCTTCGGCTGAAGCTCGTTCCCTATCCCTGGATTTCCGACGCACAACACCCAGGTCGTTCATCGCTACGGGTGGCTTTCCAGCTGGGGATTTTCCTGAGAGTGCCAGCTTTTTCAGGGTGTCATTGGCTTTGGGGCTTGAGACCTGGGCAGATGAGAACCATGGGCGGTCAACGATCTCACTGCGTTTTTGCTTCTGTTTGTCTTCATAAGCTGGATGGAGAGAGAACAGGTTATCATTACCATTTTTGTTTTTATTTCAAATTATATTTTATTAATTTATTAATATATTATTATTAATATATTAATATAATATAATATATTAATATAATTAAAATTTACAGAAGAACATGTTAAAAATGGGTGTGGAATTAGTACAAAGTAAGGCACCTCATTGCAAAAAAGCAAGCAAAAAACAAGATACATATAACCAACTGAATTGCATGCTGCATAATAACGATGTCATGGATGCTTTAGCTGAGATTCCTGCATTTCAGGGGGTTGGACTAGATGACCCTTGGTGTTCCTTCCAACTCTACAATTCTATGATTCTATGAATAATTTGCCCTCTGAGTAAGCCAGCCTCTCCTTTGAGAAACCTGTTGACTGGGGAAAGAACAAACTGGCAAAGTCCCATTTATGTACAATAGAAAAGGGAACCAGCAGTCAAAATTGTCTCTCTGGGACAATTTGCATCAACCTCTCAGATAAAGCCACATTGCACACTGTCAAGCCAACATTTCAACATCAAATCACCTGCCGTTTTCCATTGAAAAGCAATTTCCATGCAAGCTGCTGCCAACAGGAATATTATAAGCGGACTATTACATAACTGGAAATGGTACTGTGTGCATTGCAACAGGAATATCGGAAGCTGTGTTACACCAAATCAGATTACTGGTCCATCTAGCTGACGACAAGTCTTTCCCACCAACTGCAACTTGATCCTGTTTTTTAACTAAGAGATGCTGGGGGCGGGGAAACGAACCTTGGACCTCTTGCACATTGAGCATGTGCTCTACCACTGAGCTATGGATAGCTGGCACCTCAGCATCCTCTCCAATGCTACAGGGGATTTTGAAGCATAAAATAATCTGGTGCAGCTATAATGTCTTGAGACCGGTCTGTCTGACAGCCCAGTGCCTGCACCGTTATGAGTATCTTTGTATTGTGGCCCAAGTTCAGCGGTTCTCCAACCAGGATCTAGGAGTCACCGGAAAGCAGGGAAGGGTGAGTTTCTGACAACTACAGCCGTTGTGGGGCGATGGCAGGTGAAAAACGTAAATTATACAATGCACATGACATCACTGTCTCGTTTTAGTACATAACGAATACTGTAGCCTAGCAACCTAGCTTGATTGTGAGGGTTTGCCAGTTGTTTCTTTTGAAACCTTAGTGAAAGAATCCATCAGGAAAGGAGTCAGATGCTTTGTGCGGCAAGACCTGGCGCTCTAAGGGCTTTGTGGGGGAAGGGGTGTGCAAGGATATGAGTGGGGCAGCAATGTGAGCCTTCTCCTTGAATCCCGATTTCAACAGAAGGTCCTCTGTTTTGTGCTGCCAACAATGGTGTTGGGCCTTTGCACAGCACACTTCAGGCTGCATAAGCCCTATCCTTCCTCCTTGTATCTTCCAGCCCTCCAAAAAAACCCAGCAGCTAAGGCTTCACGTACAGCCAAGGCTCTGGTACTTGAGCAGCGCCGCCAGATGGCGGTCTTCGTCAGACTCTCTCACAAGCGGGATGCTCAGGCTTGCTTTTGACTGCAGGGCGAGATCTTTCTTCTCTTCCTCTTGCAGGACTTTCTTTTCTTCCTATGCGTAGGAAAGGGAGAAACAGAGACACAAAAAAAGAGAAATCCACATCAGAAAGGAGGTTGGGGAGGGGAAAACCTAAAACACAGGCCAAGGACTAGCAAGACAGGAATAAACATTTTTAAATCCACTGCATCCAGTTGTCTTGGAGGAGCTTAGTTAATAAATAAAATAAAAATAGGGATACAAACTTTAATCCAGCCGTATAAATATCCTCCTGCCTGGTTAATTAATAAAAAAATAACTCCAGGATACCAGACAGGGAAGCTTTATGGAAGTTCATTCTACAATACAAATTGCATTTCTCCATTGAATAATTCTTGTTCTGCCTATGCTTATTGGATTTGGTATTGCTCATATTAAAAAATAATTAAAAAAAGAAACCCAAATATCCATAAAGATAGCACACTAAAATGCAAATGACTAAGATAAGAATGCAAGTAGGCAAGCTATTAATTTTTTTTACAGAGCAATTCTATACATGTCTACTCAGAAGTAAGTCCCACCCAGTTCAATGGAGCTTACTCCTGAGTAAGTGGGTGTTGCATCACAGGTTAGAATCATAGAATCATAGAATCATAGAGTTGGAAGAGACCACAAGGGCCATCGAGTCCAACCCCCTGCCAAGCAGGAAACACCATCAGAGCACTCCTGACATATGGTTGTCAAGCCTCTGCTTAAAGACCTCCAAAGAAGGAGACTCCACCACACTCCTTGGCAGCAAATTCCACTGTCGAACAGATCTTACTGTCAGGAAGTTCTTCCTAATGTTTAGGTGGAATCTTCTTTCTTGTAGTTTGGATCCATTGCTCCGTGTCCGCTTCTCTGGAGCAGCAGAAAACAACCTTTCTCCCTCCTCTATGTGACATCCTTTTATATATTTGAACATGGCTATCATATCACCCCTTAACCTCCTCTTCTCCAGGCTAAACATGCCCAGCTCCCTTAGCCGTTCCTCATAAGGCATCGTTTCCAGGCCTTTGACCATTTTGGTTGCCCTCCTCTGGACACGTTCCAGTTTGTCAGTGTCCTTCTTGAACTGTGGTGCCCAGAACTGGACACAGTACTCCAGGTGAGGTCTGACCAGAGTAGAATACACTGGCACTATTACTTCCCTTGATCTAGATGCTATACTCCTATTGATGCAGCCCAGAATTGCATTGGCTTTTTAGCTGCCGCGTCACACTGTTGGCTCATGTCAAGTTTGTGGTCAACCAAGACTCCTAGATCCTTTTCACATGTACTGCTCTCAAGCCAGGTGTCACCCATCTTGCATTTGTGCCTCTCATTTTTTTTGCCCAAGTGCAATACTTTGAATCCATTCATTTCTCGTGGGACTTTTTATTATGAAACAATATGCACTTTTATTTAAATTAAATCAATTGATTAGTTGAAAGGCACGTGGTTAAACCTCTAAGAGTTATTATGTGGCTGACAGTCTTAAGTAAATATATTACTAGGAACACAGTTGAAATCTCACCCTGCCTTCATTTCTTCTAGGGCCACAAAGACGAACCCTCCCACCTCAACATCTGCTTACCCTGAATTTCCGGCGAAGGCGGCTGTTGAGTGCAAAGTCATCTTTCCAGGCGCTCTGAGCCTCTTGGATGTTCTGCAGGGTGGGGAGGGCTCGCTGTAGCTTGCTCTGATCCTTTGAGCCATGCTCCAACCGATACATGGCATCTGTCTCCAGCTTCTGCTTCTCCTCGTGGGCTGAGAGGCAGATACAAACATTAGGTCTGGCCAGGCCAGCTGAATCTTTAAACACCCCAACAGCAGGATGGGCATAGCTCCCTATGCTCACCTGTGGCCACTATCTGCTCATTCGCTTCCACATCCCAGCGCTCTTCCTTGCGCCGGGCACCACTGACAATGACATAATCACAGTTGGCTGGGTCCGTCTGCATCTCAATGTGGTTGGGGCAAAGGTGACATTTCATACGGAACCTACAAGGCAAGTTCAGCAAGATGGGATGGTAAGGGGGATACCAGATGTTGTGGCCATGAATGGAAGACGTTCAGAAAAAAAGGCCTCTTATTGTCACACAGAACCATGTACTGACCTTCCACCTTTTCCGCTACAATCTTTGTGTCCCTGTAGGGGGACATGTTCTGTATGGTGGTTGGTCCCTGCAACACATGAGGCAACTCTGCTTTCTGGTTCTGAAGGTTTTAGAGGATGAAAAGCATGCCTCTTTCCAAATCCCAATGGCTGCTGAGCAGAGCTAAGCTGCTGATTCTATTGTGTCTGATTATGATTATTAAATTTATTTTTATTGTTTGTGGGTTTTTGGGAAGCCACGGTACAGTTATGGAAGTCTCTTGCTGTGGTTGTGTTTATTTTTTTCATGGCTACAGGCAGGAAGCAGAAGACGACTGAGCAGGGCACCCAGCTAAACGGATCGTGCCACAGAGCTTCTGGTCTCGCCCCATGGCTAGCAGACTTGGACCAATCAGAATGGGTGCAGAGGAGGGGAACAAGGACGAACAGCATTATGGGAAAGAAGTCCACATGAAGAAAGGTTGATGCAGCTAATTACACAGTGGTAGTGGACTCTGCCTCACTTGGATGTTTTCTAACAAGACAACCACTCTAGATTTCCTCCACCAACAGGGGGTTGGACCTACAGGAAAGGCCCCTCCACTCTACGATTTACAAGCAAGCATGTGGACTTACACAAATCAGACAGTTTGCACAGCATGCTGTTTTTCTTGATCTTCCACTGGAAGTGGAGGTGGGAAACGTGGGTACAGATTACCTAAATACCAGCCAGTTGCCTCTTCCCTTTGCCAGACCTGAACTTGCACTTGATGCACACACTGCCCAACTCGTCCTGGCCAAGAGCACAAGTAAAGACAACAAGAGCCCTCACAGCACCCACCTGTAGATGGGGGTTGTGTAGTAGTTGCCAACCTTCTTCTTCTCAGCATTGTAGCGAACACCTGCAGTCAGCAGAGGGAAGAGTAGAATTTGTACATTCCTGCCTCCGATTTCCTGATCACTCAACCCCACCCTGGAATCTTATCATTACCAACAATGACTGATTTATTCATTTTAAACATTTATGCCACACCCTTTGAAAAACCTTTAACTTAATTACCAAAATGGCAGGACAATGAAAGTGTCCCAGATGTTTTGACTTCCAGAATCCCTAACCCCCGTTTTATTTACTAGACCAGGAGCTGAGAGCTTGTGGCACTCCAAATGTCCAATTCTCATCATAATTGACCATCGGCCATGCTGGCTGAGGCTGATGGCAGTCTAGTCATAGTCTAACGACACATAGGTCACAGGTTCTCCATCCCTGATCTATGTGTAAGCTGTAGAGGCATATAATCAGAATGCAGCTTCTGTTCCAGCTTCCAGGACTTTTAACTCCTTCTTTTATCTATTAGACGCATCACTCCCATCTTCTCAGTGGTGAGAACAGACCTCAAGAGATATAAAATCCCATTTCTCTTATTCTAACTAGCAACAGTTGACCTTATGACTCCTACTGGCCTCCTGGTGTACAACCCTTCCTTCTCAGGCTTCTTCCTGACCTACCCTGAAGCACTAGTCCCCAAGAGGTGAGAAGTACTCAGTCACACCTAGCAGCAAAAAAGCAAGACAAAACAGGAGGCTTTCAGAAATACCAAATGGAGATCCAACAAACAAGGTTCCTCTTTGCTGTACATAGCTCCTGCCGCAAAATTCCACTACCTTCAAACAAGCCCCTCTCACCACATTTAAGCTCCTATTAGCTGTCTATGTATATAAGGGATGGCCTCAACACCAGCCGCCTTCCACACTTACCCATGCCAATGTGGTTCTGGCAGCCGTCACACCAGATATTATAAGGCATCTCAAACCTAGGAAAGAACAGCCAAGGGACATTCACTATAGGCAGCAGAGGCACCCGACCACTTCAGCTAGCAGGAAAGCAAGCCCTGTTTGATGTCCACATGCAACTGGGCTAGCGTAGAGCTGGTCCTCCCCTAATGTGCAGGCCCCAGACAGTTTCCTATGCCCCCCTACAAAGAGCACCACGTAATAAGGACTCAACTCCAAGGTGCCCTGGCATGCTAAGGATTGCATCTAAGTGTCCTTACCTGATGATGAGGATACCCTGGGAGAGTTTACGAGCTCTTTCCCGTAGCGGATGGCTGTTGCGGTACTTATTAAGGGAGCCATGCTGCAAAAAATGAGAAGAGAAGATGCTCAACTTGTTATATACAAAGTCCAGTGTCAGTCATGACTCTACGGCCTTCGTCCGATGACAATTTATGTACCCCTATGACATTGTCCATTCCAGGGAAAACCATGATTTTTTAGACTTACCTGCACTTAGGCAGGAATAACCAGATGAACAAATATGAGATGTGAAAAGGATATAGGGGTCTTAGCAGACCACAAGCTTAACATGAGTCAACAGTGTAATGCAGCAGCAAAATAAAAAATGGGCCTGTTCTAGGATTAATTATCACTTTCGTATGGTCTTTTATCACATTTTATTTTTATCCTTTGTTCTTATTCAAGTTTTCCATTTGTCAACAGAAAAATAATTCTGCAGAAATCTAATTGCTTTTTTAGAAATACATTCTTCATTTTACACTGAACGTATTACTACCATCTCAATGCTTATTTATGAAGCAGGCAAGAGCAGTAAATTACATTGGGTTGTATCATACCTAGAGTAGACCTGGTGTGGGGAACAGGATCGCCAGTGAGGCCAGATCTCCCGAACATGTGAGATCCTGAGCCACTCTCACATACGGACAAGACCACTCAATGGAGGCAGGTCTACTCAGTTGAAGGCAGCACCCAGAAAACCTGGCTTGCAGACTTGTGCCTGTTTCAGCTCAGTAAAACCCTTCCAGGCAATTCAAAAACTGATTCCTTGCTATAACTACTAGGTACACACACCCTCACCATGGAACTTATCTTGCAATACAGAAAACAAAAATGCACACAGACAGCACACAACTTGAAACCCTGAATTTCCCTTGGAACCCTCAATTGCTCTCTTACCTTGGCTGGATCAAAATCGGGTGGGTAATACTTATTGACTCCTTTTCTTTCCCCCTGTAAATAACCAATGACAGCATTAGAATCCCGTTGCTCAATAACACCTCAAGCAATTAAATGTGTATGAAAACTCTGCAAATACAAGCAGTTTTTTTTTTGCGGTGGTAAGAGGTGTTTTGCAGGTGTTTGGAAGTGGACCCTGTATACTAGTTTTGCCTGCTTGCTTCCTCCTAGCCCAGAGCACAGGTCCCCTTCTGCTCAGCTCAAGGGGTCACATATGGGAAGGTGGCCATCAGGTGAGAGTCACAGCATGGTGACTCCAATAAGCAAAGCAGTTGGCTCATTTCTTCCCCAGATTGCAGAAGAACACAAAGAGAACCCTCTCCTTTGTGAGATTCAAAGTCTCTTTGGACCAGCACCCTGCTGACCAACCAGATGCCTATGGGGATGCATGGGGTTCCAAAAGTCATGCATGAAGGTTAACAGATTTACCACATTGTCTTCCTGCCCCCCGGCAACTGGTATACAGAGTTGTCCCATCTACTAACATGGAGGTTCCATTTAGCTATCATAATAGCTAAGCCAAGCTTTCAGCAAACCCCCACCGCCACCGCCCCATTTCAGTGGCCTTATCCAAGCAGTCACGTTGTTCAAGCAACAGCTGTTGGTTCAGGCCAGTTGTCACTTGATGACAGTCCACACGTAGGCACCTTGGGAATGTCAGGAGCCATCTAAGCCAGGCCAACACCAACTGTTCCATCAGCATGCCTGCAGGTGTGTGTGTGTAGGAATACACAGGGATGCCATTGTGTCCAAATACTCAAACTAACAGCAGCTCCATAGAAACACACAGCCTTATGCATTCCCAAGGTGCTAGAAGGAAAGTTGCAGCCAGATGTGAACCAGCCCCTATTGGTAATTATTGCATTTAAACTTCTGTTTTGTTGACCAAAAGACCAGTGTATGAAGAGCTACCACAGGACGTAAGCTTCAAGTTACCCTTGCAGTTAAGGACCAGTTCACATTTAACAGCAGCACCCGTGGGGTCGGGGAGAAGCAAGCAAGGCAGCAGCATCATGTCAGAATGGGACGGCGGCAAGAAGGAACCCTTGAAACAGCCCAAGAAGCAAGTAAAGGAAATGGATGAGGGAGACAAAGCGTTCAAGCAAAAACAAAAGTAGGAGCAAAAGAAAGTCGTTGAGTTGAAGGCAAAAGCAGCTGGCAAGGGACCACTTACTGGAAGTGGGATTAAAAAATCTGGTAAGAAGTAGCAGATTGATGAGACTACAGAGCAAGAAAAGCATTCACTCTCATTGGATGCTTGGCAGGAGGATGGATTTCCACGCTGATGTTGTGGGAAACATTAATGTGAGCACCTTTGTATATTTTGTTCAAACAAAATAATTGGCCTTTTTTTTGGGTTAAAAACCAACCAACCAACCAACCAACCAAACAAACAAACACAGCAGCATCCGTCCCAGGAGCACACATGGCCACACATAAGTTTGTAGTCAGGTCAGCCTCCTCCAGAAGCGTGTTTTTGTGAGCTGGTGTCTCTATGGGAGGCTAGATACATGCTGCTGAAAAACACACAACTCCAGCATCTCATGAAAGTGTTGTGCTTACCCTATTGAAGTTCAAGCACTGTGTTTGGGGGGGAAACAACCTTGTGGATGTGCTACAAAGCACCCCATGTACTCACCATGATGAAAGAAGTCTAGCTGAACAGCTGGAATGGCCTAAGAGAAGAGCAGGAGAAAGTTATTCCTAGGATATTCCCAGAGAGGAGAAGCACAAGCAGCATCACTCTTTGGAGTGCCCAAAGCAGCAGCCACCTGCTCTCAAGCTCCAGAACCTGCTTTTGATGCTAGAACTTCTGCCATATAATGTGCAGAAATAACAGAAAGTCACAGCCTCTGAAAGCAGGGCTAGAGAAACCTGGCTTCTGTCAAAGGGCACATTTCTCCTGGCTACTATCGGGGGCACATGCCAGCGTGAGGGGGCAGATCCCAAAGTGGGCAGGGTACCCTCTTTGTTCTCTCTAACACCCCATTTCCTCCATGCCCAGTAGTAACAGTGTGCCTCTGAGTGTGTGCAAAGTGCCTTTCTCTGTTAAGCACTTCTAGGCCACATTCGTCTTGCCAAGGCTGATTGCTTTTTCAGAAATAAACCACTGGCTATAAAGTAGACTATATGTGGGCACACACCATCAAAGAGTCCTGCCATGGTATTACAACACGCCTCTCTCTCTTTTTCTTAAGAAAGTGCTTATAAATATTTCTTAACCACGGACTGTTGCCGCCTGGGCCTGGCAAAGCGCTGAAACACTGAAATACCTCTTGAGCGGGCATATTATGCTGCTTCGAGGGTGGCCGGGATTCCTCTTTCTAAACCATCAACGTTAGGAAATAAACCCACGCAGAGACATGCACAGAGATACAGGTCTTGAGGCGACCACAAAAGGGTGCCCCCTTCCCTGCCAGGGAAGAAGGGGCAAGGGAAGATCTCTATGGGGAAAACAACGGGGAATAAAGATCTCCATCGGAGATCTGCTGCCTTTGGGGATCCTGCCGCCTGGTCGCCTCACCTTGCCTCAGGGGTGGGCCGGCTCTGTCAGGACCTCGCTCAAAGGGCCTGCCAACTGGTGAGGGGGGTCCCCCATTTTCACCCACACGCCCGTTTCTGTGCCAGGTATGCTTTTAATCTGGTCTTATCTGCAAGCCGCCTCGAGTCCCACTCAGAAAAAAGGCGGGGTATAAATAACCGAATAATAATAATAACAATAATAATAATAATCATAATAATGGTATCTGCCGCCCCGTGCCCGGCCCTCCTCCGGCGCTCACTGAGGCTCTAGGGCGCCGGGGGCAGCCGAACCCCCCCACCGACCTCGCCGCCGCTCCGGCTTCCTTCTCCCGCCGCCTGCTCCGCCTCCTCCGGGCTGCCTCATCAGCGCGCGCCCGGCGCCGGATCCTGCCCTCTTTCCCGGGGAGGAGCCTGCCTGCCTGGCCGGCTGCCTGTCCCCTCCCCAAGTACCGGAGGCTGAGGGCGAGAGGCCGGCCTGGGGAGGAAAGGGGGCTCTCCTCCGCTAGCCTCGGCCTCCTCCGCCGCCGCCGCCGAAGCCCCCCGGCAAGCCGCCCGCCTTGGAACTGTCCGCGTTGGGAAATGCAAAATCCGTTTCCCCTCCAGTTCTTACTTGCGAATGGAGGCCAGGAAGCTCTTCTCTCTCAGGCCGCCGGGAGAGATTTGAGGCCAGCCGAGTGGCTTGTTCGAGGTGCTGCCAGCTTCTCCGGCTGCCAGCACTGAGACAAAGACACTCCTCTTCGTGCTGCAGATTTCTCTGCAAATGCACCTTTTCTTCTGCCTTTTCCTGGGTGTTTTTTTTTGGGGGGGGGTGTTGTTGCTTGCTACACTTCTCTGCAAAACAGACATTCTGCAAATGCAGACCACTAGGTTTCATAGGTAGTGCTCACAAACAGCATTTTGTGCTTATAGTATCTGAAGGAGTGCAGAAGCCAAGAAACGTTCTCGTGGGATTATCTGTGTTTCTATAGACCAGCCTGGAAACTAGTGCCTCTGCTTTAATCCAAGGATGTTGGTTCTCTCGTCTCCAAAATAAAAATGATGCTGTTTTTATATCAGAGTTCCTCAAGTGCCAGAATTCGTCTTCCTGACTCCAGCTTCTGGCTTAGCTCCAGACATGCTCAGAATTATCAGAGTGGCTTGGCAGCCAATCTTTCTTCCCAGGGAATTCCGGAAATTGTAGCTCTAGGTTTCCTAACAACTCTCAGCACTTTGAACAAACTACAGTTCACAGGTTGCTTTGGGAGAAACCATGCCTGTTCAAAGTGGTGTGTGTTACTGCTTTACATATTTTGGGCAGGAGGGACCTCACTTTAATTTGTACTATTAATTCCAAAACATTTTTATCCCAAATGTCCCTCTGCAGCAAAAAAAAGTTGGAGTGACTTTTGAATAAAATTTGATCTTTCAAGGCTATCTCCTTGTATGGCTTGCACTTTGCCCTATACTGTTTGGCTCTAGGAAACACAAAATGAGGATATTAGGTCATGGCCTTCTCTAGGGGATGTGTTGTAAGAGTACATCAAACCAGTCTGATGGCTCCAGTGACAATTTTGTGCAAGACTGCTGATGGCAGTGGTGTGTGAACACGTTATGAGAAACTTGACAGGAGAGATTAGCAGTACTGGGAAAGCCTTCTGCATTGTTAGAGGATCCTGAGTTGCTCAACTCTCTTCTCTCAGGTAGGAACAATCTGCTTTCGTAACTCGAGACGCAACAGGTCTTGAGTTGCAGCTCAGCAGATTTAAGTCACAAATGTAGGCGTGAGCTAACCGAGGGAGCTTGTTTGAATCAGTTGAATCTGCATTCCAAGTAGAATTCTAGATGTGGCATTGGAACAAATGGGGTCTCCCCTTCCCAAATGAAAAGTACAAGTGCAGGGCTCCCAGTTCAGTTTGGAACTGCAGCTGGGGAAGGGAAATAAAGGGATTAAATCTCCCATAACCTCCATATTAGGGTCCTCATCTGGATTGGGTCCTCCCACCCACTGCTGCAACTGCAGTTTCCCTGCTAGCTTTGGTCTGTGGAGAATGAAAAGTGCCTTCCTGCACAGTCCACGTGGGAACTAAGGAACAAGGTGGAGCCAAGGAGAATAGATCCTGCAGTCCAGATGGGAATCCTCTGAGGACTGCACCCAGCCTACGGATTGCTGTTCCGTCTTCCCCACTCTATACAAACACACCATAGATCAGGCTTCCTCAACCTCGGCCCTCCAGATGTTTTTGGCCTACAACTCCCATGATCCTTAGCTAGCAGGATCAGTGGTCAGGGATGATGGGAATTGTAGTCTCAAAAACATCTGAAGGGCTGAAGTTGAAGAAGCCTGCCATAGATAATGTGAGGACCATCTTCTCTCACGTGTTCCTGTCCATGCAACACAAGTCTACATCCAAGGTCCCACTCTGGGTGGCTGTAGGGATGGCATTTTCCTTCTGTTACGGTCTGCCCTCTACAGGGGAGCCCCCACCAGGCCCATCATTGTGCGTATTCTAACACCGCAGCTTCTCAGGCCGTTGAGGATGGGTAGTATTTTTTTTACTGTGATGCCGGGCAGGTCCCTTTTATATTGTGTAAATTCCTGTTGCATTATTGCTGTAGGATGCAAGCAAAAGCAGACCTTCATATCATCCCAAAGGCTTGTGGTCCTAAAGCATATAAGGCTTTAAAGGCCAAAACTACCACCTTAACTTGTGCCTGGGAACAGCTACCTTTGTTCAACAAAGTACCATAGATACAAACACATCCTCAGCTACCCACTGCAAGACACAAGCAAAGGTTTTAAAAAATAAAATAAATACATCCTTTCTTCTCCTTGTTGAATTGTGGTAAGATTTCAGGGACCAAGGCAGAGGCAAATGTGAACTGTGGTGTATAAGAGGCTGACTCTATTTAAGGTGCTGTGACACAGGTGGCGCTGTGGTCTAAACCACAGAGCCTAGGGCTTGCAGATCAGAAGGTTGGCGGTTCGAATCCCCGCGACAGGGTTAGCTCCTGTTGCTTGGTCTCTGTTCCTGCCAACCTAGCAGTTCGAAAGCACGCCCCAAAAAGTGCAAGTAGATAAATAGGTACTGCTCCGGTGGGAAGGTAAATGGAGTTTCCGTGTGCTGCTCTGGTTCGCCAGAAGCGGCTTAGTCATGCTGGCCACATGACCCGGAAGCTGTACTCTGGCTCCCTCGGCCAGTAAAGTGAGATGAGCATCCCTTTACCTTTTTACTGTTCACCTTGGAGAGGAGTTGGTTAAGGGATCCTTTGCCTGAGCCTCTTGGTACACACAGGGGTGAGCCAGTGGCTGGAGGCAACATTACTGGCGCTTCAACCCCAACTTAGTTCAAACTACGACTCCTATTTAAGAAACTGCTGAATGGGGTCATATAGCAAAATCAAACAAATTGCTGTGACTTCTTAAGAGACTAACTGGTTTATTACAGCACAAGCTGTCATGTGGGCAGTGCATGAAGTGGACAAGTCAGAGGTGGTAGTTAGGGAGAGGGAGGCAAGTTAATAAAAGTCCAGGTTACATCCGTTTCAGCTGTCCCCAACCTGCTAACAACTTGATGGGTGCTGCTGTCCTTTATTGTAGCAGCAGTAACTGAAGATCAGTAGTAGCTGCCTATTTAAACCTTTGCCCCTGAAGAGCATGATTTGCGTTGGCAGATCTTCAGGGCTGGTTTCAGATTTTGCAAGCAGCAAAGAGTATGTGGGAAAGCTTGTGTCATAAGTCCAAGAAAAGAAAACTGTTGGCGCTGGGAGCAGGCCAGCCCACTCAAGAGGAACGAGAGGAAAGGCTGAAGATCCAAGCATGTTGGGTCTGAAGGTGGTGGTACAGGAAGAGTCAGGCGTCCAAAGGGGTGTCATCAGTGTTGACTGAGAGGCAAGTTCAAGTGACAGCCCACCAGGCTTCCTTGCATCTCAAGAAATGCTCTCTCCAGTGCTTTCTGGTTGAACTTAGTACCTCAATCTCTCAGCAAACACTCCCATCATGCAGGAATTGCTGCCTATTCCACTGAGACAAAAAAATATAAAGAGTTCATCTGAGGTACTGTAATTACCGAACTTCAGAGGAAGTTGTCAGAGCAGCTACTTTTACAGCAGTCCAAAGGAAATAAAGAGGAAATGCCCTTCAAAGCCAATGCAAAGTCCCACAGCTCTCTAATTAAGGAAATGATAGGACTGCAGAGGCAGGAGCAGACAAAAAGGTAAGACAGGGATCTTCTAGTAGATCTCAAGGTGGTTTGCAGTAGACCAGCAGTATTATTGTTTAACAAGTTAACAATAAAATGATTTTATCTGAGGCAGTTAACATAGTCAGCTTTCCTCAAGGCTTATTTGTGTTTTTCTTTATGTCACTGGGTAAAGAACTATGCATATTGATGGTGCTACTGCGTACGACAACAATTAGGAGAAAATATAAACCCTGGCAATGGTTAGCAGGGAACACCTACTGGAGAATATTAACAAAATGTTGAGAAGAGACTTGACTAATCAGTTTATTTCAATATTAAAATGCACCAACAGATATCGAGTGCAATAGCTCCTTCTTCCACAAGCAGATCTGCTGCAGGAAGTAAGAAAAACTTCAGTCACATGAAGATCAAACACTTATAATACAAAGGCTTTTGCATTTTCCTCCCTCTTCAAAGCAGAGGAAAATGCATTAGCAAAGCTCCAACTTCTTTTCTTGTAATCATGTGTCTATGCATTTTGCATTTGAGGCTGAAAAGGCAGCTTTTCATTCAGTGTGTACTGACAGTTGCATTCTTCCGCTGTGATTATCAAGTTCTTTTTGCCTTTCACACTTGCAGGACCTTTTTTAAAATACATACTTTGTCCCAAAAAAAATCTAGGAAATGGGAAGTGAACCTTGAGTGGAGTTACTGAGACTTAAATACATGTCTCTTTTCTCATGAGAAATAACTTTTATTGAGTGTGTATAGTTCTGGACTTGCCCACTACCAGAATGCAGCCCTTGAGGGATTTCGACTGGGTTAATGCCTCAGTCCCAAACAGGTTCCTCACCTTGGTTTAAATCCATTGCTTCTCCTATTCCTTCCTTAAGTTGGACACTTGGTCTTGAAGAACATCCTGAAAGGCACTCATGGTCCTCAGAGAAGGTGTAGGGAACCTATGGCCCTTCCGACGCTGCTGAACTATACCTCCCAGCAGCCTCAGCTAACATGACAAGTAGCCATGGATACTGGGAGGTGTAGTTCAGCAACGTGTGGAGGGGCCAAATGTTCCCCACACCTACCTTAGAGCAGTCTTTGCCTTCCAGATTCTTCCAACATTCAGGCTCATGTCTAGGTGTTGGGAAGTTCTGCCACTGTGTTACTTCCAGGGCAATTCAGGCTTCCTCTGTTCCAGTAAGTCCCAGCTCTAAGGGAAGAATGCTTGGTAGAGAGAGGCAAAAACTGCACCATGTGCACACCCTGAGTCCTACTAAAAGGTGTCCGGGCCAGGGTGTGTGTGTCAAGAGGTTAGAGGAGAAAAGAGGCGGAAATACTTTATAATCACAAACACTTGTGGACCTTAGAAACCCAGCATAGGCTTTGATTTTTAGACATTAGGCAGAGTGAATTTGGCGATGGGACTACCTCATTAGCACAGCACAGCAGCGAAAATACAAGCTGGCCCTGCCTCCTCCTGAGGGAATGGGCAATGCCAAAGGATCTAGAATGCCCCTGCATACTCTACCAGAAAACCACTTTTTAATCCTGGCCTCTCACAAGGCAATACGTCACAGTGCCCCAGAAAACCACGGGGTGTCAAAGGATAAGTATAAAAGTTCAGTAAATCAATATACATACATACATATATATAATTTGACTTTAATTTACATGTCTCAAACAGGATAGAAGGCAAAGGCTTTTCTACCCTGATAAGGCAACCGTGAACTATGATAAACCGCAAGAGAATCAATCAAGGGAGAAGAAAATTCTACACAGGTTTGTAAAAGCTGTACTTTGTCCCCTTCCCTCCCTCCCTCTCCCGCCCACACACTGAGCTCTGTTTAGAGTCCATCTTTACCACTTTTTCTTGTGTTCATCCATGGAAACCCCCCCAGGTCCCAACGCCACAACAAGCAGCAGACCACCTATGACAGACATGGTCTGGAAAAAGTCATATTTGAGGAAATCGTGGAGAGGCCTGTAAGTGGGGACGCTCCAGAAGGCATTCTGGATCAGGTTGATGATGAAAAGCCAGATGACTAGGGTAAGAGCAGCAAGCTTGGTCTTGAAGCCAATGGCTACCAAAATGATAAGCGCCATGCCAAAGATGTCCTGGAAAATCTAGGGAGGAAGACAAAAACCATGCTTCAATTTAATGCATTCTTTGCTTCAATGGTTGGTGTCCCCAACTTGTTATCAACAACAGAGATCAGGCATGCACCCAAGTAAAACAAATGTTGTGACCTCCCCAATACATTATGAAAATGTGTACGTATTTTCTAATTTGACTTAATTTGTTCTAGCTCTGTGATTGCTAAGAACAGGCAAGGTGTTATGTAAGGTGATGCAACAGCACTCTCTGAACATTTGCTGGCCTATTCAGCCCAGTGGTGTTTGAAAAAGACCCCAGAGTAGGAGAGAAGTCAAATCTAGAAGATTCTCCATCCCTGGGTAAGTGACAAGGCTGCAGCAAAAGCCAAACTGAGTAGTTTCCTTTATTAATCAGAATAATGTCTTAAAGGGCCTAGTCTATTTACTATCTAGTGGTAAGGTAGCACACAATTGCCCAACTGAGTTTGTGCTTATTTCCATAGAACACCAGCCAATTTTGCAGATGGAGAAAACCCAACCAAGTCTTGTAATAGTGGATGCCACTCACAGTGAAGGCGCCAAGTTCGAAGTGCAGGAGTGTCATGAACATGAGAACCAGGAGCAAGCGCCCACCAAGCTGCATGTACTGCCGTGGTGAGATATCGTCCATGGTAGGGACTCCAGCAAACATGGACTTCCCCTCAGAACGAGATTCTGCAAGTAGCAGGAGCAGCCCACCTCCGAGAGCCAAATTCCTATGAGGGAGAAAAAACATAAGGGGTTCAGACAATTTGGAACTGGGGTCTGCAATGGAGGTATCAAACGGCATATTCTGTAACACAGTAGCACTCATCACCTGGACCTTCTCATGATTCTGCTGCTTCCCTAACCCCACAATTTTTGCCTTCCTAACTGCTGGGATGCACCTGGTGCTCTTTTTCCACACCTCTAAATGACACCTATGGCAACTCTGGCCTGCTTGACTTAATTACTACCACTTAAAACCTCCTTCTGAGAGTCAGCAAACATAATTTACCTTACTTGATACAGGTGTTTTTCTTTAACCTAGATTACAATATCTTTCTGGTAGATGGCTGCCCATTCACTCAGTGTTCTAAGATAACCCTGGCCAGATAACCCAAGGAGGTGAGGATTGGATATTCTTCCTGCAACCACTCCTGTGATTTAGCAAAGACAATGAGAAAGCTCTCCATACTGGGCTCCTCCTCCAGTTTAATTTTTAAAGCCTTGCCTCTTAACTCTTGCCAGGACGTGGGTCCTGCCTTGCCTTCGGCTTTTATGGTTGGAAAGAGGCTGCTGGGTTCTTTATGGGGAGAGGGATCCTGCTTCTTCTGTGTTTTATTTGTTTGGGGTTACACGTTTTGCCTTTGGGGGGAGCATTCTGAGCTTTACTAAGTTTTCTTTTTGGAGATGGGTATTTTTGGTGCCTGTAAGTTTTATATTTCTAGATGTGCCACCTGGCTTATAACATTGAGAAGCCCCACTCTAGGACTTGTAAAATATTGAATAGTCCACAGCCCAAAGGGCTGAGTCATCCTTTCCCCAAGGCTGGCAGTTTTCCTCTATCGTAAGACTCTAATTTTCCCCAAGAGATTAGAGAGCCTGTTGTTTTGTCTCCCGACATGTGCTTGGAGACAGTAAGCAAAGACTCAGTGTCTGCCCCCCTAGGTCATGAATATAATTGGAAATGGACCTTTCATTCCAAGAACCCCTGAAAATAGGGCAAGTGTGAACCCTATCCTCATAGGGGTACAGAAATGTTTATAAAGATATTTTATTTTAGATTTTGGATTCTCAGAACCCCGTTTCCTAAGAAGAAGTGTATTTACTATCTATTGAACTAATCTGCGTCGAGTTGAAGCTTTTGTGAGCCTAAACAGTTATGTTTTGTTTTTATAAATTACTGTTTTGGCTTTATCAGAGAAGCTGGGGCACCTCCAAATGCCTAGAAAATGAGAATTGTGTGTATTAATTATTATAAATAAGTTACCATTTGGACTAGTGGAAGCAACTATCTGAGAGTGCGAAACAGAGGTTTATAAAAAAAAACCCTGCTTGGCTTTTGGCACAATCAAGACAGCATCTTTACGCAATAAGGAACAAGGACCTCCCTTTGGATTTTTTTTTTATGAAGAGAAACCTCTTCCAGCCTGCCAAGCACTTAAGGAGGGGCAGCTAGAGGAGGCCACTTGCAGACCCTGTAAGCTTTTTGTCTTTATACAAGAATTACTATGGTCACTTTTTCAATCTACAGGGACTGGTGACAACACTGTGAGCGTTCTGAGTGAAAGGAGCTTGAGTCAGAGCACAGTTGTATGCTCATGAGACTGCCTATAATGCGGGTGGTCACCATGACATTATCAAGTTGCACTATGTTGCTGAGCATAGCATCACTGGCCGGTAATCTTAGAGGTGGGATTATGTGCAATACAGCTTCCTTTCCCCCTTTATAAGCAACTTGTTTCCACCATCAAACTAGCAACCAGCCTCTTCTTAGGCACACAAGTCAACCCTCTCTAACTTATATAAGCGTACATGAAGGTATCTGGGTGTGAGAGAATGAGAGAAACATTTCCCATACAAAAGATGAAGAACATCAAAATACCCCATCATAAATCCTCTGTGGAGTTACAACACAACATGCCTTCTGGTTTTAACTCACCTCATCAAGAACTTGAGGTCCCATAAAATACTGTAGGCAATTGTCTGAAAAACAAGAAAGCAGTAGGTAGTGATGAGGACACCATCATTAGTTTAGCTCAAGGGCTCTACATAATCTCCAGATTTCCTAGGATAGGAATGATTTCCTTGGCAGCAGCCATGAACAGTTGTTGAGAGTTCCTAGAAAACAGCTTTGCGGGTAGGAGCTGCCTTTCATTGGGAGCTGGTGTGTGAGACTAATGTACACTTAGTTTTCAGGAAGATTCTCAATAGAGTGCAAATAGGCATTAAAATGAGGAATGCAATTTAATGTAAGCAAGTGAAAAATGATGCACGTTGGGGCAAACAAAATAATTCTAAATTTCACATATTGGGGAAATCCAATGAAACTGAATGTTGGAAGATTTAGGACAGACAAAAGAAGTTGTTTCTTCACACAGTGCAGTTAAACTAACCCCCCACCCCACCCAAGGTAGGGATGGCCATCAATTTGGAGTGCTTTAAAAGAGGACTGAACAAATTCATGGAGTATAAGGCTATCACTGGCGACTAGCCACAATGTCCATGTTCTGCCTCCACTGTCAGTCCGTGTGCCTCTGAATACTGGATGCTGGGAATCACAGGTGGGCAGAGTGCTGCTATGCTCAGGTTCTGCTTCTGCACTGTGAGAACAAGATGCTGGACCAGATGGACCCTTGCCCTGATCCAGCAGGGCTCTTCTTATGTTCTTAGTGTAGTACAATAAATTATCACTAATGTACAATGAGAGTGGTAGCTGAGTGTTTGTCTGCTGAAACAACGAAGAGTCTTCAGCCACCTTAAAGACTGGGATTTATTGGCGCAGAAGCTTTTGTGGCCTATTGCTCATTTTATCAGAAGTATGAAGAGTCCTGCACCAGATGTGTACACACACAGGTACAGAGATAAGAGGTTTGCAAACACTGAGGCCAGGGAATAATTGAATTCAAGAAATAGCAGAAGACATTTCCCTGTTCCAGGCATAGCTCAAATGTGTACAAGCTAAGAAGAGAGTAGTCCATTCACAATGACAATTAATACTATCTTTCTAGTCTATGGTTGCTGTTGTGACTAGATCAGTCTCTTCTTATCTTGTAAACTAGGGGAGACTAACCTGTGACTCTCCAAATGTTGCTGGACAACAACCCCTATCACCCAGACTACTGGAAAAGTTGGCTGTGGCTAATGGGAGTTTGAAGTCCATCAACATTCGAAGTGCTGCAGGTCAGCTACCCCTATTCTATGCAACTGAACTTTGCAAAGAAATACTGGACAATTACTGCTGTCCTTTTGTTTATATTTATTTTTTTCTTTTTGCATATTATATCAAGTAGGATAACACTTTAGGCATCTAATGAAGTAGACTATACTCCAGGAAAGTACGTATCACAATCAATCTCCTAGACTTGGCACACCTACTTTGCTGAAAACAACCAGAAAGTAGAATAATACTTTTGAACAACTTGCTCACGAGCTCAAGACTTGCCAAATGCTGCACTGAACTCATGGAATTCTGTATTTTGCCTTAAAGATGAAAAAAATGTTTTGCAAAGAGAAGCCATCGAGGAAGAATATTGGGTCAAAACATGTTTGATAATTTAAGACTAAAAATATAGTTAATAAGCATCGTTTTTATAGTTAATGAACATTGTTTTATTGAAGCTTATTGGCAATAAGCATTGAATTGCTACCATTCGAAGTCTTTTACAATTGATATTCGGCAATAAATACAGAACTTCATATACCGTATTTTTCGCTCTATAACACATATCCGACCATAACACGCACATAGTTTTTAGAGGAGGAAAATCCGTAGGCATGCCACCTGTAGGCATTCCCTCCATAACACGCACAGACATTTCCCCTTACTTTTTAGGAGGAAAAAAGTGAGTGTTATGGTGCAAAAAATACGGTAATTTCAGTATACCTTAAACCTTAACATTTTATTCCTATATGGCTCCATCACTACTTCTGTTTTGGAGGGCAGATACAACTTTTCTGTTTAATCAAACCTCCTGCTTATTTAGACTGCTGTGAATTTTACTGCTTTCTATTCTGTTTATATTTTATAGTGTTTGTTGTTTGTTGATCTGAACTTTAGGAAGGAACAGAAGCATGTAAATAACTGTAAATAAATGAAAACATGATCCTCCTACCCTAAAGCAGCTTGACTGGATCCAAGCATATCTTTTCACTCTGGGATCTAGATCTTGTTCCTTACACTTTCAACTCACCTGCATGAAAACGATTCCAAACAGGCCAAAGCATGCGTAAGGGACAAACTTTCTGGCGAGAACAAGCACACACCCAGCTAAAAGAACAAGAGAGAAGGTGCTTCAGGGACAACAGAAGAATTGCAACAAGGAAACAAAATACAGAAAGTGTTTTCCACATGCCCATTTCCTACACTTGTCCTGAAGCAGCTTTAAATGAAGAATGGGGGAACCCGGATTGTGCAATACGCTTCCCTCTTTGGTCCGTCTGGTGCCAATGTCAGTCTCATTCTGGTTTCAGGTTAAGACCTGGTAATTTTCTCAGGCGTTTATAAACTGTTAATTTTCCAAGTTACTATTATAGTGGTTGGCTGCTCTGTGTTTTAAGATTACAGTTATTTAGTGTTCACGTAAGTAAAGAAGCCATGAACCACCTTATTCTGCATGAGCATGCCCAAATATTAAGATCTTCTTTGGAGGACAATTCCTGAATTCCTGTCTTCTGAAGTGAGGCAGATGGAGAATGCTACTCTGCTGTGGTGCCTGGGTTGGAATACTTTCCACAAGGATGCGTCTCTGGCACTGGTTGGATCTTTTTATTTGCCCAGCCTTTTCAGTTTAAACTGTTAGGTTTTGTTTTTTTATTTATTCTGGAGCTGTAAACATTTGAGGTTACTATACAATCTTAGTGCGTTTAGTTTCAAAGATCAGGGCTTTCACAAATTTCATGAAAACTAATGCTGTTTGATGTAAACATGAAACCTAGTCCCTAGTCTGCATTCTAAATTTGGCCCTCAAGACAAATCACTCCCTGAAAGTTCTACAAAGAATGCAAACATGTACTTGTGTCCCACCTTTGGCAGCAAGACCTATGGAGGGTACCAGATCTGTGCCAGTCATTCTCCACCCAGTCACCAAAGGAAGAAGCCCTTACCTAGCTGCCCACACATGTTGATTAATACAAAAAGTGTGGCTAAGAGTGCACCGCTTCCCCATGACATGTTGATGTAGTCTCGTTGCTCATTCCACTGGAACCACATCCTGATGCCATCCTCCAAGAAGGTGCTAATCAGGCAGAGGTGAGCCAGATGAGGTAGGTAGTGCTTTGTCACACGCAAGAACTGGAGTGAAAGAAATGCAACATGAGAGACAGGACAGTGCCCCTAAATGGCTGCAGAAATGAAGGTCAGCCTTGCCTAGACTTAATACCAACTTTGTCCAAATGATCTCTGGGTTCTTCTGCTCCACAAGGTGGCAAATATATACTACATATGTTCAACATCTGGAAGGCCAATTTATACATGCAAAAACAAGCTACTGATGTTATAACTTGGTGCACTGGTCAAGTGTAGGTCACTCCAAACACTTTCGATTTCAGACCTGCTCCTGAATGAAACATGTAGACAAGTGAAACTAACCTCTTACAGAGTCTGAGTCTGGTAGTACTTATCATTTCCCCTCATATCAGGAGACAAAACAACAATATAGATTCTGCTGCTCACGGTAAATCCAAATGCTAAATCTATCTGTTTGAAGACGTAGTGGCTCCCGACTTATTTATTTTCTCTGCTCCCCAGCTCCCCTCTCACACACAAAATTCCTCTCAAGCAGCAGTTTGTAAACTTTTTCTTTTTTGCAAAGATAACTTAAAATGACTAGTGGCCTTGATGGACTACTTAATAAACTTTCCCTCCTTCATCACCAGCAACAGCAAAACCAGTTCCTGTTGATGTTGGCATCCATCTGTCTTAAGTGACAAAGGAGTGTCTCATATATAATGAAAATCATGGGACCTAGGCCAGGGCCTTGTTAACCTGTTCAGCCTCGAATCAAAATAGCCTTTGGCTATGTTATTGGGGGGCAGGGGAGGAAATCTAATGCAGGGCAAATGCAGACGAAATTAATTCGTTCTGCGAGGTTTTTCGTCTTGCGAATTTTTCGTCTTGCGAAGCACGGTTTCCTGGGTATTAACGGTTTTAAGAAAAAGGAAACAAACTTGCAAGACGTTTTCGTCTTGCAAAGCAAGCCCATAGGGAAATTCGTCTTGCGAAGCAACTCAAAAAACGAAAAACTCTTTTGTCTTGCGAGTTTTTCGTCTTGCGAGGCATTCATCTTGCGAGGTACCACTGTATTCCCATGTCATGGGAGGCTCATTTGACCATAATAAAACTAGGTGGTAAATTTGAAACTAATATTTATCTCCTCCTAACTTCCCTCATAGGGTTGTTGTGAGGGTAAATAATAAATGTAAACCGAGAAGCACCATGGACATTGTGAACAACGACTACAGCAACAAGCTGGTAGCATAACTGTTGTCTGCAGGGTACCATGACCCTCATAATTTCCTCCAAAGAGTAGCAGAACCCTGCAGAAAAGATTTTGAGGTGCCCCAAGAGGAGAGGGAAGATTTGCTGTGTGAACTGAACTTTGCATCCACAACACTGATTACACCCGGTGTCATTCAAAATTGTGAGCCCTAAAGGGATATAATAATAATAATATTGATCCATGCAAATTTACAGTGGAAGCAATAGTGGATGCAGAAAAAAGTGTATCCAAGCCCAATTCCTACTTTTTTCTTTCAGTGGTAAAGCAGCAGCTCCCTTCACTGTCCACAAATGATCCTTGCATGGTAGAGGACTGAGATCAGAGAACATGCTTCACATGATTTTGTTCTACAAATCCAATCTACTACCACCCTTGGATCTTTTGTGGGAGGAAAACGACTGCCCCTTCAACAGTTGATGAGCCCCAGACAGTACAGCACATTCCATGGCAGCATGAGGTTAGCATACTAGCACAACACTGGCCCCACTATTTTTATGCAAGGATCATTAGTTTTGTTAGAGACCCTCTCCTACCCCCATGGCCCTGCAGACTTCAACAATAAAGGAAGCAATAGTACGCTGCATCATTTAAATTGCAATCTTATGCATACTAATTTAGAATTCAACTACTGAATTCAAATGGCTTTACTCCCAGGTAAGCAAGCACAAGGCTACAGCTGCCAACGCTTAATTGTTTTGATGAATTAAAAGACTTTTAATTGATTTCAACATGTACTCTGATTAAAAAGGCAAGTCAGTGGTGAATTTTTAAATTATTTTTCACTCAAGTCCTTAATAAAAACGGCGCATGGTAGGCACCACTTTAGAAGAGGCATCTCTCACATAAGAAGGAATGCTTCTCCTAAGATGGAACCAGACAGGACACAAATAGACTAATTTATCAACTAAGGTTACTAAGTAACCTTCCCTTCCCATTCTCGAACTTTTGTTTGTTCAAATGAAGAACATATGCAGATTTAACTGATTTAATAAAACACCATATGATTGGTGAATACCTCTTTTAATTAAAAATTATGATTAATTGATGAAGTTTTCTTTTCATTACCAGTTCTAAGTGATATAAAGTTCACAGTCTTAAGAGCAACTTCTGGTGTTGCTTTATGTGGAGAACAAAAAGTGCAAGTCACTTCATATTCCTCAGGCAACATGTAACTTCAGAAAGTTGCCCTCAATGAGGCCCACCCATTCTGCCTTGGTACACGTCACAACATTTAGGCTTACCATTCCAACTGAGTTTACAAACTGAGTTTAAAAACTCAGTGTTTGTAAACCTCCAGTTCACAAATTTATGTTGACGTTTACATGTAGATAAAACTCATGATCAGAATGGGCCGCAAGGCTGCAATCCTATGAATTTGTCCAGGAATATGCTATACTGAACATGGGAACAACTTTCAAATACAAATACACAGGACACTGATGAACCTGTTTTTCACCAATATAATGTTGTCTGCATTATATACCTAAATCTATCATGCAAAAATGAAATCCACTTATCCAAAATGCCCTGACTGCTAGAAAGATAATCAAGGCACAAAGATAGCCAAGGCAACAAAAATAAAAAACGTTTTGTTCATTTTGGCTGACTAATGGACCATGTGACTGGTTGAATTTGCCAAAAAGGTTAAGAAAAAAAACAGGTATTATGTTATAACCTGTAGATGTACAAGGAAGCTCTTTAATAACATATTTTAAAAATGCACTTGATGGCAAAGAGTTGATAAATCCCATTTAATGTAAGAGTGCACACACATAATCACACCTTTTCATTCCAGATTAACCTGGAAGAATTGTCTTCACTTTGCATAGCTCAATGCACACAATCATTGACACAAATCAGAAACCCATTCTAAGCCTACATATGAATTGTTTTACTCTCCAGTACTTATTGTAATTGCAGCTGTGGACAAAGTACAATGGCCAACTTTATGTAGGTATTATTACGCACAATTATTTGATGTATGAAAATAGCCACAACACTTAAGTGTTGTTCCTGGTGGCCAAATCAGTGCTAAAATCACTTCCACCTAGTTGGATTCCACACCAATAATGTCAATATATAGTACAGTTAAATGTGGAACTTGTGGCTTTTCCGATGTTGTTGGACCACAAGCTTAACATGAGTCAATGTTGTGATACATCAAAAGTAGTATAGTGTCCAGATCAAGGGAAGTAATAGCACTGCTCTATTCTGCCTTGGTTAGACCACAGCTGAAGTGCTGTTTCCGATATCTACCGTATTTTTCGCCCTATAGGACGCACTTTTTCCCCTCCAAAAATGAAGGGGAAATGTGTGTGCGTCCTATGGGGCGAATGCAGGCTTTCGCTGAAGCCTGGAGAGCGTGAGGGGCCGGGGCGCACGCACCCCTCTCGCTCTCCAGGCTTCAGGAAGCTCTGCGCAACCTTCGGGAGACCGCCCCGCTCCGGATGGCGGAGTCCCGCCCCGCTCCGGATGGCCGCGCAGAGCTGCCTGCCGTCCCGGCTCAGCGCAGCTCTGCGCGGCCACCGGGAGCCGGGCGCGAAGTCCCGCCCCGCTCCGGATGGCCGCGCAGAGCTGCCTGCCATCCCCGGCTCAGCGCAGCTCTGCGCGGCCACCGGGAGCTGGGCGCGAGTCCCGCCCCGCTCCCGATGGCCGCGCAGAGCTGCCTGCAGTCCCGGGATCAGCGCAGCTCTGCGCGGCCACCTGGAGCGGGCGCGAAGTCCCACCCCGCTCCGGATGGCCGCGCAGAGCTGCCTGCAGTCCCGGGATCAGCGCAGCTCTGCGCGGCCACCGGGAGCCGGGCGCGAATCCCACCCCGCTCCGGATGGCCGCGCAGAGCTGCCTGCAGTCCCAGGATCAGCGCACTTCTCCCCATCGCCAGCCCCACAAGCTCGGGGGACAGCGGGAGGCAGAGCGCACCTTCCCGCTGTCCCCCGAGCTAGTTCTTCCAGCCCCGCACCTGGGGGGGAAATAAATTTTTTTTCTTTATTTCCCCCCCAAAAAACTAGGTGCGTCCTATGGGCCGGAGCGTCCTATGGAGCGCAAAATACGGTAAATTTCTCCATGTGTGTTTTGCTACTGGTGCAGGTCCAATTGCAACCACATTGAGATTTCTGGGCACCATTTTGGTAACTGACATCTCCATCCAGCCAGCTGATTCGAACACAGTCCTCCATCATTACATCAAATAAACTAAGTGCAAGGCTGAATACAGATATATTTGACTGTGTTGCAGACTTTTCACAGGCCACCTAAATGGAGCTCACGAACTACAGTTTAAAAACCTTACTCCATTGTTAATACTATTTCCATTTCCACTGTGTGTCTCCTTGCATACTGGGCAAATGAATAAGAGCAAGCTACATATAGTTGAGATAATAGAATTATAGAATTGTAGCATTGGAAGGGATCTGAGAGTCATCTTGTCCAACCCCTGGGCAAACATACATTCCACTGTGGTGACCGTAACCTAGGTTTAAGGTGCCATTTGGCTCCTAGCTTATATTAAGTTTCTAACACTGACTGTGTCCAGTTCTGGGCACAATTTAAGAAGGAGGTTGACAAGCTGGAACGTGTGCAAAGAAGGGCAACCAAGATGATATGGAATCCAAGCCTGATTAGGAATGTTTAAGGGAATTGGGTATGTTTAGCCTGGTAAAGAGGAGATTCAGAGGAGGTTTTCAGCCATCTTCAAATACCTAAATGGCTGCAACACAGAGGATAGTGCTCCAGAAGCTAGGACCTGGACCAATCGCTTCAACTTACAAGAAAGGAGATTCTGACTAAACATCGGGAAGAACTTTGTGATAGTAAGACCTGTTTCAACAGTGGAATGGACTCCCTAGGGAGGTGGTGGACTCTCCGTCCTGGGAGGTTTTTAAGCAGAGGTTGGGTAGCCATCTGTCTGGTTAGATTTAGCTGCGATTCCTGCATTGCAGGGAGTTGGACTAAATGACCCTTGGGGTCCCTTCCAGCTCTACAATTCTGTGATGCTATGAACTCCTACCACCCCTCAGCACGCTGGCTGTGACCAAAAGTGGTTGGAATTCAACAACATCTGGGAGGATTAGATTCCACATCCGTGATAAAAACCATGTCACACAGGGCTGGTGCAGCATGAAGCCAACTTTGCACCAGCTCTTGGTACTTCCAGGAGGCTGGGGGAACGATTGACCGTCATGGCCCTTCCCAGCATCGGCCTTTTGCTGCTGCCAGCCTCCTCTGGAGTAAGGATATGGGGGCCAGTTGTATGTCACCTAGCCTGAAGAGAGGACCCTTTTTCCTGTAAACTGCATTTTAAGCCAGGCTCCTTGAGGACAGGAAGACCAGTACTGTACCGGAAACTTCACTGTCAGTTAACTCATTTCACTTTCTCTTTAAGCCTCACTTGCGGTTATTTTGTAACACCGGATTTATTCTGTTGTCCTTTCTGAATAACTGGCATGCTCTATATTTGGCAAATTTTTTGGAATGTTTGCGCAGCTCTTTGTGGGGGAAAAGTGGCATATAAGTAAACTCAACCAACCAATCAATCAATCAATCAAATCCTTTTGGTTTTCCCACCCAGAGTCAATTCGCCCATCCGCTCCCTCATGCCTTAGGCTCCAGATCATGCCCGGCGGGATACCTTTTGGCACGTCTGAGGCAAGACCGGCAACACGAGCTTCTCACCCCCCCCAGATGCAGGCCCAGATCACCTCACTCGTGCGTGGGCCATGCAAGGGCAGCAAGCTAACTAAGGGGCTGCAGGGCAGGCCCCTAGGCACGCTTTCCAGCCGCTTTCCACCCCTCGGAATTTGCCGTCTGAGGCAGCTGCCTCGCGGCAGGGCCGGACCAGCGAGGAGAAGCGAAAGCGGCCGTGCCTGAGGAGAAAAGTTCCTCCCGAAAAAGGAGGCAAGCGGCTCACAGGGCTGCCGGCCTCCTTCTCTCAGGAGGACGCCCCTCCCTCGGGCTGAAGCGCCGCCGCTCTGCCCTGGCCTCCGCAGGACCCGGCCTCTGCCCTCCGCGCCCCTCGCCAGCAGAGCGGGCCTTCCACAGAGGACGCTTCTCCTCTTCACCGCCGCCATCTCCCCGCCCGCGAAAGGCAGCGAACGGGAAGGGAATCAAGAAGCGAGGGAAATGGTACCTTCCTCCAGCTCGCCCTCCCCTCCTCTCAGGGAAAGATGGTACGGCCCCCAGCACGCGGCTCATTCGGCCGGCCGCGGAATTCCATCCGAGGAAGGGAGGGGAGGAACTCACCTGATCGGCCAGGTCTTCGGCCGCCCCCATTACATCGCCGCTGGGCGCCATGGTCCGCTGAAGCGAGGCTCGGCCACGCGCGCGCGCCTTCTCTTTCTCCCTCCCCCTCCCCCCCGCACCTTCCTGAGGGGCTCCACGAGTAAGTGGGCGGAGCCTGAGCTCAACCAACCGCAGGCCGAGCCAGCTCCTTTCCCAACCCCTCCTCCGGATCGCCGTGCGGTTTAAGGCCGCGATTGCTACGGTGGCCGACGAGACGCTTGTTACAATCAGAGCTCCGGCATTTACAGCAGTCGACTTTTCCCGCCCTCGCCTCCAGGGTCAAAGGTCGGGGTAACGTCCCTCTGCGTCCACTTGACGCGACTGTCAATCCCAGCTCTCGGCTCTCAGTGGAGGCTCAAGCTGTCTGTCACTCCTACTTTCCCGCCCCCCGTCGCAATGGGTCAGCTCAGCTTCCGCCATGACAGCGTCTCGCCCGCCGCCGGCTGCTTGTTGCCGTGGCAACTTCGCTTAAGCGCCGACTGGCGAGTCAGGCTAATGCATGAGTGCCACGTATATACAAGGCCCGCTTTCCCTTCAGATGAAGTAATAAAATAGCTGCCTTTAAAGCACATGCGAAGCGTATTTTGCCTCTCAAAAAACGCACTGTCTCTCCTCAGAAAGTTGCAACTCCCAGCATTTTCATGAAATCAAAATCGAAAACTGACGTGGAAATGCGAGGAACTGAATTTAAGACTGGGAAACAGAAACTAAGATAAATCGAAACGGGCGGATTCACTCGTATCCTTTGACCTGGCAAAATACAGGACAGGAGGGCGGCAGGCAGGCGGAGGCGGAGGCGATGGCAGGGGGGTTGGGGGACGATCCCCCCCCCCACTGGTGCTTAAATAACTTCAAAGCAACCCATTACAGTCTACTGCAGCCGAACCGGATGGCCCCTCTGGAATTTGCCACACCATGCATTTATAGATCTGTCTGTGCTTTGCTACCCAGAGCTGAAATCCATGACCCTTCACACACAGGCAGTATTGTACAGCAATACATGCAGGCCAGGGCAAAAAAATAAATAGGGGAACATCTTCTGATGAGGGGGCAAGCTTTGTTAAATTTCTGAAAGAAAAAATATTAGGGGGCATAGGTACTGGCATAGGCACCCAGCCCCCACCACATGCCCCATGAAGGGGCCGGGCACCCACAAATTTTCATGCTGCGACCATGCACATGGCAGGGACGTGCACGTCTGATGTCAGCATGCCCACTGGCACAAGAATTTGACATCAGCAGGGGCCAGGATAGAAGGCTGTGACATCCCGCATGCCATGTTTTTTCAGGACGATGACAGACCCTCTAAGCAGCCCTATTTTCCAGGGACGTCCCTGAATTAGAGAAGCTGTCCCAGTTTCTGAGATGATCCCGGAATCTCCCACTTTTCCTTAAGATGTCCCTATTTTCATTGGAGAAATGTTGGAGGGTATGGAATTATCCGCCCCCCGAGCCGTCTGAAGGGAAACCTGTATAGGGAAGTTTTTAAAAATGTTTAATGTTTTATTATGTTTTTATACAGTATATGTTGGAAGCTGCCCAGAGTGGCTGGGCAACCCAGTAAGATGTGTGGGGTATATATAAATAGTAAAATATTCTTATGTAGTGGGATGTCCCTATTTTCATCGGAGGAGTGTTGGAGGATATGTGACGAGGAACTCTTTGGTGGACAGCATTTACCCACCTCAAAAAAATGTCAAAGATTGTAGACAGGAGGCTCTGAGATTACATAGAATCATAGAATTGTAGAATTGGAAGGGACCCCGAGGGTCATCTTGTGTCCAACTCCCTGCAATGCAGGAATCTCAACTAAAGCTTCCATGACAGATGGGTGCAAGCTCCCTTTGTTCCTTGGGTGCAGCTCATCAGGCCCTCAATATTTGAATTCATTTAAAGTAGCTTGGTGTTCCCTTACCACCTTTTTTCCTGTCTTGAGCTGCAGCTCCCTCCTTGGGGAAAATAGGCTAATATTAGAGACAATTTAAGTGGAAGCATTTCACATAAATACAGACTCGGGTAATTGCCATAGCTGTCAACATTTCCCTATTTTTAAGAGAAATTCCCTTATTCTGAATAGGATTCCTCGCAAGAAAAGGGAAAAGTTGACAGCTATGGTCATTGCTATTCACGTCTATGGAGGAAAGAAAAAGCAGCATTGTGTGCATGCCCTCTAGAGGTTGAGACTGTACAGCACTGGAATGATTACCGGTACATAACTTTACAAAGGAAGGAAGGAAGGGGGGAGGAGAAGGGAAGGAAGGGAATAGAAGAGAAGAAAACCACCCTGAAAAGGCCCATTAAAAAAGAAATGAACAACTGGTGGGGGGCAGGCAAGGAGTATTGGTGGGCTGGGTGCCCCAGGGGCTGTCTGAGCACATGCTGCTCATATGCTATTCTGAGGCCTCCAGATTTACATGAAATTTAACAGCTATATAAGGACCATCTTTGGGGTGGCCAAACCAGTAAGGGAATCTCCCAATTTCCTCTACACTACTATACCTGCCACTGCTCCAGCTGCCTAATTAAAGTAGGGAAGAGGTGAAGGGGATGCTGTAGGTTTGATGGGGAGGCCCCGGGTTAGTCTTGCATTCTGCCTCTATCACACTAAAGGTGACAGAAATACGCTTGTATTAGATAAGATGCTGAATATGATGGGGGAGGAAACTGGGTAGAGAGAAGGCAAGGATCTGCAGAGGAGGGACATAATATATTACTGTATGGTGTCATTCCCCAGGTCTCACTGGGGTATACAGTGGTGAGGGGCATGATGACAGCTGCAGAGCATGAGGTGACCCCGTGACAACAGAGATAGTACCTGAGTAAAACAATCTATCCCAAGGCCTAAACAAGACATGGTACAGGAAATGCATAAGTGGGATTTTCCACATTTTTTAAAAGAGTCAATAGCAAGGGAGATATTTAGATTGGGATTGCACAACTAAGGAAGAGGGGTTTAACCCTTTTCCCTGTGCCAATTTTCTATGTATCCATCCAAAGCTGCTATATATTCCTTGAAAGGAGGAGGAGGTACAATACAATACACCGAGGTCATAATGATACACAGTATGCTATGCTAGATTCCAAAAGGTGGTGCTAGGGGATTTCTATTCAGCCCATGATTGTGGCTTTTCCTTGTGCTGTTTGACATCTATAGGAAACCACTGTCTGAGATTGTAAGGGGATGTGGGCTGAGATGTGGTCAGGACAATGTTGGCACCTGGCTCTGCTCCTTTTCATCTGACTCAAACAGATTGGCCTTGGGGCTCAATCAGTGCCTGGGAGCTGTGAAGAGATTTATGTGGTTAAATTATAACTATAAAATGTAGTTTTATAATTAAAAATTGCAGCATTGATGATGTGCAGATCTTGTAGATTTGAGGTGTTTCTACATGCCCCTTAAGAACAGGTCTTAAGGGTGCCACATTCCTAAAAGGAAACACAAACTGTGGAGGAGCACAAGGAACCCCTGGAATTTTGCACTGCTCAGAGATTGGGGTGGCATGTGACAGTGCAGTGGTGGAGCGTATGCTAATGCTGCCTGGGGCAGGCATGTGGGACGTGCCCCCAACGGAGGCAGGGCACAGAGTGAGCCCACTGTGGCTTGCCTCACAAAGCAGCATAGGGGACACACTTGTGTGCTTCGGCCCAGGCAAGGAGAGGGGCAGGGAAGCTGCTGCCAGCTCTCCTCTCTCTGTGCCTGGCTCAGGCTTGACCCAAGGGTGGAGCTGCGGCTGGTGGCATTGGGCCATCACACAAGGAAGCTGCCTGTGCAGCTCCCTCACACACTAAAGCAAGGCTCCAGTGAGGAAGCCTGTTATGGGGTACCAGTTTGTGCCCCCTCAAAATATGTGCCCAGGGTGCCAGAGAGTCAAGATGACTAGATGGAAAATAGTCATACCATGGGCAAAATTTCCTTATTTGTATAACTTATTTCCCTATTTGTATAACTTAGTACCGTAATTCCAAAATATAGACGCGCTTTTACTCCTGCAAGATTGAATACTGCCTTTGGCTGTACAACTTCATTGTCCAGAAAGTGGGAGAAGCAACAAGAGGAACAGCCATTTTAGATCTGGTCCTAACCAATGTTGATGACCTGGTTAGTGGGGTAGAAGTGGAAGGATCATTAGGCGCGAGTGATCATGCTCTTCTGAAGTTTACTATACAGCGGAAAGGAGCAGCCAAGCATACTAGGACTCAATTTCTTGACTTTAAGAAAGCCGACTTCATAAAACTTAGGGAAGTGCTGGGTGAGATCCCATGGACAGTAATACTAAAAGGAAAGGGAGTTCATGATGGCTGGGAGTTTGTTAAGAGGGAGATAGTAAAAGCACAACTTCAGGCAATACCAATGAGACGGAAACATGGAAGGTGCCTAAAGAAGCCAGGGTGGCTATCTAAAGAACTTTTAACTGAGTTAAGATTAAAAAGGATGTGTACAAAAAATGGAAAAGGGGAACCCACCAAAGAGGAATTCAAACAAATAGCCAGCACATGTAGACACAAAGTCAGAAAAGCTAAAGCACAGAATGAACTCAGGCTTGCGAGAGACGTTAAAAGCAACAAAAAGGCTTTTATGGGTATGTTCGTAGCAAAAGGAAGAACAAAGAAACAGTGGGGTCACTCAGAGGAGAAGATGGTGAAATGCAAACAGGGGACACAGAAAGGGCTGAACTCCTCAACGCCTTCTTTGCCTCAGTCTTCTCCGATAAAGAAAACAATGCCCGACCTGAAGAATTTGGAGCAAATGATTCAGCAGAGGAAACACAGCCCAGAATAACTAAGGAGATAGTACAAGAATACTTGGCTAGTTTAGATGTATTCAAGTCTCCAGGGCCAGATGAACTGCATCCAAGAGTATTAAAAGAACTGGCAGATGTGATCTCAGAACCACTGGCAGTCATCTTTGAGAATTCCTGGAGAACAGGCGAAGTCCCGGCAGACTGGAGGAGGGCAAATGTTGTCCCTATTTTCAAAAAGGGAAAAGAGAGGACCCAAATAATTACCGCCCAGTCAGTCTGACATCAATACCAGGGAAGATTCTGGAGCAGATCATTAAGCAAACAGTCTGTGAGCACCTAGAAAGGAATGCTGTGATCACCAATAGTCAGCATGGATTTCTGAAAAATAAGTCATGTCAGACTAACCTGATCTCGTTTTTTGACAGAATTACAAGCCTGGTAGATGAAGGGAACGCAGTGGATGTAGCCTACCTTGATTTCAGCAAGGCATTTGACAAGGTGCCCCATGATATTCTTGTAAAGAAGCTGGTAAAATGCGGTCTTGGCTATGCTACCACTCAGTGGATTTGTAACTGGCTGACTGACCGAACCCAAAGGGTGCTCATCAATGGTTCCTCTTCATCCTGGAGAAGAGTGACTAGTGGGGTGCCACAGGGTTCTGTCTTGGGCCCGGTCTTATTCAACATCTTTATCAACGACTTGGATGATGGACTCAAGGGCATCCTGATCAAATTTGCAGATGACACCAAACTGGGAGGGGTGGCTAACACCCCAGAGGACAGGATCACACTTCAAAACGACCTTGACAGATTAGATAACTGGGCCAAAACAAACAAGATGAATTTTAACAGGGAGAAATGTAAATGTAAAGTATAAAAAATGAGAGGCACAAATACAAGATGGGTGACACCTGGCTTGAGAGCAGTACATGTGAAAAGGATCTAGGAGTCTTGGTTGACTACAAACTTGACATGAGCCAACAGTGTGACGCGGCAGCTAAAAAAGCCAATGCAATTCTGGGCTGCATCAATAGGAGTATAGCATATAGATCAAGGGAAGTAATAGTGCCACTGTATTCTGCTCTGGTCAGACCTCACCTGGAGTACTGTGTCCAGTTCTGGGCACCACAAACTGGAACGTGTCCAGAGGAGGGCAACCAAAATGGTCAAAGGCCTGGAAACGATGCCTTATGAGGAACGGCTAAGGGAGCTGGGCATGTTTAGCCTGGAGAAGAGGAGGTTAAGGGGTGATATGATACAGTGGTGCCTCGCAAGACGAAAAGAATCCGTTCCGCGAGTCTCTTCGTCTTGCGGGTTTTTTCGTCTTGCGAAGCAAGCCCATTAGAGGTTTAGCGGCTTAGCGCTACAGTATTAGTGGCTTAGCCGGCTTAAAGATCAGCTGATAAGCGGCTTAACGATCAGCTGATAAGCGGCTTAACGATCAGCTGATAAGCGGCTTAGCACCAGCTGTTAAGCGGCTTAAAGATCAGCTGATAAGCGGCTTAGCCATCAGCTGATAAGCGGTTTAGCGGCTTGGGAAAAAGGGGGGGGGAGGAAAAAAAACCCGCAGGAACTCGCAAGACATTTTCGTCTTGCGAAGCAAGCACATAGGAAATTCGTTTTGCGAAGCACCTCCAAAACGGAAAACCCTTTCGTCTAGCGGGTTTTCCGTCTTGCGAGGCATTCGTCTTGCGGGGCACCACTGTAGCCATGTTCAAATATATAAAAGGATGTCACATAGAGGAGGGAGAGAAGCGGACACGGAGCAGTGGATCCAAACTACAAGAAAGAAGATTCCACCTAAACATTAGGAAGAACTTCCTGATAGTAAGAGCTGTTCGACAGTGGAATTTGCTGCCAAGGAGTGTGGTGGAGTCTCCTTCTTTGGAGGTCTTTAAGCAGAGGCTTGACAACCATATGTCAGGAGTGCTTTGATGGTGTTTCCTTGGCAGGGGGTTGGACTCGATGGCCCTTGTGGTCTCTTCCAACTCTATGATTCTATGATTCCAAAAAATTCCACTCGAAAAAGGGTTATGTGCCTGTAGAGATGGTAGTACTGAATCAGTGGCTCATGTCCTTCTGGCTTGCACTCTATATAAAGATTTGAGGAGTGAGCTTATCACCCCTCTATTATTGTCCATTCCGGGTCGCCCAACCACTGTTACAGCAAGATGTGCAGGTGACAGCAAAGGTTGCAAAGTTTTTAACCCGGGCAATTAGAATAAGATCCGTTATTTGATTGTTGATCCAAATCCCCAAAATGTATTTTATATAATTGACTTTACCTTTATCCTCTGTATACAGTGGTGCCCCGCAAGACGAATGCCTCGCAAGACGAAAAACCCGCTAGACGAAAGGGTTTTCGGTTTTTTGATGCGCTTCGCAGGATGAATTTCACCATGGGCTTGCTTCGCAAGACGAAAATGTCTTGCGAGTCTTGAGATTTTTTTTGCTTTCCCCCCCCCTTTTTCTAAGCCGCTAATAGCCTTTTAGCCGCTAAGCTGCTAAGCCATTAATAGCCACTAAACTGCTAATAGCGCTAATCCGCTAAGCCGCTAATAGGGTTGCTTCGCAAGACGAAAAAACCGCTAGACGAAGAGACTCGCGGAACGGATTAATTTCGTCTTGCGAGGCACCACTGTACTGCATTCTGCTTGTTTTATTGCTGTTATGGCTGGTGGCTGATGTAAATAAAGATTCATTCATTCAATATGTCCCCGGGGCCACAGCGCCCCCCCCCCCCCGCTACACCACTGCAATGGTATGTTTCTTCATCCTTGGAGCAGTCTTATGTGCCACCTGAAACCTGCGTAGCATCTAGTAAGGCAACTGTCTGTTGCCTCTCACATTCAGTCTTCAGACCATGACCAAAGGCAGGCTCCCTGTCTTCAACATGAGGCAGCTTTCCCCCTCTGCACTGAGCCTAGTGTAGAGTTCTGGAGAACCCGAAGGATGGCTCCCTATTTTGTGACATTTTAATTTGCCTAATAAAGATACTGCCCAGCTACAGATTTTGGAATTTCAGTTATAAAAGGCATGGAACCCTGTGTCTATATAAATGTGCCAAAATTATCTCTTTTGTGCTGCATAAACCACTAAATCCTTCCCAAACTTGCAACTAGAACCTGGGATCCAGAGTCCCCCTCTTTTCCCAGCTGTGTTGGCCATGAGCAACTGATTCCAGCAGAGGGAAGAGGGGGCAGGCCGTGAGCAGTGGCAACAAGCGCTATAAATAACCATCTGGGAACATTGAGTGCTGTGCTGACGCATGTTACACAACTAATACGCAGCGACCCCGGCCCAGCACACACACACACACCCCTTGCACTTAATTCCCTCTCACTTTGTGCTTTTATGCCTCCTTGCTCTCCTTCCTTATCTGTGTGCTGCTTCCTTTCAACTTCTCTTTCCAAAACTGATCTATGACATATGATGCCTGAGGCAGAATACAGAACCAGCAGTCGCCTTGCACATGCAAGGAAGCTATTGTGCTGAAATGCTCTTCATTTCAATGGGCCTTGTGCTGGGAGCATTTCCTGGTTTATATGTGTGAAAAAAGGGGGGTCAGACTGGTCTGGCTCCTTGCTCAGTATGAGGCCCCAAAGCTGCCAAATTTGTCTCTTCTACTACCTGTCTACCCCCCCCATCCAAAACATTATGCACTGACTCCTTGCTGCAATTCAAAACAGGGCTCCTCTTCCTGCCTTCCAGATTAGTGGCAGGTTCAGTTTAAGGACTTACAGAAAGGATTATTCCCATCTCACACATATTTCCTTAGCTGTGGAGTAGTCACCAAAGATAAAGCTGTGAATCCATAGGGGGTTTCCTAGAATGAGCTAAGGCTACCACATTCACACAGAGCCGGAGGAAATGAAGGGTCAAATCAGAGGACAATAGGAGGTGTGAGTTCTGTGCTCCAGAGAAACCAAGGCCCTTGGAGCAGCCACAGAACCATCTTCCCACTGCCCCACCTGATGTTTTGCCCAGACAAAGGTACTACACATGCACTAGCTCTGTCCTATCTGGTTGCTCTCCACCTTATCGTCCTTGCTGGGTTTGTTGATCCTGCCTGGCTGGCGTAAGAGGGATCTGGGCTGAGCACCAAGATAGCCTGGCTTGATGCCAGCTCCTTACATAACAGCAGTGAGTGGCTTGTGTAATCTGAAATGTGTAGTGTGTGCATGGATAAAGAACATTGGGTGCTGGGAAATAGGGAGGTTATGTCAAGTGCACCTGCAACCTGCTTCATAGTACTTCCCACCTGGCAAAACCTTGCTTTGTCTCACCGTACTTAGGGTTCATATAATTGTGATAAGATAAGACAGCAGAATCAACATCTTTGGTGCAATTCTGAAACAGGGAGCTTCACAGGAACACTACCAAAACAAATACAAACTTGGGCATGTTAGGGTAGAAATATATACAGTAGTGGTCTTGGAGAAGGGTGGAGATGCATTTGCTCTACACACACACACACACACACACACACACACAATTTCAGTCCACGTACTCTCAAATTTATTCTTTGTCAAAGCATTTGTCACTCTGGATTACAAAAGGAAGGATATTATCTTTTTTTTTGAGGCACCACCACCAAATTGATGGCACAGCAAGGTACCATCAGGTTGTGCCCAGGAAGACGAAATGAATCCCTAGCCGGAATTAAGATTGCCGGAAGAAATATCAACAACCTCAGATATGCAGATGACACAACAATGATGGCAGAAAGTGAGGAGGAATTAAAGAACCTTTTAATGAGGGTGAAAAAGGAGAGCGCAAAATATGGTTTGAAGCTCAACATCAAAAAAACAAAGATCATGGCCACTGGTCCCATTACCTCCTGGCAAATAGAAGGGGAAGAAATGGAGGCAGTGAAAGATTTTACTTTATTGGGCTCCATGATCACTGCAGATGGTGACAGCAGCCACGAAATTAAAAGACGCCTGCTTCTTGGGAGAAAAGCAATGACAAACCTAGACAACATCTTAAAAAGCAGAGACATCACCTTGCTAACAAAGGTCTGTATAGTTAAAGCTATGGTTTTCCCAGTAGTGATGTATGGAAGTGAGAGCTGGACCATAAAGAAGGCTGATCGCCAAAGAATGGATGCTTTTGAATTATGGTGCTGGAGGAGACTCTTGAGAGTCCCATGGACTGCAAGAAGATCAAACCTATCCATTCTTAAGGAAATCAGCCCTGAGTGCTCACTGGAAGGACAGATCCTGAAGCTGAGGCTCCAATACTTTGGCCACCTCATGAGAAGACTCCCTGGAAAAGACCCTGATGTTGGGAAAGATGGAGGGCACAAGGAGAAGGGGACGACAGAGGACGAGATGGTTGGACAGTGTTCTCGAAGCTACCAGCATGAGTTTGACCAAACTGCGGGAGGCAGTGGAAGACAGGAGTGCCTGGCGTGCTCTGGTCCATGGGGTCACGAAGAGTCGGACACAACTAAATGACTAAACAACAAAATGTGTGATTACTGTACTGAATTTGCAATAACAGCATGCCCTTACTTAAGGCAAGCTTTTGTGGGCCAGAGTTTTTGAACAAGGACACAGTGGGCGCTTAGAAGTGCCTCACTTTGGTTGCATCATGCCCCAGGCTAGAGGGGAAAAGATTTAAACAAAACGAAGATTTATTCTGGAGAAAGTGATTCAGCCATATAAGATGCCCTGACGTGCCCCCAAGGCCACCTGAGGTGAACAGCAGTAACCTCAGCGCTGCCCTAGACCTGCCCCATCTTGTTTTGCCTCCCTCACTGCACTTTGCTCGCACATGTGCTTGTCTGTTACAACCATTTCCTAGAAGGTCAGAGTAAATTATTACCTCACAGGAACGCTGCCAGCTGACCAAGGGGAGGAGGCGAAGCAACAGTACAGGAAAAGGAGAGGGCCGAGGTAACGCTACCAGAGAGCAAGTCAGAGTTGGGAGAGAATCAAAACTAGGCTTGCCAACAGGCAGAGCAGTCCCAAGCCCAGAGCCCGAAATAGTTATAGGCTTCAAAACTTCTGCAGAAAAGAACACATTTAACACAAAACAACAACAACATAGCTCTTGCTTGCGTTGCTGGGTTTTCACTGGGTTTGAAGGAAGATCGGAAGGCAAAAAGTCTTTCTCCAATTGGTCTTTCTCCAAAATAAGTGTGACTAGGACTGCAGCCTTAAACTAAATATGGCCCTGTCAATGGTGACTGAGCATGCTATGCTGAACTGAAGGTGGAATCTGAGCAAACATCCTGATTTACCGTACTTCCAGGAGGCAGCTCAATTTTCTGGTGCCTTCGCATTAATCACCATTCCTGTTTGCCTCCTACTTTACATTTGGGCTAATTTTAGAGGGTGTTTTGTATTTGTCAGTGTAAGTTGCTGGAGATCCTGCAGCTTTCAGCCACCTCCACTGAGTTTCCAGAAATCAATTACTGTATCCGACAGTGCAACTCAGAAGTACGCCCTGTTAAGTTCAGTGAGACTCACTCCTAGGTAAGCTGGTACAGGATGGCATCTTGAGGGCAGGACAGTTGCATCTTCACTCTAGGAGTTTGCGAATCAAGGTAGTGGCGGACCTTGAGGTCTCAAATTTCAGCAGCAAATCTCTCGCTCCAGTACCTGATTCCCTCAGTAAGCAATCAGTTCAGTCTGCTGGCAAAAGCAATCTTTCCCTTCCTCCATGTGGGGAGGAAAAGAGACAGAGAAAAGTCCCAGTCCCTTGGGGGCTCTGGCCCCACCAACTGCATGATACCTTAGCATCCATGAGAATGCATTGACAAGAGAGACATCTCTGCCCCCGCAGAGAAATGGCAAGCCTTTTTAAAATGATTTTCAATTTTATACATTTCAATCATTTTACAATCATTTTAACGTTTCAAAACTTGACTTCCTTCACCCTCTTTCTGTGGTTCCTTAGATTTGTTTTTAATATTTTCCACATATCCAAATTAAGTTAATTTGCTCATTTGTTCATCTACTTTGAATATATTCTCTTACAAAACTGCAGGTTATTACAATAATCCTGCAAATGTTCTTATCTGTTTACAGTTTCTTTGTAAATATTCAATAAACCACTTCCATTCTTTTATAAAAAGTTTATCTTTATTTCTTATTTTCCTGGTAAGTTCTGCCATTCCTGCATATTCCATAAGTTTTTGTATCCATTCTTCTTTTACTTGGACTTATTTCCATTTTTGGGTAAGTAACATTCTTGCTGCTGTAGAATGTAGAATAAATTTCTGTAGTGTTTGGGTGGTTCTGTCCCTATAATTCCCAAAAGAATGACAAGCCTGGCAATTCACACTAATATTTTAGTAAGACTTCTTCCAAAAGCAAAAACATAGACTGGTACTGGAAATGAGGGTGTGTCCCTGGTAAGCAGGGGCATCTGAAGGATATGCCATGTTCAATGGGAGGAGAAGCACAGGGGAACACACTTCAGCAGTGATCCTGGTATATGATAACAGGAGTAGTAGAAATATTTCCAAAATCCCCCTGGTCTCACCGGTGAAATGATATTTTATTTCTTTTACAACATTTATATGCTGCTTGATTGTGATAAAACCTAAAAGAGGTTTGCAGAAAGAAAAAAAACAATAACATTGTCAGTAAAGAACAGTAAAAAATAAGTATTTAAATGTATGCATCGTCTGCCAAAAGCATCTCCCAATAAATGCTGTTCCCAGTTATTAATTTGCAGAGAGAGAGACTAGCTAAGTCACTGAACTCAAGCAGGTCCAGAAGCTGTGCTGGTACTGATAATACAGTAGATATTCACTGGGGGAGGCAGGGGGAAGCCTCTGCAGATGTTCAGAAGTACTCTCCTCTCCAAGCAGACTAGAGTTACAGTGGCACCTTGGTTCTCAAACTTAATACGTTCTGGAAGTCCGTTCCAAAACCAAAGTGTTCCAAAACCAAGGTGCACTTCCCTATATAAAGTAATGACAGAGGGCCTTTTCAGTAGTGGTGCCCGCCCTGTGGAACACCCTCCCATCAGATGTGAAGGAAATAAGCAGCTATCTTATCTTTAAAAGACATCTGAAGGCAGCCCTGTTTAGGGAAGTTTTAATATTTAATGCTGTATTGTTTTTAACACTCGATTGGGAGCCACCCAGAGTTTATTATTATTATAATGCAAAATAGATTAATCCGTTCCAGACTTCTAAAAACAACCCCTAAAACAGCAATTTAACATGAATTTTACTATGTAACGAGACCATTGATCCATAAAATGAAAGCAATAAACAATGTACTGCAGTCACACAATCAATGAATCAGTAGCTGAACTGGGTTCCACACAGTCACAAAAACAAAAAGGGAGCTGCAAAAAAAACAAAACAAAAAATAACAAAAACAGACAGACCTCAGCGTAACACTCAAAACAGAAGTGTGGCACTCAGATTGGAAGCGTAACACTCAAAATGCAGCACGTTTGGCTTCCAAAAAAAGTTTGCAAACTGGAACACTTACTTCCAGGTTTGCAGTGTTTGGGTTCCAAGTTGTTTGAGTACCAAGGCATTTAAGAACCAAGGTACCACTGTATAGGGAGAAAGTCTCAGCTGTTGTGAAATAAGAGCCCTGTTAATGAAACTAGGTTTCATTGCCAAGCCCTGCCACAGATTAAGATCTGTTTGTCCCTTCCTTTATGGATTCAGAGGTGTTGGGTTTTTTGGCAATAGAGGTTTTTCAACATAGGTTGGATGGCCACCTGTCAGGGATTCTTTAGCTATAGTAGGGGGTTGGACTAGATGACCCTTCCATCCCTACAATTCTGTTTCTATTATTCTTTCCACCCAATGCAAAAATGTAAGCATCAAGCCATGGTCCCCTACCCATTCCTTTTAATACAAGGATACTACATTGGGGGGGGGGACCAAGAGTTATTGGTGGATATTTGTTACTGTGCTGATCACAGAGAGAAAATAAGAAAACAGATATGATGATATAGTTGGTTAGAGCATGGTGCTGATAACTTTAACTGGGCCAAGTTTTATTACACAAACCTCTTCATAAAACAATTATGGAAAGCAAGTGAGTCATAGCTTTACACAGACCAATATTATCTTCTAGTGACTTAAGGTAAGATGACTCTTGATCCTTGGCCTTAACGTAGCAGCTTTGAAAGATACACTTGGAAATTAAAATGTATAATCTTTGATTACATGAGTCAATGAGCCGACTACAGTTCATGGCCTCCGGGGCAATTACAACAATCTATAACCGTTGCTGGTTCAGGAGCAGGTGATGGGTCTAATCTTACACACTCTTATTTGAGAGTATGCTCTACAAAATTAATTTAAACTTGCTTCCTGGTAAGTGTGCATAGATTCGGGAGACATAGTTGGTAGGGGCCTCCGAGTATATGATGACCTCCCCTTATTTGCAGATAGTTACAGGCGCCTAGGACTTGCCGATCAGGTCATCAGCGGTTTGAATCCCTGCGACGGGGTGAGCTCCCGTTGCTCGGTCCCTGCTCCTGCCAACCTAGCACGTCAAAGTGCAAGTAGATAAATAGGTACCGCTCCGGCGGGAAGGTAAACGGCGTTTCCATGCGCTGCTCTGGTTCACCAGAAGCGGCTTAGTCATGCTGGCCACATGACCTGGAAACTATACGCCGGCTCCCTCAGCCAATAAAGTGAGATGAGCGCCGCAACTCCAGAGTCGGCCACGACTGGACCTAATGGTCAGGGGTCCCTTTACCTTTACAGGCCATCCCGAGCCGTGCACAGGATTCCAGGGGTCTTGGCCCTCAACCAGGATCTGTGCTCCTTTGGAGAACTGAAGATCCTGCAGGGACTGTTGTAGCTTTAAGAAATATTATTTATTCACATATTTATACTTGAATTTAGATGGAGGGAGTCCAGATCTTACAGCATGGCCATCTCAAGAAGGGCTTGTTCCCCGTGGTAGTGCAGCACTGGAGTCCGAAGCATCTCTCCCTGCCTGCCTTCGGCCAGCCAAGATCTTTCTGCCCTTTTCTTAGCTATTCAAAGCCTCCTGCCAAAGGCCCCCAACTCTTCCTGTGACATCACACCCAGTTACCCTGGCAACCTTCCAAATCCCCAGCCTTTGCTCACACCTCAGGGCAAGGGGGAAGGACAAGTCTCTTGCCTTGCCAATCGCCCTGCATTGTTTCTTCATGATGCTAGCTCAGCCACCTCCTTTTGCATAGGCTAGCCTAGAAATTCACCTGCAGTTTGTATCTCTCCCTTCATCCCAGTTAATCAAAATCCTACCATTTATTAATTTATAGGATTTAGACTGGATCCTCCCCCCAAACCTATAACAGGACCAAGGATGCTATAATCTCAGCATCAAATCCAAGTTTAGTTATGGAAATGCGAGATAGCTCTGGACAAATCATTCTCTCTCTCTCCCAACTGTAGTTTTTTCATATATAAAATGGAAATAACGGTGATGTGCCTTGCAGAGTTATGCATATGGATTGTGACTTTCTTTGCTGTGAAATAGGCAATAATTCTTGGAGACCATCAACTGTTTTTCTTTCAACAAATGTCTCTCATCTGAAAGGCTCCAGGCAGGTAACAATATACTAGGAATGTGTAACTTAGCAGTTAGAATAAAATATATATAACAACATTGGCCTTAAATTATCATCTGTTTGGCCATCCCAGGCCAGTCATTTCAGAGAGTCTTCAGAGGAAGAATATTCCACTGTTGAGGGGTGTTGTTTTTGCTACAACTGGTTCCTGTCTTCTCTATCTTCTCTTCTGCTTTGTTGGGAGCAATTCTTTATACACACTCTTGCCTCTCTTGTGCCTTATTTATCACAATCTTTCCAAGAGTTTTGTACAGACCCTAAATGTACTAGTAAGGGCCAAACTAGACATGACGGCAGTACTTCAATTCTGTTTTAAAGCACTGCCCAGATGGTGGCTGGCCATCCTTTGCTATCCTGACGGCTTGCCCAGGATGATTGGCTGTGATTTTAGCAATGGGCGTTAGTGACAGGTGAGGTTACCTTGATAGCTGAGGATCTCTCTCTAGTTTTCAGAATGAAATACCTAGCAGAGTTTGCAAACGCAACACCCTCTGTCCTGGGAGATGGCAGAGAAATAGTTTTCACCCAGTTTGCCATGTATCAGACAAAACACCAGAGCTGTGGATTGCCTGAATCCGAATCATCCTTATAGTGCCAAGTTGCTCTCCTGGAGAACTTGTCGCTGCACTATCTTGTTGAAGGGGTCTGTTAGCCTCTGCCTGTGATGATCTGCTTGTATATTTGAAAAGAAGGCCAATTCTGACGGGTACCGCACGTCACTCATCCAAAGGGAGTCAAACCATTTTAGCGCCTTCTCGCTGGATGTGTGCGCGACACACCTCTCGCTTAGGAGACCGCGCAAGAACGGGACGAAGCGACGCGTCCTACAATGCAAGACAGGCAGCGGCACGAGAGGGCCAACTTTGGCCGGCAGCCCACCTGCAAGACTGGCCGCCGCTCTGCTGCCCAGGCAAGGTGCGCAAAGCACCAAGGGCGCGCCAGGCCGGAGCGCCAGGCAGGCCGAGCAGCGCGCAAGACGCGCACCGTCGCAGGCCCGGCTGCCTGGCGCCAGCTCGGCTCTTCGGGGCCCTTCTGGTTCTCCGAGAGCGCAGAGCAGCGAGGCCTCGGCGGGCCTGACGGCGGCCCCTTCCCGCTTCCCTTGGCGGCCGGGGTGAAGCCAGGCGAGGCGGCGTCCTCGGCTGACCCGGGTTCGGGCGAGGGCGGCTCTGGCGCGCCGAGGGGAGGCGCCTCGCCAGGGCCGGAGCTGCTGCTGCGGCCGCCGCTGCTCCAGACGCCGGCGCGGGACGCTCCCTCCAGCGCACCAGCAGAAGCCAGCAGGCCCGGCGAGGTCCGGCGCAAGGCGAAGGCCCCAGGGGGACGTGGTTCCTGCCCCGCGCCCCGCTTGCGCGCACCTCTCCGCCCGACCCTCCCGGCTGCGTCGAGGTGAGGCTGGGGGGGGGCCTGCGGGGGAGGCTGGGCAGGCTCAAGACATTGAGACAAAGGGGATGGCCGTGCGGGGGGGGGGACGTCGTGGGCTTGTGCGAGAGACGCCCCCCACCCCGCCTGCACCAATTCTTTATCCCAGCTCTTTTTCACTCGCGTTCACGCGAAGGTGGCTTGTTGCGGGGCGTCTCTCCGCGCAGGGCCTCAGCCGCTCTCATTGGTGGTTTTAGGTGCCAGCATGGAGAGCCTCTGAGCGCGTGCAGAGTGTACTTCGCGCCCGCCTCCCTGAACGATCAACTACTCCTACCTGTAATCTGCGGGGAAGAAAGGGTTTCCCAGGTCAGGAGAGGCGAGGGCTTCCACGCAGACTTGAGATCAGCCATCACACATGCTCTGTATTTCACGCACACATTTTTTTTCCTTTAAAAAATTGAATTTTTTATCTATGCAGGGTACACAATGAATATTTCTGAAACTGTATGTAAGATCGTTGTAATACTGTTGGGCTTTGGAGGGTCCACCCCCAATGTAAACATGCATAGTGTGTGCTGTTGCGGCTGCACAAGCAATATTGTATTTGGGTACATTATTATTATTATTATTATTATTATTTATTATTATATTTGCCTGTCTGACTGGGCTGTCCCAGACACTCTGGGCAGCTCCCAACAGAATATTAAAAACACAATAAATCACCAAACATTAAAAACTTCCCTTCAGATGGGCTCTAAATAGGAGGCCATGCAAGCTGTAGTGCAACAGGTGTTGCCAATGGGCAGCTACCACCAGGACAGGTCTGTGGGGCAGGACTGAACAGAGTGAACAGAGGAGGGGCCTCCCTTACCACATATTGAAGTAAGTGAAGCAATGTACATTTCCATCTAAAGGGTATGCGCATGCAAGACAATTACAGTCCTGAGTCTAAACTTGCCTGCTTGCCCCACTGGGTGCTCCCCAGCCTCCCACATGACATGGCAAGGGATTCTGGGGCACACCTTGAATTATGTGGGGCAGCAAAATCTCCACGGTTGGCCTTCACAGTGTTGTGTTTGGATACCTTTGGAGTCCTGCGCCTACATACATGGGTGAGATTGTCAGCACAATCCTAACCATGTCTGCTCAGAAATAAGTCCTGCTGAGTTCATTGGGGCTTACTCCCAGGTAGGCGAGGTTAGAATTGTCACCCATGGATGTGCAAGGCTTTGAGGAAGGCTGGCAGTAAGTGTAGTTGCTCTGCTTGTTCCACGTAACGGACCTAATATAGGGGGATGTAAGAAATATCTTTCTGTTTGCTCCGCAGTTACGGTATATTCCTGACCTTGCACAGAACTCAGTGTAGTTCAAAAGCTTGCATACTTCCTGTATCTCCAAAAGATATGAAGTTTCAGAGCCACCTGTTACAGAAACCGGCAATTTGTAAAGATAAAGAGAGCCGTGCGAATTCTTGTATTAATTATTTAATTAAACTGACACATGACTTTAAACAGCGCTATTCCCCCAATAACTATGGCACAGCTAGCTTGACTTCTTTCTTTCCCTTTCATCCGACTCAAAACTGCTTCTTTTCTTTAACGTGCTTAGACAAAACTCTGGTTTCAGCCTCACCTCGACAAGGAAGTGTTGACACCTCCCAGCGATTTGGCTTGGCGGTGGTTAGCGGCTGTCATTCAAAGCAACCTTTTACCTGTCAAAACAAAGACCTAGAAAGAGAGGTGTATCTTACATAACCCAAAAGTGTGCTTTTTGCGCTCCTCATATAGTAGTTGTGTAGTAGATGTGGGTGGGTGTTTTTTGTTGTTGGAGTTTTCCTGGTTGGTTTTTTTTTTTTTCTTGGAACAAACTGCGCGTTCTTCCCAGCCTTCCTCCTTTGGCAGGACGGCACATGCAGTCCTGACCGTGGACTGGAATGTTCCCAACAACTCGGGTAAATGGGAGTTTTGTGGGAGGGAGGGAACTGTTATGGCGGAGTGACCTAGTTAACAGCATTGCCTAGAAGAGGGACAGAAGGAAGAAGGGATTTGAGGTCACTGGCTCACTCCTTCAGCCCAGGAAGAGACATACAATGAAATCCTATGCATGTCTGCTTAGAAGTAAGCCCCATTTGAGCTCAGTCGGACTTAATCCTGAAGCTCCACGCTGAGGAGGGGCTGGAGATGGATTACTTCTTGATTGTTTTGGAATATGATCTCCACCTAAAACAATTGTAATCTGTAGTGGGGGTTGTTTCCTGTTCCGCCACATTTTTTCCTGGTGTATTTTTATATACAGGATGTTCTTTTCTTTTTTTTAATAATTTTTTTATTGGCTTTTACACATATTTTCCAGCATAACATCCTTTCAAATTTTTTGGCTAGCATAGCCTAAGACTTCCTTCAACCTCTGATGGTTTTCTAAAGTCTTTCTAATTATGCATTTTGTTACTATAATTATTGCTATAAACTCAAATTTCCAATACATCTATTCCTAATTCTTTTCACAATAATTTATAAATCACTCCTTACAAAACTTCTTTTAGCCCTACAAGCGATGTCAATTGGTTACAATTGCTTTCCAAATATATCGAAAATTTCTTCCATTCCTTTAGGAAAGTCTGCTCCTGCTGGTTCCGAATTTTCCCTGTTAGTCTCGCCATCTCAGCATCAGATTCTCTAGCCACTCTTCTTTAGTTGGTATTTCTTCTTGTTTCCATCTTTGGGCTAATAGTATCCTTGCTGCATTTATCGCATATAAAAACATTTTTTTTATCATTCTTATGAATTTCTGTTGTTTTTTTTAAAATAATATTTATTGATTTTCCAACCATTTGAACACAATAAAGCTGAAAAAACAAAAAAGGAAAAGAAAAAGCAAAGGAAAAAAAAGAAAAAACATAAGATTAACAAAACAAGACGCAAACCATTTAAAACACAAAAACAATTTCAATATCTTAACTTTCATTCCCTTATTTCCACGACCTCCTCACGCCTCCCTTTCTGTATTCCACTTCTATTAATTGTTTCAGCAATTCCTTTCCATCTTCCTCTGTTTTCTATCCTATAATTATCTTAACATATTCTAATCTTATTTTTCCCTTTAATACTCTATTTCTATTTATACTTAATTCCTTATAACATTTCTACTAAAGCCATATAACTTCATTCCAACATTTTTCTAACATTCATTATTTTTACAATATTTCTATACATAGTCTTAAACTTTTTCCAGTTTTCTTCCATCGATTCTTCTCCCTGGTCTCGGATTTTTGCCCGTTGTTTCCGCCAATTCCATATAGTCCATCAACTTCATCTGCCATTCTTCCCGGATAGATAAATCTTGTGTCTTCTAGTACTTCACAATAAGTATTCTTGCTGCTATTGTTGCATACATGAAACAAATTCTATCCTTCTTTGACACCAATTGGCCGACCATGCCCAGGAGAAAGGCCTCTGGTTTCTTCAAAAGGGTATATTTAAATACCTTTTTCATTTCGTTATGAATCATCTCCCATTCTTATGAATTTCTGTACCCACCATACCCAATAGAAGGGCTTCTGGTTTTTTAACAAATGTATATTTCAACATTTTTTTAATCTCATTATAAATCATTCCCCAGAAGTCCTTTCTTATATTCCCACCACATATGGTAAAAGGCACCCTTATATACAGTATGTTCAGTGTGGTGTAGTGCCTAGCATTTGGGGCACAGAAGGAGATCTGGGTTCAAAATGGTCATGAAATTCACTGGGACACATTGGGTCAGATGCACAAGCACACACAAGCACATTATCCATGCCCAAGGGCATTTTTTCTAGGGTTACTCAAGGGTACCCAGTACTTGCACCTTTCACCCCCAAAATGTGAAAAGTGTAGCACTTACTGTAACAACCTCATGGCGAGTACGGCACCCTTTTTCCTTTTTAAAAAAGCATGTAACCCAGTGTTTCCCAGCCTTGAGTCTCCAGCTGTTTACAATTCCCATCATCCCTGCCCACTGGTCCTGCTAGCTAGGGATTATGGGAGTTGTAGTCCAAAAAGAGCTAGAGCCCCAGGGTTGGAGAACACTGATGTAACCTATCCTTCTAATACCACTACAGTGGTACCTCGGGTTACATATGCTTCAGGTTACAGACTCCGTTAACGGAGGGGCTGGGGAGCTGCTGCCAGTCAATGTAGACAGTACTGTGCCAGATGGAGCCATGGTCTGACTCTGTATAAGGCAGCTTCCTGTCTTCCATGTATCATCCATCTGGAAAATGGTATTTCCCTCCTGTGGGTCTCAGACGCTGGATTGTCCTTGCTTACAAACAGCCTTGATCTAAAACAACTACAGGCCACTTAACAAAAAACAGGGACCAGACCCAGCAATAAACCCAAATGCCGATTCTATCCCCCTATCCACTCTGGCAACACCATTTTAAAAAAATATTTGGGAAGGACTGCAGCTGGGTGGGAGAGCTCATGCTTTGCATGCCACCCCCAGCATCTGCAGGTAGAACTGGGGGGAAAGGCTCCTGCTCCAAGAGTTGCATGGAACAATTGTCCAATTTGTCTGATGCTCCTGATGATGTGGCCTTGACTCTACACAAGCTCCCCCCGACCCCAATCTGTTAAATCCCATCCAGACTGCCTTTTGTCCCACATTTCTAGGCACAGGTCCAGGCTTTAAAACTCCGTGTCCAAGTGGTGGGGTTTTTGTTTTTGTTTTTTCCTGGCACTTTCCCCAGGAAAACCCACATGTTACTGCAGAATCAGAGCAAAGGGCAATTGGGTTTTCCGCAGACCTGTGCCGGAAAAGCGTGGCACAAAAGGAAGTCTCGATGAGCCCCAAAGTCGCCACTGACTTGCTTCAGATTTGGGGTGCAAGCTCGACTTCCGCCTCTGTCCTTTAAAAGTTCACCTTTTTTTAGCAGTAATACTCGGCGCTTACATTACATTGGCACCCTCTGACCAGTCACATGTGCTCCCTTGTGGTTCTTCTAACAACTACATAAGGTAGACATGGGTTTTTATCTCCAGAATGCAGATGGATGAGCTCTTGGCAGGTGCAAGGTTCAAACTGGGGACGTCTTGATTTTGTAGCTGTCTCTTAGTATTGCCAAGTATTTCTCCAGAACAGAATATATTAGTGTGTTTGAACTCCTGCTTATCAAGTCTCTTTTGGATCTCAGCAACGCATCTCTGAAAACAAATCATAAATAGCAGTCTGCCTTATTACATGACTGTTGTAAGGATAAATGTAGATTGCGTAGCTAAAAAGAGCTTTAGGAATGACTAATAATATTGACATTTCCAGCCTCTTTGGCACTGCCTTACATATGTGTGGGTTTGTTCAAACACTAAGCAACCTCTTGGCAATGTTAACTCTTGCTGTGATTCTGGGCAACCTACAGAGGTCACGGTTGGACCTTTGAAAAGGTTCCTTCTGCCCCAAGGTCGTCTTTATTTCCCAGGTGCACACATTGAGAGAAAACAGTCCTAGCATGCTCTCAACCACTTGCTCTCCTTTCTTCCCACCCCACAGACTTTGAGGGAATGGACCTGCCCCTGGAGGACCCTGCAGCCCAGCCTCAACGGGAGCTTCCGCAGCCGCTTCCACCAGCCCACGTGTGTGAGCTGCGCACTGCGGTGTCGTGCTTTGCCGAAGAGACCGTCTCGCTGCTCTCGGTCAATGGCCTGCTAAGCCACTCCCTGCTCAGAACAGGAGGCAACGCTGGGCCACAGCAAAGGGAGCCAGGGGGCTCCTCCAGCACGGCCCGGCGCAAGCGGGAATTCACCCCGGACGACAAGAAGGATGACGGCTACTGGGACAAGAGGAAGAAGAACAACGAGGCGGCCAAGCGCTCTCGGGAGAAGCGGCGGGTCAGTGACCTAGCGCTGGAGGGCCGGGTGCTGGCGCTGCTGGAGGAGAACGCCCGCCTGAAGGCGGAGCTCCTGGCCCTCAAGTTCCGCTTCGGCCTGATCCGGGACCCGGCTGAGCCTCACCAGCCCGTGATTGCTCTTCCCACCGAGATCCACCAGCCAACAGCCCCACCCCAGCACTACCCTGTGGCTCCTGAAGCACCCCACTATGCTTGCCCTTTCCGCCCAGAGCCAGCCACCAGCTCTGAGGATTCTGGTTTCTCCACGCCAGGCAGTTCCAGCATGGGCAGCCCTGTCTTTTTTGAGGAGCGCGACAGGGCAGAGGAAGGGGGTGCCTACGACGGGCACTGCCTGGTGCCCGATGCCCCAAGCGAGGGAGCTGACGTGGGTCGGGTTGGCCGCTACGAGTCCGGGGAGAGCGTCAAAGGCCTCCCCCACAAGCTGCGCTTCAAAATGGCTGGGGGGGCCGAGGAGACGGGTGGGGAGCAACCTGGACCTTACACGCCATCTCCACCGGTAGGAACCTGGAGGGCCCCAGCTGCACGGGAGGAGCAGGGGAATGTCGCCGGCCCTGTGGGCACAATGGCCTTTGAGAATTGCTGTGAGACGGAGGCTCCCGGTGCCCAGCTGCCCGCCCCGCCGGGGCCTGAGTACCAGGCAGAAAACACCACTTTGCGAAGCCAGCTAGCGTCACTTTCAGCTGAAGTGGCTCAGCTGAAAAAGCTCTTCGCTGAACAGATCCTGATCAAGATGAACTGAACTGGGGGTGGGCGGGGTGCAAGGGTGGCATCATAGGGGTTCATCTCCCCCTCCCCAATCTCCAGAACTATTAAAAAAATGGGTATTCTGTGTTTGTATAGAATTTGGCCCTGCGTGGTCAGTTTTCATCTGTTTCAATTAATTCAAGCCACAGCAACAGCCCTCCTTTAGAATATGTGTTCCTCATCACCGTGGCCCTGTCATAGTGACTTTCAAGTTTTCTTACGTTCAGGGAACTTTTATCTTCTATCTGCATGACCTTCTCTTGTCCCCATCCCTTGTGCATTTCGGAACATTCTGCGAGGTGTTTTTAGGTGACGAACACTCAGCTCTTGTGCAGCAAATGCCCACTCTGCGTTGAGGAAGTTCAAGGGGTGGGGCATGGCAATCTGTCCTTCCAAGAATTTCATCAGCCATTGCCTGTCTTTTCATTTGAGGGACCTCAGTAAGCTTCGAGGGTTCTGGAGAACAGAGTTTGGGAGACACTGTACTGTTCAAGCATGAGAGCGACCACCCCAATGCAACTGAACTAGTCCTGACTCCATGGAGAACAGCTAGTTGTTTCCTCAACCACAGTGGAGGTCCCATCTGGACCATACACTTCAAAAGAATCCTGGGAACTGGAAGAGGGATGGACTTTTAAACCACTTGGGGAACTGTAGATCTGCTTGAAGTGATTAGTGCATCCCTGTTTGCTGGTGGTGGTTGTTTTTGCTAGGTTAGGAAACTGAAGTAGACCAGGTGAGTGCCCAGATATCTGTGGGAGTTGATGTCTCTTTCAGAAACTGCCAGGTCCAGAACCTGACCTGGTGAACGAATGAGAGGGACTGAAGGCCTGGGTCGAAGGAGAGGCAGCCAATGGGACAACGATTCCATTCCTCGTCCCTTTCCTGCCTCTTTCATTGCTCTGCCTAGCGCTGCCTGGAAGCCAAACCCTCTGACTGTGGACACTTTGCGATGGAGGACAGGCACTTTGCACATGCTTAAAACAACTCTCCTTTTGATTCTTTGATCATGCTTCAGTGTGGAACCTCGCCACTGAGAACGTTCAGATTTTGGTTGATTTTGACCGTCTACTTTTTAAACTAATCATTTTGGTGATTTAAATAAATCTGTGTATTGCCATGATCTAATAATGAGCTCGTTTTTTGAGAAAAAATGCAACTTTTAATAATAAGCAAAAGTTACCACACAGCTGTGGAAGGGAAGACTGTTTTGCTTTTGCATTCCTTGTCGCAGCAAACGCCAGAATCAAGAGAGGCTCCTGAAATAAACACAGCAGGAAATAAACATAAGAACTTGTGGCCTTCCTGAGGCGTATTGGCACCTGTCAAGTAACTTAAATATTTCCCTCAGTATTCTGAAAAAGTAATATTCAGAAATGTGGGGTGGGGGGGAGGGGTGCATGCTCAGACATGGAGCTTTAAATCACGGATGGTGCCTGGAAAGAACAGCAGAAAGGTGAATGGGGATAAGTACTTCCATTTTTTGTTCTTAAATTCCACAGAAGTAGCAGGGAATGCCTAGCACATGAAAATTGCGGCCCAGCTTGCTCCCTGTCCTGTTTCCTGCTTTGCCCTCGAGTGTTTGTGTAGGAAGTACTGAAAAATGGGATCTCCCAGCTGCAGAGTAAATTTCCTCTGATCACGCTGCTACATACACAGGCCAAGTTTGCATTAGAGGAGTGCCAACTGGATTTTCTGCTTTTGGGGTCAAACTGGATGTGACTTCAAGCACATTTTAAAATCATTGCTTGCAGCTAGCCCAACCCCAGGTTAACCCTTTCCCTCCCGTGCCATTCCCCCCAGTAATAATTTGCTATACACACAGTCTGTTTTGCCCTAAATTAATAAACCAAGATCAGCAAAAATAGCTTTTTTGGGGGGGGTGTCAGTGGAAAGATGATGGGGGGGGCATGCCCACTCCCTTCAACCAATCCATGTAAAAGGTCTGGCATAGGCAAGATCCTGGGCAAGAAGAATGGGCAGGTTCATTAAAGGCCACCCAGCAGCCTCCACAGGTGGTAGTGGCCCGAGACTGCGCAAGCTTCTTCTACTTCATCATCATCATCATCATCATCAATTTCATTTCTATACGATTTTAAAGGGGAAAAAATCACAAAGCGGTTTACAACCTAAATTAAAACATCAAATAGAACAATGCAGAATAAAACATTACAGGGGTGGGAATGAAAATTATACATACAAAGCAACACAATTAACAGGAAATTCAAATATTATCCTAAAGATTTCAACATAAAACATTTGCAAAGGAGGTCAACTGCAGAATACAGTGGTACCTCAGGTTACAGACACTTCAGGTTACAGACTCCGCTAACCCAGAAATAGTACCTCGGGTTAAGAACTTTGCTTCAGGATGAGAACAGAAATTGCGGTGGCAGCGGGAGGCCCCATTAGCTAAAGTGGTACCTCAGGTTAAGAACAGTTTCAGGTTAAGAACGGACCTCCAGACCAAATTAAGTTCTTAACCCAAGGTACCACTGTACACATTTAGCAGAGCAAAGTTACCGTACTTTTCCGTGAATAACAACCCCCCACCCCGTGTATAACACACCCACTATTTTGGGGGACTCCAGTTTAAGAAAATGGGCCAGAGTTGTGGAGCTTTTTTGGGGGGAGGGTGGCCCAAAGTTGTTGAGGGGAGGGAATGCAGTAAGTCACTAACCCGGCGGTTACAATCACTTGCACCGCTTGCTGAACTCTATTAAAGTTGATTACTTTAGTCAGAGAAAAGCAAAAATCAATATAACGGGTGACACCTGTTCACTTCTCCACCAATTCCTTTTTAAAATACACATTAATGTTATGGTATATTGATATACTGTTGCCTCCCAAAGTAGGAAACCACATATTCAGGCATAGAATTGGCTCCAGTTCTAAAACGGGTTAGGAACAGGATCTGACCAGCACACCTCCCAACACTCATCAGATGAAAATAGGGACATTTCTCACTCCCGCACAACTTACCACCCTCGACCCGGTATTTTTTGTTCCCACCCTGCACTCCTGCAGAGCATTTCCTATCGGAAGGAGGGCGAAAGCCCCCACGGCTACACCTCCTCCATCATCCTGAGAAAATCCCTTAATCCCGATTTGATTTGATTTTTGCTAGAGTTGCAAAAAGAAAAACACACACCAAGAATTTGTTTGTTTTAATCAAGACTCCTTGGACTCCACTTCCCCTTTCTTCTTGCCCAGGGCAACTCTGTCCTTTGTCTATGCAGTTGTACCTCGGCTCCTGAACGCCTTGAGAGTCAAACATAAGGTTACCAGATTTTATTTTATTTTTCAAAAAAAAATTATTGGTTTTCACAACATTATAAACAAACAAACACATAAACAAACATAAATCATAGCCTTATTAAAAATTACACTTATTAACGTTATTAAGTGACTTCCTTGCTTCCCCTTGGTTGAATTTCATTGCATGTCCTTTTAACGGTTTTCCAAATCGTAGTTCTTAAAATAATTTAACTTAGACATTAACATCCTTAGATCTTCACATTATGAAATTAAACATATTAAGGTTTTTTTCAATGAATCCGGGGACACTTTTCAACTTCAGTAGGAATGATAGGATTTTGTCAGGGGGCAGATTTGTAAATCCGGGAACTGTCCCCGGGAAATGGGGACGTCTGGTAACCTTAGTCAAACGTTCCGGTTCCCAAACGATCAAAAACCAGAAGTGAGTGTTCCAGTTTTCAAACGTTCTTTTGGAAGTTGAATGTCTGACAGGGCTTCCACGGCTTCCGATTGGCTGCAGGAGCTTTGGTTTCCGAACGTTTTGGAAGTTGAATGGAAGGTACCACTGTACCTCAGAGAAAGCGTGTCACACGGGCTCAGTGGCTGCAGCCTCTCTCCCTCCTCACCTGCTCTCCAGCAGCCGCTACGAGCTGCCCAAGAGATGAGACTGGCAGTGGCAGACATGGGGAGCTTCCTTGCAGTCGCCACTGCCACCACTGCCATCGCTTGGGGCAAGCGCTGGCTAATGAGCCACCCTGAGCTCAGAGCAGGTGGCCTTGGCAGGGGAAATAGGGACATTCTGGGATCAAATCAGAAGCCGAGACAGTTTCATAATTCCGGGACTGTCCCTGGAAAATCGAGATACTTGAAGAGTCTGGACCAGTGGGACGGAGTCCGAGTCCTGTACCCTCATTGGCCCCCCTGACAGGTGGGCAGAACCTCCCACCTGCCGATCATCTGCTGTCTGGTGACACAAAAACCCTACCTTATAAGTGAGGTTCAAGCCATGCCCACAGATGAACCCCCCCTTTTGAATTATGAGTTGTTTGCTTGACTCTCTTCCCTGCCCCAAATCCATAGTTGACCTGATCCAGTGAGGCAAAATGGATGCCATGGACACATTTCTTACAGTTGCCCAAGTCTGTGTGCTTCTAACCCCAGTCAGAAAATTTGTGATATCATGGATTATCTGTTCAGGAGGAGTAGCAGAGATCCAGGTTTGGAAACACATTGCTTGCTTGCTTGCTTGCTCCCCCCACACACCCAGTTTCTAATTGCTCAGACCAGCAAGCAAGCTGGAAGTGTGTATATGGATCACGTTTAAAGATCTGTCTTGTGGTACTGTTATGTACTGAGTTGAATAGGATCCAAACTGCAGCAGTCTGATTGGTCCTAGAACAATAGGATTCAGAATGCAGCAGTCTGATTGGTCCTAGAACAATGCAGCAGTATGATTGGTTGGCAGGAACCACCTAATCATGCTCCAGATAGAAGTGAATCCACAACCTGATTGGCTTACAGGAGAAGTCCGGAATTAGCCAATCACGTGCAGCGCATTGTGTAAATAATGTATATAAAGCAGATACTTTGAGGGGACTTCCATTCCTCCTCACCACTATGAGCTGAATAAAGAGCATGAAATCACTTTGCGACTCTGAGTATATTTCAGGTACCCTGTTGTTGTGAAGAGATCCTTGGGGTCATCCCTCTGCAGGTCTCTTCGTTGCGCAGATCTGG